ATTTTCTGCCAGGAAACAACACATTCACTCTGTGGTTAAAGTTTTTAAAATTTTAATAACTTTCTTATACTATTTTGGATTTGTACCAAACTTGGACAGAAGCTTGTTTATGATCAAATGCTAGTATCTAGAAGGAAATTTTGTTTTCTTCCAGTTAACATTACATTCAGTCTGCAGTTAAAGTTTTTAAACATTTATTAGATTCATAAACTATCCTGGATTTTTACCAAACTTGGACAGAAGCTTCTTACAATCAAAAGATAGTATCAAGAGGAATATTTTTATTGATTTACTTCCTTATTTTTGTTGAGCCTGCGATTAACAGAAAAAGTAGGCGAGACACTGGGTTCCGTGGAACCCTTACGAATTTTTATTAATATTTGCTCTTTTCGTAGATAGTTGAACTTTGTCATTTTTGAGTATATACTTGCATAAGAGGTGCATAGGTATTCCAGATAACTCCTCCTACAGTTTGAATGCTAGGAAGTTTTTACTTTGCTGGCTATTTGTACATATTGAAGGTGTGCATGTGGTCAGGGTTTTGATTTTTGTCACGCCTTGACGGAGTCAAAAAGCAAGACATAGGTATGCTGTTTCCGGCGTAGGCGGCGTCAACAATGTGTTAGTTTGTGATTAGGTCTAGTTCATGGTGAACCACTAGTGGTAGGTCAATGATATTTGGTATGCAGTTGTATAAGCATTAGCACATCTCATTACCATGGAGATGATTTGACCCCGCCCCCTCAGTCAAGGTCTATTGACTTTGAAACTGTGCTTAGTTTACATGTATTAGTTTGTGATTAGGTCAGTTTATGGGGAACCACTAGTGGTATGTCAATGATATTGTGTATGCAGTTGTATAAGCATTGGCATATCTCATTTCCATGAAGATTATTTGGCCCCATCCCCTCATTCATGGTCTATTGACTTTGAAACTTTTGCTTAGTTTTCATGTATTAGTTTGCGATTAGGTCAGTTTAAGGGGAACCGTTAGTTGTAGGTCAATGATAATTGGTTTGCAGTTGTATTAGCATTGGCACATCTCATTTCCATGGAGATTGTTTAGCCCCATACCTTCAGTCATGGTTCATTGACTTTGAATATTTGCATAACTTACATGTTAAAGTATTGCTATTTTATTTTCAACATTTGCATTATCAAAATAACAAATAGGCGAGACATATCTCTGTGTTAACAGTTTATTATTAATATTTGCTGGTTTGGGAGATAGTTGAACTTTGTCATTTTTTGGAGTATTTACTTGAATAAGAGGTGCCTAGCATTTCTGGATAACTCCTTCTACAGTTTGAATGCTAGGAAGTTTTCATTTTGCTGGTAGTTTGTACATATATTGAAGGTGTGCCAGTGGTCAGGGTTTTGATTTTTATTATTATTTATATTTATTTATATTTGCTCTTTTGGGAGATAGTTGAATTTGTCATTTTTGGAGTATATACTTGTCTCCCAGACACAATAATATCTCAAAGAAAGTCCTACAAGTATAATACAGTTACTTCAGAGTGGAGTGCAGGGGCATCACTTTGTCTAGTTTTATTTCAAAAGTTAAACACAAGCGGATTTGTTTAACATATTTGGAATATCTTGTTTACATCAGTATGCTCTCAATTTGTCTAACAATGCTCTGAAAATGATTCAGTTTTATTAAATTTTCAAGATTTTAGAAACCCAGCTTTTATGCTGTTTATTTATGTAATTTAAAAAAAATTATTGATTTGTTCATTAAAATTGGTACAAATAATGTTCATACAGAATCAAGCCCAATGTCATTTAAAAAAGAGGGGTCCATGTACTCATTTTCAAGCTTATGATTTAAATTTGTCAAAAAATGTTTCCTTTTCCAATATGTCACAGTTTGAAATTGCGAAAAATAACATTTTACATAAATGATGTCATTACCTCACCTATTACTGTATTGTATGTCATTAATTGTAATGTTGGGTTGGTGTCTCATTTTTAGCTCACCTGACCAAAGTTAGCTTTTCTCATCACTTGGCGTCTATCGTCGTTGTTAACTTTTACAAAAATCTTCTCCTCTGAAATCACTGGGCCAAATTTAACCAAACTTGGCCTAAATCATCCTTAGGGTATCTTGTTAAAAAAATATATCCAATGACCCACCCACCACTTTTACTGTTCTAGAGTTATGCCCCTTTATAAATGGAAAAATTGCTGAATTTTTCGTTTTCCGTTCTCAAACTTCAGTTTGCCTCAACCAAATGTTATGAAACTTATACACAATACTTATTACCACAAAACTCAGATCAAGTACAAATTTTGGTAACGTCACTTTTACAGTTCTAGAGTTATGTCCCTTTATAATGTTATATGCAAGCGGGGGCATCATCTGTGTCCCATGGACACATTCCCCATTTATTCATAATTTTTTTTACAAAAATCTTCTCCTCTTAATCTACTTGGCCAAATGGAATTAAACTTAGCCACAATTATTATTAGAGTATCTTGATTGAAAAGTGTATCCGATGACCCTGCCCTACAACCAAAATGGTCCCCATTGGTAAAAATAGAACATAGGGGTTTACTATAGAAGTCTATTGGAAAAATGTTAAAAAACAATTTAAAATAGTCACAGCTTGAAAACTAATTTAAATAATGATAAGGGGTCTTCAGTAACTATTGTAAGACTACAATGGGATGACTTGATTTTTTTTTACAGAGGTGCAATTTTTTCAGGTGGGGGGATGCTAATAATTTCTCCTTGATATGTTCCATTTTCAGAATTATTCAGTGTTACTTTTTCAATAAACCATTATTATATCTTTTCTTTCAGCATACTTATATTGGGTGAATGCCCCCCAGACCCAGCAGGTTAGTCGGGGTCAGGGGAACCCCTACCCAAATTTTGTTTGAAGGGTGTTCCATAAAAACTTTAAAAGGCATTTTCCCTGGGTGAAATAAATTTTGGAGCAGAGGAAAGGAAATTTTTTATTTTTTGTTAATTATCTTGAATATCATTATAGATTGAGATATACTGTAAATAGCAAAAATATCAAGCAAAGAAAGATCTACAAATAAGTTAACATGACCAATTGACATCTTATTGGAGTTATTGTCCTTTAAAGTTATTTTCTGCAATTTATTGGTAATTTTTATATAACCGCAAAAAAAATTTTGTGGTTGTATATTGGTATGACGTTGTCGTCGTCGTCCGAAGACACATTAGTTTTCGCACTCAACTTTAGTTTAAGTGAATGGATCTCAATGAAATTTTACCATAAGGTTCAATACCACAAAAGGAAGGTGGGGATTTATTTTGGGGGTTATGGTACACACAGTTAAGGAAAAAGGGGCCAAAAATAAGCATTTTTGTAACTTCCAGACATAACTTGTGTGTAAGTGTATGGATCTCTCTGACATTGTACAACAAGGTTCCATATCACAAAGGGAATGCTGGGATTGATTTTGGGGGTAATTGCCTCCAAATTTTAGGAATTAGGGGCCAAAAAGGGGCAAAAAACAAGCATTTTTCTAGTTTCATGACAATAACTTGTGTGTAAGTGTATGGATCTTTATGAAATTGTACTACAAGGTTCCATATCAGTAAAGGAAAAGCTGGAATTGAGTTTGGGGGTAATTGCCTAAAACGCTTAGGAATAAGGGGCCAAAAAGGGGCCAAAAATAAGCATTTTTCTAGTTTCCAGACAATAACTTGTGTTCAAGTGTATGGATCTCTCTGAAATTGTACTGCAAGGTACCATACCACAAAGGGAAGGCTGGGATTGATTTTGGGGTAATTCCCTCAAAATTTTAGTAATTAGGGGCCATAAAAGGGCAAAAAAACAAGCATTTTTCTAGTTTCAGGACAATAACTTGTGTGTAAGTGTATGGATCTTTATGAAATTGTACTGCAAGGTTCCAAATCACAAAGGGAAAGCTGGGTTTGAGTTTGGGGGTAATTGCCTTAAACGTTTAGGAATTTGGGGCCAAAAAACAAGCATTTTTCTAGTTTCCAGACAATAACTTGTGTTCAAGTGTATGGATCTCTCTGACATTGTACTGCAAGGTACCATACCACAAAGGGAAGGCTGGGATTGAGTTTGGGGGTGATGAATCATAAGGGGGTTCAAAAAATTTGGGGGGGGGATTTTTTTTTCCTTTTTTTTTCTTTAAAATTTTCCATTTTAAATTGGTTATTTCTGATTTATATATAAAAGCAAATGATAATGATATGGTTTGAATAGGTAAATTAAAATTTTTTAAGTTCTTAGACCACTTTCATTCTGTCTCAGAAACCTATGCTGTGTCAAATATTTAATTACAATCCAAATTCAGTGCTTTATCAAGCTTGAATGTTGTGTCCATACTTGCCCCAACTGTTCAGGGTTCGACCTCTGCAGTCGTATCAAGCTGCGCCCCAGCGGAGCATTTTATTGTAAATCTTTTCAAAAATCTTCTGCTTTTAATTTAACTAATCGGCCAAATTAAACCAAACTTGGCCTCAATCATTATTAGGGTATTATTTTAACCATATTTAACATGATTTCCAAATAAACTCATCATAGATACCAGGATTGAAATTTTGTACTTGCACCAGTCTACAAAAGACTCATCAGTGATGCTCGAAAGTTAAAAAGGCCAAATAAAGTACGAAGTTGAAGAGCATTGAGGACCAAAAATTCCTAAAAGTTTTGCCAAATACAGCTAAAGTAATCTATTCCTGAGGTAGAAAAGCTGAAGTATTTCAAAAATTCAAAGTTTTGTAAACAGTTAATTTAAAATTATGACCATATCAATGATAATTCATGTCAACACAGAAGTGCTGACTACTGGGCTGGTGATACCCTCGGGGAATAAAAACTCCACCAGCAGTGGCATTGACCAACCACAGTAGATACAGGTGAGCGACACAGGCTCTTGAGAGCCTCTAGTTATGAACCCCTCATTTAATATTTATTCTAGTTAAAATTGAAAAATTCAGCAAATACATTGTATGCTAATAACCCTTTTCAAATTTATTACAGGTTGTTATGATGAGTGTTCAAATAAAGGTAAAGTCGGAACCAGTTGACCCTGGTTATGAGGCTGCATTGGAAGGTTCCAGCGGGGAACCAGTTGAAGGACAGAAGATAAAATCTCTACTGAGAGGAATTCTGGATAAATCTGACCAGGGACAGTCAATCAAGAATGTTATTGAAGATATGCTGCAGAAAAATGAAGCAGTGATAGCACAAAATGATCCACTACCATTTAAACCTAATCCTAGAACAACATATAAAAAAGATGATTTCAAAGTGAAAGATTCTAACATTGTACGACCAAAAAGTCCAACACGTACTTGTGAGATACCACAAAAGGATATGTCACATATTGGTCAAACATTGATGGAAATGGGAGTGTATGATGAAAAGACAGAACATTCATTTCAGACTATGACACATGAAATGGTTTGTGGTGTTGCTTCTAAAGCTTTTGTTATGACTCAAGAAGGAGCAAACATTCAGACTGATATGCAGTATTACTGGTGTAACTTTTGTCCATTTAAAACAGAACACAAGCAGACGTTACTGCAGCATGTTATGGAACACAGGTTTCATTGCAAGTTTTGTACATATCAGTCTTTTTCTAGAGCTGATGTTATTCGTCATGCTTCCAAAGAACATGAAGACTTCCGCTCCACTGCTGAAAGTCTAAAATATTGTACATTCCTACCTGATTTTCTTCAGCTAGAGGTCAATTCAAAAAAGAGAAAGAGTGAGGAAAACGGTGAACCAGCACCAAAGAAAACCAAAGTGAGTAAAGCAGGTCCAAAATCAAAGACAGAAGGAAAACCCAAAATACCTACTACAGAAACCATGTTTGAAATGGAAGTTGATGAAGTAGATGAAGATAATAATGAAAGTTCAGAGGAAGAAGAACCTTCAGAGAAAGTTATTGTACCTCGAAGTAAAAGATCATCAATTGTTGCCAAACCTGTTCAGGAAATACCCAAAGCAAAAGACATTGAGACTCATGTCGCCACAAATTCACCAGACAAAATAACTCCTGTAGCATCAAAACCAACACCCCCTCCAGCTGCACAGAAAACTACCACTCCAGCTAAAACACAAAATACAGTAACAGTCTCATCAGGTCTTTGTTGGAATTGCGGTTATTGTGAATTTGTCACATTAAGTCAGACCTTCCTAAAGACGCATCTGAATACCCAGCATGGTGGAAAGGCTCACAAGTATGTAGCAATGTTAGTCTCATCACAGGATGAAATGAACAGAATCAAAGAAAGAGACAACCAGATGTACTTAAGTCCCAATCCTGCCTTACTGCTTGGTAGTCCAACAGTGACATCCACAACTGCACAAGAGAAGACAACTCCAGCTGTAACACAAAATGAGGATAATGCAGAGGGTGTAGTGGATAGCGACAGTGATGAAGAATACATTCCCGACGAAGAAAAGAAGAAGTATCCATTAACTTACAAATGTGCTCACTGCAATTTTAATGCCCCAGTCTGCTTCAAGATCAAAGAACACTTGTTGTTTAAACACTCTGGATGTGTATTGTATGCACTTGACATGAGAGCTGTCAAACTGAAACAAAAAAGATATGTTTTCTTTTGTCATCGACAGAACTGTTCTTTTACCAGTAAGAAAACCGAAGAATACCTCAATCACTCAGAGAGTTGTACCCCTTGGTTAGAACCAGGATGTCCAGAGAAAATTGATGGAGCTGCAAAGAAATGTCTAGAATTAACTCGTAATTTTTCAACAAAGATATCCCAAAAAGCATTTCAGATGGCACGTAATTTCAAAACTACCAAAACAGCAGAGTATGCATGTGTACACTGCTCTTACACTTCTAATAACAATACAAGAGTGAAGAAACATGTATTAGCAAATCACAAAGACGGGGAAACTGTCATGAGAGATCTTCAAGCCTCTAAGATGAAAAAGAAAACCACAGTATACTTCTGCAAGATCTGTCTGTGGGAAACTAGAGTTGATGGAGAACTTGGTGAACATCTAAAAGAAAAACACAATGAAGAACTTCCAGTTTCAAAACCTACTTCAAAGCCAGTCTCTGAACCACAAACAGGCCCTGAAGAACCTCCTCCACTGATGCCAAAAATAGTTTCAGTCAAGTCAGGGAAAGATGCAGTAACCCCCACTTCCTCACCATCTGGGTCAGACATAGAAGACCAGTTAAATGACGATGATGATAGTGAACCTGAACAAAAGGAAGCAGATGATGGCTTGGACGAATTAGAAATCCCAGAGCAGGATATTCAGAAAATGATGGATGAATATATCACTGATGAAGCTTCAAGAGGCAAATCTTCAGGAAGACCTAACCGTGCTGCAGCAGCTAAAGCTTCTGCCAGAGTGCAAGCCCAGGGGCATTCTCCATCATTGTACAAATGTCTACAGTGTCAACAAATGCATTTTGGAGAGAATTTAATGAAGCGTCACATGAACACCATTCATCCTGGAGTAGCTTTACGCGCATTGGATGTGAAGAAGAAAACACACAAATCTAATCCTTACATCTGTTTTTGTCCCAAAGATTTGTGCAGATATATACACCTGAGTGAAGAAAATATTGCCAAACATGCTGAAGATTCCCACTCAATTGACAGAGATACTGCTGCCATTAAAGCCATCCTTGAACCATTCATACCTCCATCTTCTCCAGAAAAACATGTCAGAGCTGTTGCAAACAGTTCAACAGCTCAGTATGAATGTTTATATTGTACAACCACAGTTCAGCTTACAACTTGTCTCAAAATGAGGCAACATATCCTGGCCAAGCATCCAGATGAAGATGTAATATTTAGAGACTGTCTATTGAGGAAATCACGAAGGGCATGTCGTGTATTCATGTGTCCAGATATTACTTGCGCATACAACACAACAGATCAGAAAGAAATCAGCTTACACAAGTTAGCCCATGAAAAAGCCACAATTTATGAATGTTCCCAATGTCAATGGTTTACAACTAATTTGGATACCGTTGGTGCACACATGGCTGCTTTACATCAAGGTGAAAAGGTCACAACAATAGAAATCAACTTAGATTTAGATAGTGATGGCAGAGTAGCAAAGAAAGTTGGAGGAACTGTTATTAAACAAGAACCAGAATAGTAGTCAGTTTACAGATTCCCATTGGTTGTTGTATGTTTTATGAGTAGTATATAGAAACTGAAAACATGAACAAAAAATTTTTATACCAGTAGTAATGCATTTGTTGTTTTTCTCATGTAAAATAAATACATTTAAAACTGATTCAAATGATACAAAAGAAGAAGTGTGGAAATCAAAAGTAAAGAAAAAAAAAACATACCAATATATAAATCCTAGTGCAATGTAAAATTTTGTATTATAAGTTGGTCACAAATGTACTATGCATTAAAAAGTCATGCATATATTGCTGGAAATTGAAATATTTTACTTGGTTATTTCATGATTTTTCGTTCCCGTTCTCTAACTTAAGTTTGCCTCAACCAAATGTTATGAAATTTATACACAATACTTATTACTACAAAACTCAGATCAATAACAAATTTTTAGCGTCACTTTTACCGTTCTTCAGTTTTGTCCCTTTATAACTTTATATGATATGCAAGCGGGGGCATCATCTGTGTCCCATGGACACATTTCCCATTTATTTTTGTATATGTTGATCTGTTGATTCATGTTTTAATATATCATTTTGAAGTATGAATAAAGATATTTTGCACTTTTTTTTATCCATCTAGGTACATTCATGCTTTCATTACTAAAATTAGTTTTAATTTTTTTTTAGGAAAATGAAGAATTTGATGAAATTTGTTTGAAACTTGTAAATATGTATGCAACTGAAATGTTACAGAAATTAAAGTAAACTTCTCCTGTAAATTATAAGGCAATGCAAAAAGTTCTAACTTTCTTATTCTTTTTCATAAGAAGTACTCAATTACCATGCTTTCTGTTATACACATATTAACTGTGTCACAATTGCAAACATTATGAATATCCAATGTATATGAAATTATATATACTAGGTATGCAACTAAACAAAAGTAACAATAAACAAGTTTAAACTCGAATTAATTATAAATTATGATAACTAAAAAATTATTCAATTTCAAAGCAAGTTACTTATGATTCTGAGAATCTTTAAAGTCAGAAAGTGAGAAAATAGTGTTATTCAACAAAGGGTTTTAATTTATTTTGCTGACAATGGGGTTAAATTTATTCAGCTGAAATTCATGACACAAACAGGTATCAAGTTTCGCACATAAAATATAAGCTTTTGAAATTGTTTTGAAAATATTATTTTAAATAATTTAATTACAAATAAATCATTTTGCATTTTTTGCTTTAAATCTGGTTTAGAAGACAAAAAAAACATGCTATAAAATTAAGTAAGCCTGTTACCAATTTCATATATGTATATACAAAAAATGTATTACCTTGTAAGATTTCTTTTGTTGGCTAGTATATGTAGTCTATTTGGAAAATGCAAATGTTTTACATGTTTTCTTTAGCTTTAATACAAATGTATCAACATTTTGAATTGGCCACTTCATTGTAAACTTGGCCATTCAATGGTAGTGTAGACATAAGACCTAAGTCAAAGTGTAAACAGACTTGTAATACATTTGTTGATTCTTTTGTTTATTATGAACTTGACAGATTAAGTTCTTAGATTATGAATTCAGAGGCAAGGAGGGACTTCTTGTTAGAGTATGATTTGTTAAAAAAAGGATTGTTTGCAGATTTTATAGGAAATATATTGACATTTTGGTAAAACATCCTATACCTTGTAAAATAGTTTTAAGATTTATTGCTTGTTTTATGTGGCAATACACATTATTTTGGTCCCGTTACTATAGCCGAGATCAAATAGTTTTTGTTCCCCTGTTCTTCAGATGTCTTCTCTTTTTTTGTCATGTCTATGTGTAAAATGTATTTCAATGAAGATGTGATTTTGAAAGTAATTATAATTTTGTAACAGCTTTAAGATTTTGGTAAAATATAGTTACATCATTTATGTCATTAGTAATGTGTTCATTCATATCAACATTTGGAGTATTAGTAAACATTTTCAAAGTTTGTAGACTTAGTTTTTGTCTTGCCTCAGATAAATGATGTTTAAGGTAAGACAAATGTATGCTTATCTGCAACTGCAATGTCATTTTTAGCTCACCTGGCCCAAATCTATTAATAAATCTAATTCGGTACGTCACATTCGTCTAACCTTCACCTCATTTTCATGGTTTTGGTCGTTGTTTCATGGTATAGATGTTTTTATTCCCCCGCTGTAGCAGAGGGGGCATTAAGTTTTACCCTCGTCCATCTGTACGTACGTCCCAAAGTTGGTTTCCGTTCTCTAACTTTAGTTTGCTTCAACCAAATGCTATGAAACTTAAACAAAATGCTTATTACCACAAAACACTGATCAAGTTTGAATTTTGGTAGGGTCACTTTTACCGTTCTTTACCCCCTTTACAAATGGAATAAACAGCTGTGCCATGAGCGCATGATAAGCACGTCGTCTTGTGTGTGAATTTTTATGCAATAATCATAAATAGTTTCTGACATACGGCGCGACATGCGAAAACCCCCCTTTTTTTTTAACAAAAAACTCAATATCTCTAAATTAAAAGTTTGAATCAAAACCAAAAAGCATACAGATCTTTAGATTAATATAACTAAGAAGTGTGTAAAATTTTAAGCAATAATCATAAATTGTTTTTGAGATACGGCGCGACGTGAAAAACCCCTCCCCCTTTTTATACGCCCGTCAATTTTTGACGTGACGTATTATGGTATACAAATGTCCGGTGTCCGTCCGTCTGTCTGTCCGGCATAAACATGTCGCACCGTAACTTGAGAATGACTTATCCAAATTTCATGAAACTTAACATAGTTGTTTCTTATGATGGTTAAACGATCTGTATACTTTTTGGTGAAAATAAGATTAAAAATTTTTGAGTTACGGGACTTGGTAACTAAAACAGGTGTGTGTTTTTTTTCACATGTCGCGCCGTATCTCAAAAACAATTTATGATTATTGCTTAAAACTTTACACACTTCTTAGTTATATTAATCTTAAGATCTGCATACTTTTTGGTGATGATTCAAAATTTTATTTTAGAGATATTGAGTATTTTGTTAAAAAAGGGGGAGGGGTTTTTCACATGTCGCGCCGTATCTCAAAACGATTTATGATTATTGCTTAAAATTTTACACACTTCTTAGTTATATTAATCTAAAGATCTGTATACTCTGGTTTTGATTCAAAATTTTATTTTAGAGATATTGAGTTTTTTGTAAAAAAAAAAAGGAAGTTTTCGCATGTCACGCCGTATGTCAGAAACTATTTATGCTTATTGCATAAAAATTCACACACAAGACAACGGGCGTATCATACGCTCATGGCGCAGCTGTTTATTTTTTTACAAAGTACTCAATAACTCAAAAATAAAATTTTGAATCATCACCAAAAAGTATGCAGATCTTAAGATTAATATAACTAAGAAGTGTGTAAAGTTTTAAGCAATAATCACAAATTGTTTTTGAGATACGGCGCGACATGTGAAAAAAAACACACACCTGTTTTAGTTACTAAGTCCCGTAACTAAAAAAGTTTTAATCTTATTTTCACCAAAAAGTATACAGATCGTTTGACCATCATAAGAAACAACTATGTTAAGTTTCATGAAATTTGGATAAGTTGTTCTCAAGTTACAGTGCGACATGTTTACGCCGGACAGACGACATTTGTATACCATAATACATCCCGTCAAAATTTTGACGGGCGTATAAAAATTGCTGAATATTTTGTTTCCATTCTCTAACTTTAGTTTGCCTCAACCAAATGTTATGAAACTTATACACAATGCTTATTACCACAAAATATAGATCAAGATGGAATTTTGGTGGTATCACTTTTACTGTTCTAGAGTTATGCCCCTTTACAAATGGAAAAATTGCTGAATTTTTTGTTTCTGTTCTCGAACTTAAGCTTGCCTCAACCAAATGTTATGAAACTTATTCACAATACTTATTACCACAAAACTCAGATCAAGTACAAATTTGGGTAGTGTCACTTAACTTTCTTCAGTTTTGTCCCTTTATAACTTTATATGATATGCAAGTGGGGGCTTCATCTGTGTCCAATGGACACATTCCCCATTTATTTTTAGCTCACCTGGCCCAAAGGGGCAAGTGAGCTTTTCTCATCACTTGGCGTCCGTCGTCCTGCATCCGTCGTCCGTAAACTTTTACAAAAATCTTCTCCTCTGAAACTACTGGGCCAAATTTGACCAAACTTGTCCACAATCATCAATAGGGTATCTAGTTTAAAAAATGTATCCGGTGACCCGGCCAACTAACCAAGATGGCCGCCATGGCTAAAATAGAACATAGGGGTAAAATGTAGATTTTGGCTTATATCTCTGAAACCAAAGCATTTAGAGCAAATCTGATATAGGGTAAAATTGTTTATCAGGTCAAGATCTATCTGCCCTGAAATTTTCAGATGAATCTGAAAACCCGTTGTTGGGTTGCTGCCCCTGAATTGGTAATTTTAAGGAAATTTTGCCATTTTTGGTTATTGTCTTGAATATAATTATAGAAAGAGATAAACTGTAAACAGCAATAATGTTCAGCAAAGTAAGATCTACAAATAAGTCAACATGACCAAAATGGTCAGTTGACCCCTTAAGGAGTTATAGTCAATTTTTAACCATTTTTCGTAAATTTTTGTAATCTTTTACAAAAATCTTCTCCTCTGAAACTACTAAGACAAATTTAACCAAACTTGTCCACAATCATCATTAGGGTATCTAGTTTAAAAAATGTGTCCGATGACCTGCCCGCGAACCAAGATGGCCGACATGGCTAAAAAATAGTTCATAGGGTAAAATGCAGTTTTTGGCTCATATCTATGAAACCAAAGCATTTGGAGCAAATCTGACAAGAATAAAATTATTCATTAGGTCCAGATCTATCTGCCCTGAAATTTTCAGACCAATCAGGCAACACATTGTTGGGTTGATGCCCCTGAATTGGTAATTTTAGGAAAATTTTGCAGCTTTTGGTTATTATCTTGAATATTATTATAGATAGAGATAAACTGTAAACAGCAATAATGTACAGCAAAGTAAGATCTACAAATAAGTCAACATGACCAAAATTGTCAATTGACCCCTTAAGGAGTTATTGCCCTTTATAGTCAATTTTTTATAATTTTCATAAATTTTTGTAAATTTTTACAAAATATTTTCCACTGTAACTACTGGGCCAAGATCATTATAGATAGAGATAATTGTAAGCAGCAAGAATGTTCAGTAAAGTAAGATCTACAAACACATCACCATCACCAAAACACAATTTTGTCATGAATCCATCTGTGTCCTTTGTTTAATATGCACATAGACCAAGGTGAGCGACACAGGCTCTTTAGAGCCTCTAGTTTGGATAATATACCGGTAAGCAAAATGTTAACTATATTTGGTGTATGAAATGATTGCAAGGTGTACATGCCTGTTTAGCCAGTTGGTCTGACCTTGGCCTCATTTTCGTGGTTCAAAAGTCTGAGCTATTTTTTCAACACTTGTGATTTGAAGGTCACTGGGTCAAAGTTGCAAGTTCACATCAGCAATTGATATAATTAAATTTAGGCAAAATAATGTTTCTGGATCTTGGATCCACATTTCCAACCTTCATTAAACTAGTGCAAACAATGGTTCTATGAATGAACAAAGACCTGCTTACCTTTTAGGTCAGGACGTCAAAGTTCAAGGACACAGTAACTGTGAATAGGTAGAATGAAGTTTTTTGAAAAATTTGTTCCAGGGAAAAACATGAGCAATAAATCAGATTTACATTAATCTTTTGTTGATAATAAAACATGGTGAGAACAGAACCCTATTGATTTTTAAACCACTAGGTTAAAAGCCAAGTTCACAGCAGCAGTGAATAGACAGAAATTTTGGCAAATTCCAGATTAACAAGAAATGATTGTAACAGGATGCTGTTAAGAAGTCTCCCAAACGAAGCTCCCATAATTCGTAATTCCCAGGGTCGCCTGACATTGGGCAACGTCCAGTGAAAATTGGTTTGGTCCAGTAAAGTTATATGCATTAGTGATGCCTGGGGACTAACCTTGTATATCATTCAAATCATCTTGGCATGACAAACCAGAATATATATGGTTTAGGGGTGGGGATCTCGACCATTTACAAGATACTAGAACATTGGGGGTGGGGAGGAACCCCTGGGGACTGACCCTATACGTCATTCAAATGTTCATTACATGACGAACAGGAATATATATGGTTTAGGGGTGGGGATCTCAACCATTTACAAGATATTAGAACATTGGGGGTGGGGGGGAACCCCTGGGGACTGACCGTATACGTCATTCAAATGTTCGAGACATGACAAATAGGAATATATATGGTTTAGGGGTGGGGATCTCAACCATTTACAAGATATTAGAACTTTCTCAAATGGCAGGGGGTCAGGATGACCCCTGGGGACTAACCCTGTATATCATTCAAACCATCTTAGCATAACAAACCAAAATATATATGGTTTAGGGGTGGGGATCTTGACCACTTACAAGGTATTAGAACTTTCTTAAATGGCAGGGGGTGGCCCCTGGGGACTAACCCTGTATTTCATTTAATGGGCTTTATCATTTAGAACATTTTCAATTAAAAAGATTGTGTCTATCACAAACGGTTTTCAATTTATAATCATTTGAAAATTTAAAAAAATAAAATCCCATAGGGTTCTATAGTAAAACCCTCTTTTCTTTTTGCCCCTCAAAGTACCCCTTTATAAACCCCATTGCACAAACAAAACCCTGATTGCACCACTAGACATGTTAGTGTAACATATTGTGAAACCCTAAGTTAATCTGACAAGCGGTTTTGGAGAACGGGTGCGGACAAGTTCAAATTTAAAAGCGGCGGAAGAGGAAGAAGAAGAATAATAATAATAAGAACTGAGCAAAAACAATAAGTCTTCCCAAACTTCGTTTGGGAGACTTAATTAAATGCCCTTTTGAAAACAAAAACAAGACCTCAATTTAAAGGACAAGGTACCCAGTATGTTTTGGGACTTGTTTTGTCCTGTTAATTCACAAATAATATAACAAACAGCAAAAATGATCAGCATACAAGATCTAAAAAAAAAACCCAATATAACAGAAACCATCTGAGGACTTTACAGAGTTATTGGCCTTACATGGCGATATTTTGACAAAATTTAAAGTTTCACATATTATGAATTAGAAACTAAACAGCCAATTTGCATAAAAGGCCAATAATTCTTATAGGAAGGATTGATGGTTTCATTTCATTAGCTTTTTTTTTGGGTAAAGATTGCATGAAATGCAATCAAAACCCTATGGTACTGACTTAATGTCTAAATCTTCCAAGGCTGATCACTAATTTTGAGATACACAAAATATAGTGCATTGATCATAATGTTTTAAACGTCCTATCCATGAGGCCACACCAATTTGATTTTTAGTTCTTCGGACAAAAGCTCCAAAAAATATGGGGAGAGCGAGAGAAATTTTTTTGATTGTATTTATTTCTTGAAAATGAGTTTTGAGGCGGGCGAGCGGTATAATATTTTTTTTTAAATTGTGCGATTTAGAATTTTATGTACATGTACAACTGGTTACTTCAAAGAAAAAGGAAGATAAACATGCTCTTATTCATATAATTTGATGTATTTGTGCCTGTAGTACAGTCTGTATCATACCCAACTCTCTGGTTCGCTTTGGTTTAGTATAATTTTGATTATTTTCGTCAAATAAGCTTTGACTGCGTGAATTTTCATTAAAAATTAAATTCATACATGTGTATATATTAAGGAAGAATAGCAGATGCAGTTTAGCAAGAGGAATTATGTTAGTGAGGTAAATTTAAATGAAATGTGTTGAATACAATTAAAATATGTGTATTTATTCCAAAAAAATGCCCTAGAAAAAATATTATCTTTTGATATAGTTGTTTTTATTATATGGTGATGATTGTTTATTGGCTGCTTGACATCCAGTTGGAACTATTTATCCATAATAGGATCAACATAATGAGTAAGGTGAATAGTTCAACAACATCCACAGTAAGATAGTTATATTGCTATGCATGTAGATCTAAAATTTATTAAAACATTCCCTTAAAATACACATGCATTATTCTGACTTAGCAAAATACTTTTTCCTTTTGCCCCTGAAACCTGCAATGTATTTCAAACTGTAAGTGGTTGCACCAATAACACATCCCTAATTATTATTAGTATGCCAATCCCAATACCACCACTTTGGTCTCAAACGTTGGAACTCTTTTTCCCCTGATTTAAGAGTTCTGATTGCATGTCAATAGACTATAAACAAGGGGATATGAGGTTTTCATCAAAATACGATTAATCTGTATTTTTTAAAAATTCATGTGAATTTAATAATTATTAATCTCATCCAAGACAGATAGCTCTATGTCTCTTGTAATCCGAGATTAATCTGACTTCCAACGGCTGTTTTGCCAGACAAGCTGGGGCCGTGGACGTCAGAGTAATCTCGGACTATGTCTGCTGAAACAATGATCGGGGATGACAATGGTTCTAACTTCTAACAAGTACTGATGACTGATGTGATCGTGGTCACCTAACGAAAGATTTCTTTATTTTTGTCTCCTAGAACAGGTCTTCATAGGTAAAACGAAATGCGTTTAAAATAACTGTGTGTTTAATAACTACTTGTCCACGGCAATGATCTGACACTTCATGTTGGCATCCCGATTTTTGACCTTTCATTTACAAATCGATTTATCACACGTGCGTTTGAATCGATCGGAGAAATATACATGATATATGCACAAGAAAAACATCTAAAAGAAAAAAAAATTTCAAAGATAAACTAATTTTGGAGCGGCATGCGGCCCAAAAATTGGCGGAAGCGGTAATTATTTTTTTTTATTGAAAAGTCAATTTCTCCAAAACAGGAGCGGGAAAATCCAAAGAACTATTAATCAAATTGGTGTGGCCTTAACATTTCCAGAAATCTATCAATGAAATATATATGCTCAGATATTCAAGTTACAAAAATGATATTATACTTGTCAAGAATATTACATAACTTGTGCAAGGTACAGGACTATAATATCAGTTCTTAAAATATCAATGATGTAATTGCTAAAGTAATCTTTAAAATTGGAGTTATCTTCCTTTGTCCATAATTGTAGTTGAATCAACTTATAACCAATGCTTCATATAATACAATGTTTAATTTTATTTTCCACTGATCAGTGCTTACAAGCACTTTGATTTTATCTTGTAGTGAAGATCTTTTTGCTGTTTACAGATTCTGTCTCTCTATTATACTTCTCAAGATAATATGCAAAATTAGCAACTCTTATAACTCTTCCAGAATTTTCAATTTTAAGCCTTGTCTTTTTTTTCACTTGGAATGCTGTCTCGTGATATGTATTTTATATTCATATCAGTGAAGCAGTTGAAAATATAAGGCATTTTAGCTAGATTTATTATGTAAAGAGAAACTATTGAAACTCAAGATAGGAAAGGTGATACAAAGAGAGTGAGATCCAAGATCGCTGTACACCACTATTATTTGGTAAGAAACAAAACAATATAATATATATTTATTATAAATAGAATGAGAAATATCACATGTCTGTTTCCATACTGGCTATCAGGTCATCATCATCCATATCATTAAGATCAGTTTGTTTATTTGTTTGTGATGATGAGGTACCTGTTCCTTCTACTTTCACTTTGATCACTTTTGGTGTGTTTGGCACTGGCTTGGTACCTTCAATGGAAATTATATAATGATAAAAAATTAATCTGAAAATACAGATAACATTCAATACTTTTTACTGCTTTATTAAAAATTAGTTATAAATCCAAGTTTTGCAGTGGTACGGAACTTTGTTCCATATAAACAAACACATATACTTTAATTCCTGTTGAGAAAAAGTTTTTATAGTCTATGTTTAGAGGATTAATCGATTCATGATAGCACTAGAAAAAGCATTTGCCGATCCTAAGAAATATACATGTATGAAAGTGTCCTTTCTTATAAAACAAATACAAGATTGGTTATGTTATCACAAGTCCTGAATCAATTTTATACCACAATCTGCACCAAAAACCTAAAGCAACTAGTCCTATGGGCTAGTAAGGGACGACATCATAAGTTCAATGTAGGATAAAAAACTTAATTCACATAGTTTTTTCACTGACCCCCCCACCCCCCTTCTTAACTTAATTTGGGAAAAATTGATTGACCAATATGGGCATATGCTCTCAGATGATACTTTTTGTATCATGGGTCCTGTTTTTCCTCAACAATGTATGTTTGTTCTGTATATTGACTTGGACATCACTTCTAAAAAATATTGGATAAAAGTTATGTGTATTTTTATTATGCATCAAAAAGGGCACTGTTTAATTATAATTTTATAAACACTAGTCAGCATGGATTCTGCATTTTTCATCTGCCCACTATTGGCATGGGTAAATAGTGGGTTTATGGTTTTGATTGTTTTTGTTTCTTTTCTCAAATGAATATAAAACAGTCTATTGTTTCATATAACGTATATAGCTTTAAACTAAATAGTGATCCATTGAAATGTATGGTGATGACAGGGCAGTGTATTTGTGCCAACTGTGGAGAGGGGGAAAAGCACAATCCCAAATGATTATAGTGAATGTGATATGATCTATGTAATTTCTATTCAATATCTGTTGACCACTTTCATATTTTTCTACTATCTCACAAAATTCTATAAAACTTTCAAATTTTTATTTTAATTCATATTTCAGTTTTCATTTTAATAATTAAATAATTAACACAATTTCAAAGGAAATTTTATAGTTTATTTTTGAATGCCACCATGCTGTGTGGACCTAAACAATCTGTGTTGATCTGTATATGGTTTCATATCATTCAAAATTCACGATCAATAAAGCGTTTGAACGACATAGATACTATGATTAATTTCGCCCAAATACTTTCGGCCAAAAATTTGCTTTCTGGTACGATTTGATGGATTTCATTTGGTTTAAAAGTCCAAACATATGTAAGGGCCGAACTTGAATCCGTATTTTTCAATCCAAAATCGATGTCGGATAACAAAACTTGCAGCGATTTTTACCCCCCACACCCAAACTATTTGAATTAAGTTTTTATCCGACATCGATCTTTTGATGTCGTCCCTAAGTCATCAGATTTTACTTGTTTAAAAATGTTTTAAATAGTCCAAGAAAATTTCGACTATCAACTGAGGCCCTTAAAGCTAGACGAATCAGCTAGAAAGGTTTGGGGGCATGCCTCTTAAGAAAATATTTTGAAATATAAGATGCAAAATCCTGTATTCTGAGCATGCCTGAAATGGTTTTAGATGATTGAAACTTTTTCTATTTAAGCTCTTTATTGGATGTAAATTAAAACATCTGCAAAGATTGGCCAAACTTTTATGATACTTATCAAAGATTAAGTCAACTTGATAAGCCCTCCAAGACCAGAGCGCTTGAAAAAGGTCTTGCCAGGCTTTTGAATTGACATAGTCTAAAATTTGTCTGTCCATTTTTTTTTATTCTATAGAAAAATGCCTTCACTTCTTTATAACATTTCAACTTTTTAAATGACACTTTTCAAAAACTATGCATCACAACTTGTGAAACTATCAACATGATAAGAAACTCAGATTACTTTGCATATTGATAAAATCAAAAGACTTTCCATGTTTGTCATGGAGTCTAGCATGTGTGGCACTATCACTCTTTTTCTATCAAAACTGGTTAGGAAAGACCATTTAACTTTGAGTAAGGGGTTATATTTTTTTTCTTTCTAAAATATGTTTTGATACCACACGCATCAAATTATTATTTTTTTTGTTACACAAAGTGCAAAAATATTGTTAAGAACTTAACATCAGAGACATATAATAAAGGGTTCAGTATGCAAGAGAGCTTCCTTGATCAATGTGTTCTGCTTATTTAATTTTAAGTGTATCATGATTTTCAAATGCTTATTTTGCGTGCTCGGTATTTTCAAGGAATTTTCTTGTCTGCGGGATATTTGCATTTTAAAAATTAAGGAGATCGTAATATACTTTCATAAAAACTGTAAACCATTTATATCATTAATGTGTGTACTAATTCAGAAATATCAAGTAAAACAGTGAGTTTATATACAAGAAAAACAGTCAATCAGTCACAAAAGGGATCACATCAAAGTCTTTATTTTTTGTGCAACGTTCATGACAGAAATTATTTCACGTTCAACGTGAAATTATGTCTTATTTAACATTTTTTCCGTGCAAGCACCCCTCTTTACCACCCTCTTAATACTTGTATTATAGGTCTCTGTTAACATTACTTATATTCAGGATTTTTTTTTTCTCTGATTTGAATATTTTAAGAGTAAAATGGTTGTTCCCTTATGACTCTTAAGAATAGACATATGAATGAATGTAGAATCTTACACAGAAATTTCATGCTATAATAAATTTATTTACACTTTTGGTATTTAGCTGAATATGTCTCCAAATGACCTTAGATCTGTCTCAGAATAACCTTCTGACGTCAAGCAACAATCACTTTTTAATTATGATGTCAAATTTTATGGGAACTTGTGTGATTTTAAGTAATGGCGGACAAATTTGAATACAAGTGTAAATACGTCTATTTCCATCTGACTATTGTTTATTTTCTTTCTCTCTTTCTTTTAAACTAATGGGTAAAAAACAATTCTTTCGTTGTGTCAGGTCTAAATCATTTGAAACATTGAAACTTGTCCGTAATTATATAAGATTCTTGGCTATTCCTATTCTTATTGCAGAAAATGTCAAAATCTAGCTCGTTTCTTTTAAACTGTTTCCATACAAAATAACGGACATCGTAAACTAGTCCGCTAATTCTATATCTTAATACCACAAATTACCACATGGAAATAAACACGACTTGTTGCAGATCCGCAAACACAGTAAGGTTTACAAATAAGACACTGATCAATTTAACAAAAGTATTTTGATATTTAAACATGCAAGAGCCCCTGTTGATTCTTTTATAACAGCAAAATTTAGTTCATAAAAAATAAATATGACCGTGTTGGTATGCTTTAAACTGGTAACAAGACAGATTGAGATTAAACGCTGAATTTCTTGAATCACTACCTTCGAAAATTGAAGTCTTTTATATAATGTTAGCGGATCATTTTCTAAGTAAAAGGGTTAACTATTAATCTTCCATTTAAATATTGCATTTGATCAACTTAACGTAATTTTCAATACAAAAATCAAGCAAACACATACTTTTACTCGATCTTGAAAGAACTGTAGAAAGAAAAACGTGCACTCTATTTCACGTGACTGTCTGTAAACTAAATGGCATGTAGACCATAACAATAAAAGCAAATGCTTTTAAAAAAGCATTGTTTGTGTTTATTATCTCGAATGAAGGAAGCCTTCAAAGCAGGACTTTCAGTATTTCCTGTCAATGACCTGAGTTTTGGTTTAATATGACTTACAGTGTTGTCTACGCTATTTTCATATTTCAATGGGTATGAAAAAGCAATGTTTCCCAAAATATTATTGCACAACATTTAAAATACATTCTATCATCAAATCTATTCAGCACCATGGTACAAAATATAGAATGGTACCATGGGGCTATAAGGCCCTGGGAAGAACACTGCATTCAGACACCTCTTTGATACTCAATACACATGCATTACAATCAGCTAATGACAATTGTTCTATGTTTATGGAATTAAAAATATTCATGCATTACACAGCTTCTCATTACAGTTTTTGGTTGTGTATAAACTATTGCACAAACCTTTTCAAGGACAATTTGCATCATTTACAAAGTTATTGGTATACTAATGAAATAATGGAAGTCACTGAAGCAGTGATGGAAAAGTGACATTATTTTGTTGGGAACCTTTTATTCTCTTCTAGATGCAACTTTACATCCAGTCCCAGCCCAAACACCATGACCTATTTTGGAACAGTCCTTTGAAGTTTTTTTTATCCCTCTATACAAAATATCTGTAAAAGTTATCTCACATTAATAACCTACCCTCTTTAGGTCCATTTAGTAGTTTATAACTGTCAAGGAAATAACCATTGGGATGGTTAATGTTTATACTGGCAGAATCCTCAGGGTTACGTATATTATGTGTTGCTTCAAAATACTGTGCACATGCTATCTGGTAGTGACCTGTTTTTACACATTTTGTGATCTAAAACATAAATACTTTTATTATTACAGTGATGTATATATATCAAGATCTAGTGTGTAAGCTGTTTTCATATGAGTTAGCTGTTTTGCCAAGTTAATGTTAACAGAGGCTGTAGTTCAGTGGTTGTTGTTAGTTCATGTCTGTCACATTTTTTTTTTGTAAATTGTTTTGTTATAAATTAGGCTGTTGGTTTTCTTGTTTGAATTGTTTCACATTTTTCATGTTGGGGTCTTTTATAGCTGACTATATGGTATGGGTTTTTATATGACAACAAAATGTTTGTTGTTGTATAATGTTACAACGTTGTCAGCATCATTGTCCGTAGACATTTGGTTTCCAAACAATTGCTTGAGTATAATTGTATGGATCTCTATGAAATTGTACAAGAAGGTTCCATGCCACAAAAGCAAGGTTGGGATTGATTTTGGAGGTTAATGTCCTAACTGTTTAGGAATTAATATTACTTATGTATAAGTGTATGGATCTCTGTGAAATTGTACAAGGTTCCATACATCAAAAGGAAGGTTTGGGATTGATTTTGGGAGTTATGGGCCAACACCAATACCTTTCTAATACTTTGAATAAATTGCTTACTTCTTGACCAATTTCATTGGGGTTTCAGAGTGGATCCATCCATTTTTAAAAGGGGAGGTTCCCAACCCAGGATAAAGGGGGGTTCCAACTATATGTCCCCGTTCAAATGCATTGATCGTCAAAAAAAGTGGGGGGTTCCAACCCCCCCAACCCCCCTGGATCCGCCACTGGGTTCAATTCAAAGTCTTGAAATCTTTGGGTTTTTTTAATATGCTGAAACTAACCACGTTTTTGGATTTTGGACCTTGTTTCTAAATTGGTCCACATTGAGGTCCAAAGGGTCCAAAATTAACTTATCTGGGTTCTTTGATATGCCGAAACTTACAGTGTATTTAGATTTTTTATTGTGGGGCTGGTTTTAAAATTGTTCCACATTTAGGTCCAAAGTGTCCAAAACAAAACTTTGATTTTTCAACAAAAATTGAGTTCTTGGGGTTCTTTGACATGCTGAATCTAATCCTGTATTTAGATTTTTGATTTAAGGCCCTTTTTTCAAATTGGTTCAGATTAAGATCCAAAGGGTCCAAAATTAAACTTTAGTTTGATTTTAACAAAATTGATTTCAAGGGGTTCTTTGATATGCTGAATCTAACCATGTACTAAGTTTTTGAATTTTGGGCCCCATTATCAAAATGGTCCACATTGAGTCCAAAATAAAAATTTGTTTGATTTCATCAAAAATTGAATTCTTGGGGTTCTTTTATATGTTGATTCTAATAATATATTTTGATTTTAGACATTGGACCATAATAGGTAATAGTCCAATTAAAAATTTTTCAGTTCTTTGACCACATTCATTTTGTGTCGGAAACCTATGATTTGTCAAATATTTAATCACAATCCAAATTCAGAGCTGTATCAAGCTTGAATGTAGTGTCCATACATGCCCAAATTGTTCAGGGCATGACCTCTGCGGTCGTATCAAGCTGTGTCATGCAGATCATTTTATTCTCATTGTTGAAGGCTGTACGGTTGCCTATAATTACTTACATCCACTTCATTTGGTCTTTGGTGGATATTTGTCTCATTGGCAATCATACCACATCTTCTTATTTGTATACTGTAACAGTAAAATATCAGAAATAAAACTAGATTGGACATTTGCAAAACCATAAGACCTTATAAAAGTTTCTAAATGGAAGAAACGTAGATTATGAGGTATAACTAGGTTCACATTGTTCCCCCCTAATTTAACCAATAAAGTGCTATATGATAGTAGGTCACTTAATATCTATAAAATTACTTGGACAAATACTTTACTTTTCTACAGCACAACATGATGGTCAACATGAACTATTTTGGTTGACGGCTTTTAACTCTCTTGTATGCCTCATTACACAAAGTTATATGATTGATCTGTAAATCACCATTCTTTACTTATTAACCAAATTATCAACTAAATATCTAAATATAAAAAAAGATTGGGCATCAGAATATGGGAGTAAACAACTAGATGATGATGATGGATGTCTGCTTAATGTTCAGCGGCAAATTAAATGGTAAAAATTGTAATTCAATGGCAATAACTTCTATAAAAGAACCCTTATGACAAATGTATATTAGGTAGATCTCAGCATTCTGAACATTTCTGCCCCTTTGTGATTTTCTCTCATCTTAAGCAGTTTTTCTAGATAATAGACAAAATTTCCATTTAACTCCTTTGTTCTATTTTTAGCCATGAGTGATGCAAATAGCTCACTTAACCCATTCGTCCCTTTTGACAAAGCATATAGAGGTTGATAACTAACCATCAATATAAACTTTTGCAGGTAAATAACTGCTGCATATATTTTTTGGAATGATTATTACCAACCTTTTCAACATTATCTTTTGATATGTGTTGACCTCTGAGTTTCTGTGCTAACATGTCGACTTCCATGTGCTTAAATGGACAACCTGAAAAGTAAAAAATAAATGGTTATCTGCAAGAAATAACATGATATAAAACAATCAAGTCATGACATTCATAACATACTAGATAAAGGTAAATCTAGAAAAGGACATTCATAACATACTAGATAAAGGTAAATCTAGAAAAGGACATTCATAACATACTAGATAAAGGTAAATCTAGAAAAGGACATTCATAACGTACTAGATAAAGGAAAATCTAGAAAAGGACATTCATAACGTACTAGATTAAGGTAAATCTATAAAAGGACATTCATAACGTACTAGATAAAGGAAAATCTAGAAAAGGACATTCATAACGTACTAGATAAAGGTAAATCTAGAAAAGGACATTCATAACGTACTAGATAAAGGTAAATCTAGAAAAGGACATTCATAACGTACTAGATAAAGGTAAATCTAGAAAAGGACATTCATAACATACTAGATTAAGGTAAATCTAGAAAAGGGCTTCTGAGGCACCAAATCTGTAATGTGATATTTCATTAATAATTTTAGGCAGATTCCAACTTAGATTATGGTTTTGTTTTTTTATAAAAATAAGGAGATGTGGTATGATTGCCAATAAGACAACTATCCAACAAAGTTCAAATGAAGTGGATGTAAGCAATTATAGGCAACCGTATGGCCTTCAACAATGTTCATTTTTCAAATTTTTAGTATGCCTCAACATAGATAAGATTTACAGCAATTTTAAACCTTTAAAAATTGTACCACATCTATTTTAAAACAAAAATTTATATGCAGATTTGATAAGATAATACCATGGAAATCTCCTGGTCCAGGTGGATTGGTAGTAATTATCTTCATACAGCTGTACGGTGTGTAGTTTGTTCTTTTTCCTTCTTTTCCATAATTGTGACGAATATTATAGGAATACTGCTTATCAAACTATAAACAAAAACATATATCCTCAAGGCATTTTGTAATTTATATCACTGTTTGTGCTTTAGTTGTGCTTCTTTTTGACTGAAATTTGATATTCTTTTATCCATTCAAGGCACCCACAACTTGCATTTAACATCAGCATTTGGCCAAACCATTGTCATGTTACATTCTTGCTTAAGGTTGTATTCCAGTTTTTTTTTCGTATTGTGTGTATTGAAATCTGTATCATGTTTACAGTTTTTACAATCAATAAAAGTGATTTTTAATACCACTCTATATCCATATCATAATCTATTTACATTTTTTTTAGTTAAGATTTAAACTGACAAGAATACAGTAAATTCTTGTGGTATGTGAATTTTTCATGATAAAATTAACTTTAAAATACCTTATCAACATCCATAGCTTTACAAAACTCAGTTCTCCAGAATCTCATTGCTTCCTCCAAGGACACACCAATGCCCTTGAGGAAAAGTCCATACTGCTGCCTCCCTCCATGGCGTAAATGATGATTCTGTCTCAATGACTGATGTAATTGCTGCATACAAAGAGGAAAGGACTTCTTGGAGAGCTGTAAAACAAATTATATTATTATAATACTAACAATTAAGTCTCTGATTTGATAAAGAAATTACCATAACAGACTATTAATGATCCTATATTAATGATCCTTTAGGTATATATTTATACATGGCATTCACTTTTGTTTTGTTGTTTTGATTTGTGATCAATATCTCTCCTTTCAAAGGCTATTAATGATGGTAGTAATTGATGACAACATTTTAGAAAATTGACGATATCAGCGAAAAACAAGTGCAATGTTATATATATACAGATTTCAGTCATTATAAGGCCATGTTTGTTATCTAAATTGGAAATGGTGTCTAACTAATTTTCCTGTGTCTGCAGGTAATTTTTTTTTAAAGTAAGTTTATAATAAGTGCTGTGTAGAATATTCATGCTGCAATTACTGTGTTAAACATTAGCAGAAAGATTGTAATCAGGAATAAAAAGAACCTTTTTTAGATATTCTTTGTTCGAAAATCAGAATCAACTGATTTACACTGCTGTTAAAATTGAAATTAAACATAGCAACATGCTACAGTTCCAATTTTAATTACACTAAATAATGTTCTGGTGAAGAAACTTAACATCCAGCATATAGACTAAGATTTCTAAATGAAAATTAAAAGAATTTTCCTGGGGAGTTGTAAAGTCCCTAAAGTGTGTATGAAAAACAGTCACAAAGATCATCACTCAATATAGAAATGCATATTCAGTTTAAATATGACATTACAATAAATGAACAGGTAAATTGGTGCAAATGAATTTTGTTTTCTAGCAAAATAAAATTCCTAAGGAAATTATTTTATACACTGTATTTTCAAAACAGCAATAGACACTACAGAGTTCTTTGAAACAAATTGGTTAGGACCGACAGTTGCGTGTGTAGTGACAGTCCTGATGACCGACTAAATTTTGGTGGTTGTTCAATATATTTTTTTAGGCTTTTTGGTATTCTGATAGCTTTTAAACTGGTAACTGCTGTAAACAAACTTTTGTAGCATAGCTCAAAATTATAGTAATAGTCTTGATAAGGAAACAGTTATCTAAGTTGTAATGGCAGCCTCCGCACCTGGTGCATGGCCCATTTCATTTAAGAGCATAAACTTGCCTGCGAAAGGACGATTTAAGTCGCTAAAAAATTTCAAAATCCGTAAAACTCTCCGGTCGACCGACTTCATAACAAGTTGTGTTGCCATCAAAATCGGTACAAGTTGCACATGTAAACAAAAATGGCGACTGACAAGGAAAATCGAGATTTTCAAATTCACCAAGGACTAATACTGTGGATAATGAAAAGAAATAAATACAACATCGACTTTGTACCCCCTTGGATTTTACATTCAAAACAATTGTAACGCAGAACTGAGCGATTGTTTGAGTTATCATGTTACAATGAATGAGTTGTGTCATGAGAATGTTGCAACTCAGCTGATTTTTATATTTTTATTTATTACGCGCTGACCAGTTGTACTTTTCGGTAGGTTTAGAGGTGGATATTAACGGCAGATTTCTTTCTGTTATTTTATCAAAATTGAAATATGAAAAGTTCAAAATAGCCAACGGCTAATTTGATTGCAAGTACACGTACAAAGTGTGGTCAGCTGGGGATCAGCAGCTTGTTTTGATTCTACAACCAATTAATAGAGTTAATTCAAGTACAGTTACAGGACCAACAAATTTTCTCTCGGACCACCAGATTTGTAAGCTTGAAGGTCCGAGTGACCACCAGGAAAAAAAAGATTTCCAGAACTCTGCACTAGCAGATTGTATCTGAATCTGTACTTTATTATGTGTTAAAAAATAATGTTTTTGGACATTTCATACCATTTTATGAGAAGGATAAAAATCATGATTGCCTATAAGGTTATATAGCATGCCATTGTATGTACTAAGTAAGTATGCCATCATATCAGCAAGTTTATGCTTCCTACCATTTCAATCATATCAGCTGTTATTTCTCCAACATTGGACTTTTTAGCATTAAAATCTTGACCCAAATATCTCTTGCTTAATCCACATAACATTGGCAATAAACGACCATCTTCCTCTAAGTGTGGGAGAGCTCTTGTTGTCACCTGAAAATACACATTGTAACATTACCATTGAAAATTGGATAAAAAAAATTATTCCTGAAATTGTATAGATTATCAAGTTCAAGCTGCTGATGTTTTTCTTCAATGTTACTTAATGAGAAACTAGTTTGTCCTTCACTTAATTATGTCCACTTATGAGTGTTTATATGCAGCAAGATCATGTTAAGTATAAAAATGTAGAGTTTGAGAAACTTCAATTTTTTAGGCCAGACCAAGAACTGACAAAAGACAAACTTTTGCTAGTCCTTCATTTTTTGGAAATTTGGTAATATTAGATATTAAGATGGAAAACATTAGAAAATGAAATTTAATACAAAAAGAATCATTCAAGTAAGTCTGAATGTAACAAAATTTTTGAAATACTGAAGCAATATTTTCTGAAGGACGCCTCCGGGTGCGGGAATTTCTCGCTGCATTGAAGACCTGTTGGTGACCTTCTGCTGTTGTCTGTTCTATGGTCGGGTTATTGTCTCTTTGACACATTCCCCATTTCCATTCTCAATTTTATTTCTGTTAGAAACTTGTTTGTTCTTTGTTATCATCTTAAACTATAACTTGTTTTTTTACATATTTAACATTAGTTTAACATATTTTCTGGTCATAACCATCTACATTAGACAAACAAAAACAATGTTAGTTTTCTTTTCCTTTCAATTTTGTCTTAACCCTTAGACTGCTGCATTCATTTCTATTGTACTTTTGTGTATTGCTGAATAAAATTTTAATCACTGATGAAATAAACATGTTTACTTACAATTGCTATATCTTTGTAAATATTTAATATTCATCAATGAAAGTCATATAAAAAAGTTGTTAGATTCTGTATTTTTTATTTATTTTATTTTTGTGTGAGTCTCTGGTCATTTATTACCTGTACAGGTGCAAATAGAGGTAAACAAAAGTAAATATTTTTTTTCATGTTTTATTAACGAATCCATCAATGTAAAAACTTTACAAAAGTATCCATGACTTCAGAATTGAACCAGTATAGTTAAAAATCTGTTTTAAGAACTAGTTCCATTGTGATTATCAAAAGAAAAAAGTTTCTTCTCGGACCAACGGCCTTTTTTATGCAACTATTTTCCGGTATTTTCCTTCCGACTTTCACTGCGCAGACTTTTACTTCCATGTACAAATATATTTATACAACAAGTTCATTGATATAGCTTTCATCAATAAATAATCTTGACAAATTTAAAGTTCGGATATATCGATGTCAGTGATCAATATTGATTCACAGTTGAAAGGTGCAATGATAAACATCACAAATCCTGTTTCATGTCATCCATTTCGAACATGGTCTGGGGAATCCCTGTGGTTCTCTATTTAAAAGTCTTCTGTTCGCAGTTTTGCTAGAATGTTTCTATTTCCATCTATTATATCTTCTGTTCTCTTCAAAATCCTTTAAATCAGCCGCCACTGTTACATCGTTATCATAGAAATACTTCTGAACGTGTTGGCCATCATTCCAAACAATATCCGCCATTTTGTCACTTTTTTCATCAAAATTTTTCACTTTCGGTTTCATCGCTTATACCCAATTTAAAGTCAAGAGACACTCGAAAGAACGCAGAATTTTAACCAATCAGAATCCATACAAGTCTAAACTGCCGCAATCTCATGAATATTGACTCCGCCCATTCCATGGTAACTGTGTAAACAAACGAGTTACGGAAACGACAATAGTCGCCCGTAGCAGTAGCGGACTGCTTTATCGGAACGACAATAGTCGCGTGTAGCAGTCTAAGGGTTAAACAATTTGTTCAAGAAGAATCACAGCTAATTAATAGCCATAAAAATAGTTATATACAAATAACTTAGGAGACTTATCTATCAAATTTCATTATCAAAATATTAATTTATTTAAATGGTTGTACTAACAGCCAATGAGTGAGACAGGCAACCTCTGTAATGGGCGAGTAGTTTTACTTTCAGCCAATGAGCAAGACAGGTGACCTCCGTAATGGACGAGTAGTTTTACTTACAGCCAATGAGTGAGACAGGTGACCTCTGCAATGGGCGAGTAGTTTTACTTACAGCCAATGTGTGAGACAGGTGACCTCTGTAATGGGAGAACAGTTTTACTTACAGCCAATGAGCAAGACAGGTGATCTCTGTAATGGGCGAGTAGTTTCATACAGCCAATGAGCGAGACAGGTGACCTATGTAATGGGCGAGTAGTTTTACTTACAGCCAATGTGTGAGACAGGTGACCTCTGTAATGGGCGAGTAGTTTTACTTACAGCCAATGTGTGAGACAGGTGACCTCTGTAATGGGAGAACAGTTTTACTTACAGCCAATGAGCAAGACAGGTGACCTCTGTAATGGGCGAGTAGTTTCATACAGCCAATGAGCGAGACAGGTGACCTCTGTAATGGGCGAGTAGTTTCATACAGCCTGTTGTAAATGTGTGTATTGGTTATTTCCAAGTAAAGACATATTGTTATTATTGTATTAAGAGAGTTTATATGAGTTTTCAGAAGTTATTTCTAGTATTTCTAGTATATTGAATGAGTAATTAACGTACGTTTTACTTTATGTTATTAGATGTATCGATAACGTCATATATGGCGCAAATTTGTCATGTATTATTCAGAACGTTACCTTTGGGTAAATATTGTAATCGTGAACCCAAAAGTGTTCATTTGTGATCTCTCAACTGGAAGAAATAATATGTCTTGATTGTTTTAGTAACAAAAGTGTATTATTATAAGCATTTTGAGTCGAGGACTTGTATATTTTATGTCAGCGTTTGACGTTATGTTTTTCTTCCTGCTTAGAATATTTACTTCCGGGAATTTCAAATAAATACCTGTGCAACGTCACGTTCGTCAGTCTTTTGCTGTGTTTACATTTGGCTTGCAGCAAGGCTCAGCCCGGGGGTTCCTAGAGGTGAGAAGCAGCGCATTTAGCTGTATGCCTCGCAGTTTATATTACAAGTTAGGGTCGTAGTTTAGAGGTAAGAAGCAGCGCAGATAGCTGTATGCCTTGCATTTATTTACGTTGTCATTGTATTATTTATTAAGATAATCCCGTTTGGTCCGTACAAAAATACAAGAGAAAGAATGTTATTTTAGTAGCTCCGCCCCGTATGTAAATAATATAATTGTTGCTCAAATATTGTACATGAATGGAAATATATCGGCTGTTCTAGAAGTTTAATAAAAGTATCATTTTCTACTATTGATTATTTATTCACGCTACCAATGATGAGAGAGAACAGACAACAGATTTGACGGCCGTATTTATTTATCCCTTAGTTTAGTCACAAGTTTTGTGAAATTATTCGTATTTGCTGGCTTTAAAACTATAGACAAAACATAGCAAGAAGCAGAAATTACGACAATTTAGTTTCATACAGCCAATGAGTGAAACAGGTGACCTCTGTAATGGGCGAGTAGTTTCATACAGCCAATGACCGAGACAGGTGACCTCTGTAATGGTCGAGTAGTTTTACTTACAGCCAATGTGTGAGACAGGTGACCTCTGTAATGGGAGAACAGTTTTACTTACAGCCAATGAGCAAGACAGGTGACCTCTGTAATGGGCGAGTAGTTTCATACATCCAATGAGCGAGACAGGTGACCTTTGTAATGGGCGAGTAGTTTTACTTACAGCCAATATGTGGAACAGGTGACCTCTGTAATGGGAGAACAGTTTTACTTACAGCCAATGAGCAAGACAGGTGACCTCTGTAATGGGCGAGTAGTTTCATACAGCCAATGAGCGAGACAGGTGACCTATGTAATGGGCGAGTAGTTTTACTTACATCCAATGAGTGAGACAGGTGACCTCTGTAATGGGAGAACAGTTTTACTTACAGCCAATGAGCAAGACAGGTGACCTCTGTAATGGGCGAGTAGTTTCATACAGCCAATGAGCGAGACAGGTGACTTCTGTAATGGGCGAGTAGTTTTACTTACAGCCAATGAGTGAGACAGGTGACTTCTGTAATGGGCGAGTAGTTTTACTTACAGCCAATGAGTGAGACAGGTGACTTCTATAATGGGTGATGACAATGGAAATCATATCATCTCTAGACACATATGCATATCCATCCTCTAAATATACTTTTCTTTTACTGACTAAATCAAACACTTCTGTGAAGGGCACCTGCAAAATACATGTTTATATATTTATATATCAGAAGGACATTGATTTGGTATATTTGAATAAATCTTTTAAATTTCCAAAACAAGGCAACAGCTATATATCTCATATGTGTGATATTACTCCTTTCTATCCTATTCCATTTAGCATCAGTATAAACACAACTGTCATATTCAGCCAGTCAAAGACTTACATTGAGTTAACAATACATTGAATCAGATAAATATGAGTTCAGTTGCTTATAACTTTGAACCAGAATATTAGGTTGAGGAAATCAAGTCATAATTTAATTGCAGAGTAAGCAGAACAGTTATCAATTCATCTAATCCTAACTTTAGAAGAATAATGCAACTGTGGAAATTGCCAGTAAAAGCAGACAATGCAGGAATGTTTTTGTTGCAAACATAAAAGTTCATCCATCTAAATTTAGATAATCATCAATGTATTACAAAAATTGACAGTTATAAAAAACTTGTTTTAACTGCAATTTTATAGAAATATGAAAACCAGAATGGAAGGTTTGCCATGAAAAACTACACTCTTTGTTCTCCTCAATATTGATGAGTTCCACAGTAATTGTCAAATCAAAATGGCAGTACAGAAAATGGTTAACTACACATAATGAAACACATTCTAACCAAGTATGAAAGCTTCTCGACAAATAACCTCAAGGAAAGCAGTGTTCACCAAGTTTTACTGATGAATGAAATCTATCACTATTGCTCATCCATTGGGGTCAAAAGCTTATAGTAAGTTATAAGGCCATATCAAACTATTACACACTGCTCATACCAAGTTCATACAAACCTTAAAATATTCAATAGTATCCACAACTCCTGATTTACTCCCTGCTGCTGCTCGTAGTTCAGCATCCAATTCTGTCTTTAAGTCGTCACTGATCTATAACATTCAAAGTCATAATTAACACCTTAACTTCTCAATGAAATAACAGACAATGTACCTTTTGTGGTGTGTTTGTTTATTCCAAATTGGCTAGAGGTATAGGGGGAGGGTTTTGATCTCACAAACATGTTTAACCCTGCCTGTCCCAAGTCAGGAACCTCTAGCCTTTGTTAGTCTTGTGTGTTTTTTTAAAATTTTGGTTAATTTGTGTCAGTAAGAGTTTAGTGTGGAGTCCATTTCGCTGAACTAGTATACATTATTGTTTAGGGGCCAGCTGAAGCCCACCTCTGGCTGCGAGATTTTCTGGCTGTGTTGAAGACCCATTGATGGCCTTGGACTGTTTTCTGCTCTTTGGTCAGGTTGTTGTCTCTTTGGCACATTCCCTGTTTCCATTCTCTATTCTAAATTCATTCCGTTTTTTATAATAACATCCCATGATGGAAAATTTAATAGCATTTAAATGAAAGAACTATCATAATTATTTTCCTAAAAGAAATTCAAATATTGTTCTGAACTAATATGACTTGGGTCATTTAATAATTTAAGTTTTCATCGACTTTTTGCTTAAGGCCACCTTTCTGCCAACTATCATTTTCATATCAAATATACTTGAAAATCAAGTTATCAATTTGAATTTTGGCTTTCCTGATGTTTTTGATTGTTAATGACATTTATGGTGGTTATATTTTCCTCTTGTCATTCACGCAGAAAAGGAGAAGACAATGATTTATTATAGGCTTCTTTCTGGACTGTCAGATATCTTATGCTTAGAAATGTTTCTGACAAAACTGATCTTGAAGTCATCTGACAGTTTTGATGTAAAAAGACAATCCGTAGATCTCAATATTTCTTCCCATCAGATATTCTCTTTTTATAGTGGTATTAATGATCAAAGACAGAACTTGCATTTTACCCCTATATTCTATTTTTAGCCATGTAGACTCTGTTGGTTGGCAGGCCGGGTCACCAGAAACATTTTTAAAACTAGATATCAATGAGGATTGTGGCCAACCTTAGTTAAATTTAACCAAGTTATTTCAGTGGAGAAGATTTTAACGGATGACAAAAACATAAGCAAAGTGATGAGAAAAGCTCATTTGAGCCTTTGGGTCAGGTGAGCTCAAAATGTGAAATGTATTTTTTTATTAAATTATCAAAATCAGCAATATAAAAATTTGTTGTTAGAGAACCATGGTCATATAAATAATCAGACACACAACATTTTCTTTCTTTTACTTTTGTTTTTTTGGTAACAGTGCCCATGATATTTGGTTGGTATCAAGAGCTCAAGACAAGAATTCACAAATTGGGGTTTTTACCCACAATTTTTTTTGCAATTGAGTGAAATAGTTTTTTTAATTGCATTACTAATTCCAATTCACCCCTCAAGCAAATATCAAATTTTTTTCACCACAAAGCTTCTGAATGTAATGGGTTTTTTTCAACAAAATATTGAAATGAGGCATGTTATAATGTAATCATATCAAACCAAGATGTTCATCCACTGTTATCTTAAATATGTTTCTTTCAAGTATATATGTGATAGCTGTTTTATTTGGTTTATACACTGATCAGCATTTTTTTGTTCAATTTGTGTCTGGTTTGTTTCAACCTTGGACTACTACATGAAATTTATCTACAAGTCCCATTTAAATCAACCGTTCTGCCAGTTTTGTATTTTCTGTCAACTTATATAAATTGGTGTCACTAGTGGGGCAGTAACTGATTACTGTAAATTCAGGAATTATTGTGATTTTTGCAGAATAAACAAAAATACGAGATTAATCAATGCGATTTCGTGAAAAACTGCATACGGATATATCTAAAAGATATTAGAATGCAAGTAATTTTTGCAATACTCACCCAGTTGCATTATTCGCATAAATACAAACCTCGCAATAATTTCTGAATTTACAGTACCTTTCGAGAGCACATACCATCATCCTCGGTTTATGTTGGCGTTAGTGTGGCTAAGTTTTTAGAGTGTTATGTAGTATTTGTGGACTTTTCTTTTCTTTGTCTTGCATTTCTTGCCATGGTGTTGTCAGTTTATGTTGACTAAAGTTTTGAATGTCAACTAGGTATCTTCCACCTTTGACATTGCTTGTTTGCATTTCATTTTTCGAAGTATGGTAAATAGTGTTGAACAAAATTTTGTCATCATTTATTAGGGTGAAGTGTGAGTTACACTCTGCTACATTATCATCACATTCAATATTAGAAAACTTTTGCAATGAGTAAATTTTTATTGATGATATCCATATGTTCAGTACTGTCATTATATCTTGTCACTGCCGACAGCTGAATATTTGGGGTCCCTTCTTGGCCCCAATCACTTGAATTTTATTTTTGTCTCTTAAGGCAGACTTCCATTCAGAGCAAAATATGCAGATATATATATATATATATATATATATGAGACCTCCGTTATATACATATATATATATTAGGGATGTCAACGAGTACTCGAGTATTCGAGTATCGCTCGGTAGTACGGAGTATCGAATATCAAAACGATACTCGACTAATCGGTTTCCTGTTAGAATATTACTGTCTCCTTAATATAAAATTGATCTTCTTGAGAACCTCTTTCGGAAAATTACATAGGCATCACTGATTAATCATACTAGTAAATAAAATACATTTTGTTTCGAATGCTTGTGCTAAATTGTCATTTAAAATGCCTCCGAAAGTGTGGGTTATACCTAAGCTAACACTTTAAACTAAACATGTCTTGCAATTGCGTCACATCGGTATTATCAGAGCAAATATTTTCTCAAAAACTGTAATTTACAAAGTTGCAAAACCGAACGTGCCCATGGCCAATAATAGTTGACAAGAAAATGTTTCCAAATAAAATAAATTCGTTGCATCCTCTGGTGACCCTCAGTGAATAGTTTAACTTCTAATCCTTACGCCTTTGTAAACAATAAATGTGTTTTCATAACAAGTAGCAAATACTATTGTTTGATATGGTTTTTCCTTGATATAATTTTTAAATAGGTGTTCATTAAATTATTTTGATTAGAATATTGTTTTTTTACTTAATTGGTATTTGAGCTATTAATTATGGTGCGTAATTCCTTGTCCCAGATACTTATGAACATGGTTTTTCGTCCGTTGAACAACAAACCACAAAATGTAAAATACGTATTTTTGTGTTTCCATGTTGTAGATATATTCCCGAGCGAGTACTTGAGTATCGCTCGATAAAACCAACGATTACTCGATTAGTAATTGTTCACCAAGTTGACATCCCTAATATATATATATATTATTTAGCCATGGATACTTTCCTTTCTAGGCAAAGAATGTCTTATCTGACACTGTGTGTCTTTAATTAAATTAAGTAGTATTTTTATCAGAAGAAAAGACATTGTTGATGATGTTGTCTAAAATACCACATATAAACGGAGTTGTCTCCTTCTCCACTTAGAAATTGATTATATGACTTGCGCACCGCTCTGCTTCCGCATGGCGGTCTGTTAGTTCAACAGGATATACGACTTTGTTACTAGTAGTGCTTTTTTTCTGCCTCTCCAACTCATGATCTGCCATAGAAAATTTTATAAACTGGTCCCTTATGTTTACCTTATGTTGGGCTAGGCACAATTCCACCCAGGACCCAGATTAGCTATTTGATGCAAAAAACTATTTTTATAACGAAAGTAGATTTCCTATTAACCTAATATTACAAAAATAGATTTACACGACAACAATTTATCGATAAGGGTAAATAACGCACATGATAGTGACTAGAAGGGTGTCAAACGCATAGTTTTGACATAAAATTGGGTTTTTGATAGATGTAATCCTCAATTGAATTGGGTTTTCAATTGTTTTATTGCATAATAACGCAACCTGAAGTGGTTTTGGAGGAAGAAAGTGGATGGAAATGTTAAAACTCATAGAGGATTACAAAGAAAAAGTAAAATACATACTGGTTCATAATTCAGACAGTTTTCTCTAAGGAATTCATCCCTGCTATCAGGTCCTTCTCTTAGAAAACGAAATCGAAACAATTCCAATTCCTGCTGCATAAACCATCTTCTTAATTCTTCTCTAAAAAAAACACTAAGGCATCTCAATTCTTCACCAGATAAAAGGTAAAACAGTCTCACATAAAATGAACAACCATCTTTTAAATCAATCGACTGTTAATTCTTTCATACTAATTTTCACTCTTTATACATGTAATACTGGTTATATTAGATATTGCATTCACATATTCAACTTCACAAATATTGTATTTTTTCATTTCTAATACCAAACAAGCCATAACAAGTTACCATTATGTCATTTAATATGACTTGTTCCCACTATCTACTGTAACAATAACAGCCATAACAAGTTACCATAATGTCATTTAATATGACTTGTTCCCACTATCTACTGTAACAATAACAGCCATAACCAGTTAACATAATGACGGTTAATGTCATTTAATATGACTTGTACCCACTATCTACTGTAACAATAACAGCCATAACAACTGATACTTACGATCTACAGTAAGCAAGTCTCAGAATAAAATGGGATACTAAATCTTTCTGTCTGAAGTCTTTGTCCTCTTTCTTGTCCGTCTACAAACAAATTAAGCATTAGGCATTTTAATAAATGTACGATGATTTGGATGCAGTATATCCAAAAGAGAAGTGTAACAAGTGTAACAAGTGTACATATAGTACTCACTTTGTCTTGAACACTATTGACTCAAAAATCTGCAGGAATCCACAAGTATAATGCATGATCATATCAACTGGAGTTATCTCCCCTTGAGTAGAAGTTTGGTTGCATCAAAATGTCATCACTTCAGTTTTAAGATTAAAGAGATTTGTATTAAAAGAGTTCAGACAAATATTTTACGCTGTATTATAATTATCAAAATCTCCCACACAAAAGGAAGTCAATACCAAATATATATCAGAAGTAAATGTTAAAACAAGCATTATGTATGTGCCTCTTAAATTTTTTTTTTAATTTTATCTCTCAAATTAGGCATAGATTCAAACAGAATGGAAGGTTAAATCTGATTCCTGCATTGGTGGATTGCACTTTGTTGTACACTTTGGAACCTTTGCATTGCCAGTAGTTGTCCTGTAGCAAGCCAAAAACTCTAATCAACAAATCTTCTTTTTTTCAGTGGCAGTCCTCCCACTGGCTTTCAATGACGCTGCCAAAGGAATTTTAAGTACAGTATCTAATTGCATTGTGCATTCCTTGCAATTGGCAGAATAATTTGTCTCTGAAAACAAGTTCTACTGTTACCAGATAAAGGGCATTTGGGACAAACAAATCATTGTTTATAGCCACTGCTTGTGCCAAAAATGGTGAATATTGCATCTTATTTCTAAAAATTGTTGTGTAGACCTCAAACCTAGCCTGTAGGCTTTTAAAGCTACATGATAGTGACTAAGCTACTTCAGCTATTAACCGAAGACAATTCATTGTTTCAGCTATTCCTTTCACCTACTGCATTCAGAAAAATAGTATCTATCCCTGCTTACCCGTATGAGATCATGTCCTAGTGATGTTTTTCTCAGCTCATCTTGTAGTTTCTGTATGTATTCATTGGAACCCTTCATGAGACGTATCCCAGCTACTTCAACAGCTTTCAATACTAAAAAAATAAAATCTAATAAACAAGTTTGACAAAACTTAACTAAGCATATCAGTTATTCCAGTTAAGCGCTAAAAAATCTCACCTTTCAGCTCCCGAAATTCTGAGAAAAGTGTGCGCCTTCTGAGGTACTTCAGACATTCTAAGTGATCGAAATCACTAATGAAACTATTGAAAGGGTAGTGAGCATAATTTCATATCATATTTTCAGTTGTGAACCAAGAAATATTAATAATACAATGCTATTGCATTAGGTAACCGTTTCGAAAGATAATCATTTCTTTCAGTTGATAAAATTGGCTTTATGTGTGTCAATGTCGGAGAGTCACTAAATTTGCATATGCAAGTTCATGAAATTATGTTTAGTTTAAAATTTTTGAAACAGAAGAAATCATCAAATAAAGATGCATCTATAAAAAGTTTATCCTTGCAGTTCCAAATAAAGATTCATCTAAATACATTTAATTAAATAGTTCCAAATAAAGATCCACAGTATACAATCTTGGTACAATAGGAGACTTGTGTATATTCCAAATCTCAAATTTGACAAGTTACCTCATTATCTTATAATTTTTCAGCAAGAAATTCTGCAATTCCAATTTAAAAATCAAAACTTTTATTACGCAATAAGAAGTTTTAAGTCATTAAAATCACTTTAATTTCATGAAAGGTTTTTTTTTATCAAGTAAATGCTTTGAGACCATCATTACAGCATCATTTAGGCCTTGAATCTAGAATGAATTTGATAGTTGGAAAAAAGGATCCCAACTTTCAAGTCCTCTCAAAATGACTGAAATGGTATGAAAAATTTCGGGATTCTTTCTTTTGTGATGGTGAATTTTCAAAATCTAGTAGCAGTTCAATCTCTTTTTTTCTTATATTAAGGGCAAATTACATGTCAAATTTGGTAGCAGATAATTAAAATGGTGTATATACTTTCTGCATTTACAAGTCATACAATATATATGTTTTCAATTCAAAGTTTTGCACCATCTTAAAATCGGGAATGATAACATAGATCCAGCCACTGGCTGCATCAAAAATCATTTTACAGTTAGATACAATAAAAGTAAGTATAGCTATTTCACCAGTTGTTTACCAGGTTGGGGACAAAAGGACCAGGGGTTTTTCTGGGTATTTTGGGAAAAAAGAACCTGGCCAGTTTAGGGAATTTATTTACGTGATTTTCAATGAAATTGGGAAAACAACAAATATACTAGATGTGAGTTTTAGTGTGTTTAGTTCATTAAAAATTATCTTTTTTTGTGAAAATAAAGTAAGAAACTACATGATTGCTATTTAGAATTTTATTTTCTGTTCTTAAACTTGACAAGGCACTCAATATAAAAATAAGGAGATCAAGTTTATTTCTGTAACAAAATATTGTAGTTCTTAAAGCGCACGTCATAAAAATTTACCGCCTTTTTTATCTTCAAAGACAGAAAGACAGTAACAGTTAATATAATAAATAATTCAGGGATAGAAATAAGATGTATTTTAACACTTTTCTAAATTCACTTACTGGCCTTTCAAAATTGAGAAGAAATTACCTCTTGGATCTGTAGTTATATGTTCAAATTATAAAAACATCTAATATCAACATTTTTAGTGATAAAGAAAAGTAATGTCACATTTTATTGGATTTTGTCATGAAAATTTGTGAACTAAAATAATTTTGAGTTTCTGTATAAAATATTTCCTGTTGCTTCTTTCTTTTTCAAATATGCTTTGGTTTTCAATTCTAGACTCTAGTGTTTATATTTTATAGCTGTATTTTGTCGCTTGCTGGGAATTTTTTTTTATTTATCTATTGTATTTGATCTGCAAACCCCGGAAATTAGCCTTATCCGCTCCTGGAATCTGATCTGGTATTGTAATTGTCTACATTTCCGGTTTATAGCGGCCATTGTTTGTCGATGTTGTTTTTGTCAGTCAGATATGTTTTTACTCGGGTTTACACATTACTTGTTGGCGATTTTCAGCATAAAGCTAGCAGTTGAACAAAATGAACATCGTTGTCATGAATATACAGATGAAAATGAATTTTGAGATTGTTTGGGAATTTTGCTCCCAAATATTGGGAATAAATTCGTAAGGGTTCCGCGGAACCCAGTGTCTCGCCTACTTTTGCTGTTAATCACAGGCTGAACAAAAATGAGGAAAAAAATTAATAAAAATATTCCTCTCTATACTATCTTTTGATTGTAAGTAGCTTCTGTCCAAGTTTGGTAAAAATCAAGGATAGTTTATGAATCTAATAAATGTTTTAAAAACTTAAACTGCAGACTGTTACGTAATGTTAACTGGAAGAAAAACTAAGTCCATTTATAAGTAAAATACGGAAAAAATTGAACAAAATTTTAACAAAATTTCCTTTTAAATACTAGCTTTTAATCATAAACAAGCTTCTGTCCAAGTTTGGTACAAATCCAGGATAGTTTAAGAAAGTTGTTAAAATTTTAAAAACTTTAACCACAGAGTGAATGTAATGTTAACTGGCAGAAAAACTAAGTCCATTTATTAGTAAAATACAGAAAAAATGGAATTTTTTTTTTACAAAATCTACTTCTGGATACTATCTTATGATCATAAACAAGCTTCTTTCCAAGTTTGGTACAAATCCAGGATAGTTTAAGAAAGTTATTAAAATTTCAAAAACTTTAACCACAGAGTGAATGTAATGTTTCCTGGCAGAAAAACTAAGTCCATTTATAAGTAAAATACGGAAAAAATGGAATTTTTTTTTACAAAATTTACTTTTGAATATTATCTTATGATCATAAACAAGCTTCTGTCCAAGTTTGGTAGAAATCCAGGATAGTTTAAGAAAGTTATTAAAATTTCAAAAACTTTAACCACAGAGTGAATATTTGTGGATGCCACCGACGACGGCGACGGAATGTAGGATCGCTATGTCTCGCTTTTTCGACAAAAGTCGAAGACTCTACAAAAATGTAGGGTTTTTGCCATTGCCATTACGAATAACGGACCTGTGGAATGCTAGAAAAATCCAAGAGGCAAAATGAGAGATATTTTTGAATTTTCTAGTCTTAAATTTCTTTTTTTTAATCGACATTTACTGGAGATGGCACCTATTCATGAAAAAACAGCATTTTTTTCATACGACCAATATTCCTGAGCTGGAAATGTCTATAGTGCTTAATCTTAAATAATGTGACAGTGGCCCCTACATGCATATTGTCTGAATATTGATCCAACCTACTCTTATCAACAATAATGATATAAACAGATATTTGGAGGGTGGATTTACAGGACTTGCAGATTAATAGGACTCAACTGTAGTCATAAGGTCGATACATGATTTTCCAACTGGTGCTTTTATCCAGACAAATTTGTCATCATAAAAAGCAAATGTCTTAACATCATGTGTCCTATGACATGTTTTCCCATGAATGACTCCTGGTCAAATGGGGTAACTCAATCATAAAATTGAAATCGGTCTATTCTGCACATGCCTACTAAGTCCTGAACAGTTTATGTTCAGATGTTAACTACTTTCCAGTATTGTATGGGACTATTTATATTCAGGTATTAGTCCCAGGTATTATACAGATACAGTGTTTCATTTTAGGGTCGCACCTAAATAACGACAAGAATAATAATTTAGCGACAAGAAGGCTAATTTAGCAACAAGAAAACAACTTAAGCATTAAGAAATTTAAATATTGATCATTTCTATTATAGAAACATTCATCAAAAGTTTTTTTTTACAATACATGTATTTTCATTTATTTACTTAAAATGGTGAATGTTGAGATTTTTTTATTATCAAGGATAGCGACTTTAGTGTATAAATGAATAAATCAAGATGTATGTAGAGCCGGCATGGTTGAGGATATCCTCTTTTCAAAGGTTCAAACCAAATTAAAAGATAATCTAATTTTTATTTATTTTAGATCTTCTTTATAGTTCAGCACTCCATCAACATACTGATAACGAATCTGTGCCTATTACACAATATATTAATATTCCTAGTTCAGACTCAAATGGTACATATAAAAAAATATCTTCTTCTTTGCATGACACAATATATTGTCTAAAAAAACAAGATAGAATAGTGATGAAGGGATTTCTCACTTTCTATTTTGGAAATGCCAAAGAATTTTTTGTCACTAATCCGTCAGGCATATAATTGGGTTATAAGTTTTGATTGCCCGAGGCAGAAATGCTCTAGACCCAGGCAACGGGCTAGTGGATTTTTAACCACTGGTAGATAACTGTATCCAAATAAAAGAGTAAAAAAGTTCCAAAGAAATAGTTTTTAATAATGGAAATTTGAAAAGTAAATGCATAATTTATTCATTTTACTCGGACATGTCAGAAAACTTAAATTAAAAAAAAATGTAATGTTTTAATAGTGTATAAATGTTCTTTTTGCTAATTAGTTAGACGGTCACACCGTCATTATAGGGAGACAAGACAAGTGGGGATAGATTTTTATTGATCATCTAATGGTGAAACCTTTTAATCTGTCAATTGCATATTCTTCAAACTCTTGCAAGGATATTTCCCCAGTTGGTGGGATTTTGTAGAACTGTAAGTTATGACCAACGCGGTTGAATTGTTTCTTATTTCTTGTGGATCGGCCAGATTTTTTGCTGTTTCCTGAAAAATCCATTTTGTTGACTTTTTGATGTTTGCCTTTCCCGCTCAAAACAAATATTTTCGGAAATTTCGGACTTTGTCGATAGACAACTGATGTTTACGTTCAACTGCATCTGTACGCTTAGTAACAGGGATAAATCTAGCTAAAGCTTTAATTTGACGTTCAACGAAAACAAAAACAAAATGGTCAGCTTGAGTGGAGCTCTTGCGGCTACTTGGGTTCCATTTGTAGTGATAATAATTGTAAGCATGTCATGTCATCTTTTATTCTTCTAACTATTAGTTCAGATTTTCACTATAAAGTGTTCCTGGTTTCAGTGGAATGGCCCCTGTACTCACTGTGATTCATTGTCTCATGACCCTGTTACTGTTAGGACATAAAATAATTGAATTAAGGTTCATCATAACAAATGGACAAAAATGGCTGTATTTCCACCTCAAAAACTACTCTGAGTACAGACTAACCTGTGCAGTTCGAAAAGTTTTAATGCCTGGCATCCACTAGATATAATATGAGGCAGGCATTACCTGTGAAAGGGGACGAAGTCTATATAAATTATTTTTTTTAATTCAAACATATTTTATGTTATAAATCTGTTAAAAAAGAAACGGAAATACCGTAACGTTTCTGATTTTGGTTCTGTTGTTAGGGATTTTAGTTGTGACGTTATTTTAGTTATGACGTCATATTTAATGTAAACAAAGAAACGCTATCATCAGGTAACGTTTTTTCATATCAAAGAATAATTAGAAATGAAATTGTTATTGTGTTCCTTCCTATATTTTACTAGACTGATAAATATATATTTCACTCAAAGTCTCATGACAAACGAGACCGGAAGAAGGAAGTAGATTTCTGCGCAAATGCGGGAATTAAAAAAAGTTACAAAAAAAAAGTTAACGATTTTGAGTTCATTAGTACAATGAAAATTTCGGGAAATTTTCCTGATTTTTTTTTCTTTTTTTTTTTTCTTGATTTTTCTACCATAATAGGGGACTTCGTCCCCTTATAAAAGTTAAATGCATTTTGAGTTTCAGAAAGATAAAATCTTTTTTGGATTTTGATGGGCATTTTTTTTCATTCCTGCGGAATGTGTAAATATAAACTAAGTTGGGATACAACTTTGAGATGCTCCCTCTCAGGTAAAAAGTATTGATTGTCCTTCATGATTGACATAGATAATAGACAGACAATAGATATCTGCACAACTATAGGTGAGTTAAAGGGTTTAACTGAGTGGACAGTATCAAAGCAATTCAGGTGTATGTTTATTTTTACACCTTCTGCAGAAAGGAAAAAAAAATGCCCATCAAAATCCAAAAAAGATTATATCTTTCTGAAACACAAAATGCATTTACCTTTTATATATCTAGTGGATGCCAGGCCTTAAAACTTTTCCAACTGGACAGGTAAGTCTGTACTCAGAGTAGTTTTTGGGGTGTAAATACGGCCATTTTTGTCCATTTGTTATGATGAACCTTAACAAACTATAGAAATTGTTAAAAAAATTAACATATTATTGATTAATTTGTTTTTCATATGCATAAACATGAAGAAATGGAATGACTCTATGCCAATGCCACAGGTGCTGGGAAATGGACCCCTTTTTTCTTCTACTTCTACCAATAGTGACAATACCATATACCTTATCGCTATTTGTGAATATGCGACACTTGAACTATTGATGTAATAAATAATCACTTTTTCTTTGTGGCGTCAAAATTTGATGGGAACCTTTGTGATGTCCGTGTAGTAATGGCGACAAAGAGCGATAAGGTGTATTACACAGCCACCACCAATAAACTTAGGAAAAAGAGAGAATTATGCTATACATTCTATAAACAGCAAAGTTAAAAACATCCTGGACTGTGGTCTAGTTCGTTTCATGTAGGTGAGTCTTGAGACATTCAAGACTGTAACCTGCACTGGTGGCGGCATGTGGTAGTGATTCCAGTCTCTAATTGTTCTTGTGTAGAAAGATTTTTGCTCACTTCTGTGTTCTACACAATGGAAGTCCAATGGTCTTGTTTGCCTTATTGCATATGTTTTTGATATATTCATTCCATTTCATGTCTGATGGTATAACCTAGATATCTTGCAGACTTTACAGATTGAAGGGTGTGGCCATGCAGTGTGTACTCTCTGACAATAGGTTTGCATTTTCTTGACATTGTTAGTACATTGCATTTATCAAGATAAAAGGCCATTTTCCATTTTGTTTCCCAGGTTGCCAAATTATTGAGATCCACTTGTAAATTGTCACTTTCTGTGTCTGATGCTGTGGTAAGATATACTATGGTATTATCGGCTAAGAGTCTAACCCTTGAGCGAATACCTTCTGGCATGTCATTTATGTAGAAGAGAAACAAACTGGGCAGAGTACTGATTCTACATTGATTGTTTCAGATTTTTCCCCTTTTACAATTTCCACTTGCTTCCTGTCAGAAAGAAAATTTTGGATTCATTTGTTGGTTTTTCCTCTGATACCGTAGTGATCCAGTTTGTGTAACCATTCTAAATATTATGTTTTTAGTAAATATTACTTAAGATTTTAACTTATTTTCACTTATTTAATGTGTTGTAGCCGTATTTTCTTACCTAAAAGAACAATAACAGCCCTTCATTAGCTGCGCCAGTGGTGTTCTCCTTTAGCTCAGTTTACATCAGGTAGAGCGTGGCTAACTGTGCCATGGGTCCTGAAATGATATCTCAGTTGGAACAGTTATGAATTTTGGAAGGAAAATCATGCTCCATTTACAAAATTGGCAGGCAACAAAAAAAACCCACCATCACAGTTAGAAGAAATACCTACCCAAGGAAAGTGATAAAGATATCGTCCTTATTGACTTGTGGTGAGGGAAGTGTCGCGGTGCTTCTCTTACCTAGTAGATATTTAACCGCCCACCATTAGCTGCACTCATGGAGTACTCCTTAACTCCTTTACTAGCTCAGTTGGCTTACTGTGCCAGTAGTCCCGAGTTTGAATCTCAGCTGGCACAGTAATTAATTTTGGAATCCAAATCAAGCCTTCTGGTTACTGTGTTCTTGCTCTTATCTTTAAGATTGTACAATGATGGTAGTTTTTATATGGTACCTCTCTAACTTTGATTTTGATTGTGGAAATACAGTTGAAAAATACCATGAATACAGCAAATATAGGTATCGTGGTATTTGGATACATGAACACCTAGACTGGAGGTTTACGGTTAGAAAAATTAGAAAATCAGCCAGTCGAGCTTTGTCGGCACTTTATACGAAATTTATAGCCTGTGGGGGAGTGGACTTTGATATATACCAAAAATTATATGAAAACCTTGTTCAGCCCTTTTTGTTGTACAGATCTAGTATTTGGGGTATATCGGAACACAAGCAACTAGAAACTGTGCAAAATAGGGCATGTCGATACTTTTTAGGGGCCTTTTAAAAACTCATTGAATTTAGCCGTCCATGTTGATATGGGATGGAAAACAGTAAAAGCAAAACAGAACATTGAAGTTATAAGATTCTTCTTCAAACTTTCTAATTTAGAGGATGATAGAAAAGTTAGAACTATCCATGAAACCAGTAAGACGAAACAGCAATTGTGGCATTCACATGTATTAGCTTTACTGAGAAAATGTGAATTAGACTATTTAAACAATATCAACATAACAACCAAACAAAAGCTACATACTGCTCAAAATAAATTGACAGCTATAGATTGTGAGAAATGGGCTACTTATGTTTTTAACGATAAAAATTGTGAAAATGGAAACAAGCCAAGAACATTAAGAAGGCTTAACAACAGTTCTAAAACTAGTACATTTGTTAAAACAGTCAAATTTTGTGACCATCGTCACATTTTATCGAACTTTTTGGTGTGGATCACTGCTGCTTGCAGTTGAGACCAGACATTACACCAAAGCTGACAACACTATTATGTTATAGACTTTTGTCTTTTTTGCAATGACAATTTTATAGAGACAGAAAAACAATTTTTAATAGACTGTAATTTTTACTCAGATATAAGACAAGAGCTTTTTAATTATATTGATGTTTTTAGCAACTCTTTAAATGGTTTTAATTCTGATGACAAGTTTGACTTTATCATGAACTGTGAGGATACCTAGTCCTAAGTTTTATTAGCTAAGACATTGCATCTTATGTTTAAATGTAGGAAGATAAATTTGTAAATTTTTAATCTTTTCTGAATGTATAAATGAACATTAACGAGTATTTGAAATTTTTAGTATCATATGAAAACTACTTTTATTATTAAAATATTCATTTTACATTATAACATATATTTTTATTTTGAAAAGGATGAAAGTGTCTCATATGTCTGAAGGCAGGGATCTAATATAGTTTTTAAAGATTTTTATATTGTGTTTATAGAATGTGACACTATAATAAACTATTTATTTACTTACTCTATTTTTATTTTCTCATTGAAAATGTAAATTATGTGGGAAATTCTCTTTAAGTGGTCTCATGCTTTCAATATTTAAACACATAGATTTGACTTATCAAAATGCACATGGTTTTTTTTATGTTTTAGCTTGCCTTGCTGTTTTCAGTAGTATATATTAAGTATTTTATGAGCAAGTATGATCCATCGTTATCAACAACATTATCTGGGATTATCTCCCTTACCATTGCCTTGTTGACAGTATGTTTGGTGCCAATAGATGTGTTTCTAGCCTCATTTATGAAGAACAGTGATGGTACTTTCAAGGTAAGATTAACAGCATGTTAAGCAGTCTGTTTGTTTACAGTTGTTCTGATTATAAAATCCTTTTTTTAATGTAGAATATACAAGAACACTAGTCAAAAAGATCTTTTTAATCTCGCACAAATTTCTTCAAAAATGTATGGAGATTTATTTAAAGTTATAAAAAAAACTACCACTCAGCATTCTTGAGTCCCAAATAAAAATTGCAAGTTCATGACTCATTAAGGTAAGTTGGAAGAACTCTGAATAATTCTGTTTACATGATTAATAAGAAATTAAACATTTTAGGAATGGGCCAATTCGTCAGATACCAGGGATTCAGTAGAGAATACAGTAGCCATAGGATACTACAGTAAGTCAATAATCTTGAAGGATATACTTTTGTACTGTTGTGTTTACATATTTTTAATATGTGTGCATTTTAAAAAAAAATAATTCTTGTCCTACATTGATATTAATGTGATCTTGCAATCTATAACTTTAAAGTCTCTGACTTTTTGTTAAATTTTCCAAGTTGATGTGTCATGGCTTTCTGTTCAATTTTCTAAGTATTATCGTTTCATGCCATAACTGAATATTCATGTTTATTTTAGCTCTGTATGCACTGGTTACATTCTGTCTGTTCTTACTGTTACCGTTTATGTACTTCTTTTATGAAGAAAAAGATGAGTCAAATCCAACGTCCTGTAAATCTGTAAGTGTTATTTCTGTGATTACCATAACCATGTGTGATATCTTATTTCTTACCATAATTACCATAATTATGTGTCATATACAAATGCATAAATTAATTTTTAATTAATGTATAGTCAACAGGGATTCATCTTAAATACATTTTGTACTGAAAATTATGCAAACAGCAAACAATCAATCTTAAATACATTAAACAAATTTTTTTTTGTCAAATTAAAAAATAAATTATTGAGTAAATTATTATTTGAAATTGTAGATTTCTTTTGTGAAACAAGGGAGATAATATTCAACTAATGAATATCAGGGTTGTCAAAAATTTGAACTTTTGATTAATTTGAGTGGGAGCATGAGTTGGAAAAAATACTATCACATGCAACCCTTGATAGAATAACCATTCTATTACTTGTATCATATATTAAGTGAAATAATTAACATTTGTATTCTATACTCTAAAAATGGAGGTACTTTTACAAATTTTTTGAGTGTAGTCATCTTTTCTTTACAAGAAAGTGTTTATTTTAATAAAATGAAATAAAAAATATTGAAAAATAATTTCATTTAATGAAAAGCCAAAAACAAAACAACACTGGAAAATATTGTGAAGAACAGTTTAAAACACTTGCATTAATTCAAGAAATGATAGAAACACAGTAGTTTACATCTTTTGGTCTTTAGCTACTAATTGTCTCAATGGCAATCATACCATGTCTCCTTGTGTTCTAAGTGACATTTTGTTTATGGGAATAAAGTATTCTTATTTTTATAATGATCATATTCATATAATTAAAGTTAATTTTTTTATTATAAGCTCATTTAACATTTTTAAGACATAAACATTTGAACAAAATGTAACTTTTGAATTTGAAATTATGCTTGCTTTTACAGAAATTCTGCACAGCATCGAAGTACACAGTGGTGTTTCTGTTTATAGCTGGTGTCCTGATGTTGATAGGGTAAGCATTATAAAGTTGTGAACCTTTTATTCTGGTTAACAATGTTTAAAAAAAAAATGTAAAACTTTTAAACTGTATATTTCTTGTATGATATTTTATTCTTGTAAACTTAGTTAATTTTGTAATCTTTGTCTCTGACATGATGTAATTTATGATTTATTAGAATTAGGGGACATTTTGTTTTTCTGATCTTATTGTGTAAGGTTTTTAACAAACATTGATATAAAGGTATAATATGCTTTTCCTTCAGATTCTTGGTGTCAAATATTGGGGGGAAATTTACTTTAATTAAAAAAATGTCTAATTTTAAGAAACATATGTTTTTGCTAGGATTTCAATGAAAATCAGTATGAAGGCCTAACTTGCTATTTGAAATTGATTCTCTGTGTCAAAAATTACTTGTTGCTTACCATTTTTGATATGGCAACCTAAATATCTAGTGCTTTGATTTTAATACATTGTAAAACAATATATTTATAGATGATACATCCTGAATTAATTCTTGGTTTTAAAATTTAAAAATATTGATACCTCATAAACTTTGCTTTGCTTGTTTGAGTATTTTTTGTTTGTCTCTGTGGCTCATACACAAAGGTACCAGCAGGACTCTCGCTGACATTTCATATTAGAGGTCTCGTACCAACAAAGACACAGACAAATACTGAATACTATTTTAACTATTGTATGACATTTCAGAGGTCTTGTACCAACAAAGACATAGGCAAATACTGAATGCCATTTTAATTAATGTATGATATTTCAGAGGTATTGTACCATCAAAGACACAGCCCAATGTTAATGCCACAGAATGGGATAATGTGAAGAATCTGTTTATGCAGATGGGCACGAATGGTAATATACAGATATAAATAAGTGGCGGATTCTTATTTTCAGAAGGCTGAATTCATCGTTTCCAAAAATACATCAGTTTTTGTCATGCCAGATGTATGTCAATGAGACAGCAACCCAATTTGAAAAAAAAGACGATTTGCAAGTACTAAGTAGACATTCAATATATATGTACTAATCAATATTTTCACAGTCATCTTTTTAATATGTGGAAAGCTTGCAATCAGTTAATGGTGTTTGTATATTAGCTATAAAGTGAACTTTTTATTAGATAGATGTTGATAAAGTAGAAGATATTTATATTACTGTTAAATTATCTTGAATGTTGCTTTATTGACTTCTTGTAGTTTGAAATAATAATTATTGCTACATTCAGATTTATCTTATTGTGTATTGTAAAAAATATAGTGTATTTGATTTGCCTTTCCTGTGTTTTAGGTGGGGAAGATGCCCTTTCATTTGTAATTAGTGTATTAAGTTTAATTGGAATGTTGGCTCTGATAACATATACAGTAAGTAGTCTTCATTTCAGATTTATTTTGATGTTGACCGCATATAAAAAGTTTTATTGGGAATAAGGCTGATCATGTATACAGTTAATAATGTCCAATGATCAGTATATCAGGTTTTATAGGAATGTTGGCTCTTCTATACACAGTGGCAAAACCTATGACCTAGAACATTAGAAAATTCTCTTTTCTTATGAGAAAGTCAAAAGTAAAACAATGCCGGTGACGATACTGATCAAAAGTTATTTCTAAACAACAATCGTGCATTTAAAATAAATTTTTTTTTGTTAAACTGTGATATAAGTAATATACATACAAGGACACCATGATTTATGTTCATTATTTACAGAGATAATTGCATTAGAAGCTTGTCAAACTAATTTTGAAAAAATGTTAATCTTTGCTGCATATTGATAAAAAAATTGTTTAAATCATGTACATACAAAATCAAGTTTTTTTAGGTAAAAAAATTTCGGAGTGTTCCACATGTTAGTTAGCATGTTAAAATTTCCTAAAATATACCAATTTTTTACATCTTAATTGTTCGAGTACACCTGTCTGCTCTAGTCATGTGAACTTTTAATATAGAAATATGGTCTTCTCGTGAATATAACAATTAAAAAATCATGGCTGTGCAGGTTCAAAAATTAAAGATAGAAATATTTATAAATTTAGGTTATCTGTTAAATGATTTTTACTATTTTTTATACAATTTTAGGAAAAGGTCATCTCGATTTCTATTCATGTGTTTACGGTCTTCTCTATCTATTCACATTCTATGTTTACATTGGGATAAGGTCTGTTTGAATTTGCTTAGTAACTGAATTTCAAAAGTGTTCATCTTTGCTGCATATTAATCGATTCCATTGTAATTTTTCCCCTAAACTTCTCTGATCTAGCTGCATACATATACAGATAATTGGCATGTTCCAGAGAGGTATACAGCCAGTAGAATTTTTTTTTCTAAGTTTGTACTCCAGGAATATATTCGCATAGCAACAGTTTATACCAATTTACACAAAGCTTCTATAGCCTGCTGTACTTGTCGTTTGCTATTTTAGGAGGGAAATTATAACATTATATGAAAATTTGTTTTTATTTCAATTTGATTTATTTGTTACTATTTACCAGAACATTTTCTTGTGAATTTATAATTAATAGCGTCCTTGCTAAAATGAGACAAACATTGAAAAGATTAAGATTTCTGTGTTTACAGGGGAGGTAATATTTTGTCACTAGATTTCCCACTGTACACTCAGTAACTAGCCTCCCTTTACTCAGTTTCATGTTAATGTTAGCTTTAAATTATTCAATAAATGGTTTCCCCTGACGTCATAAAAAATTTATTGAGAATTAGGCTGATCATGCATACAATATGTAGCCTCCAATTATCAGTATATTAAGTTTGATAGAAATGTCGGCTCTGAAATCTATACACACAGTAAGTAGCCTCCCTTTTGTTAGTTTTATTGGAATGTTAGCTGTAACATATGGACTAAGCAGTGTCTCCTTATCACATAAAAAGTTTTATTAGGATGTACACTGATCACAAATACAGTAAGTAGATTACAATAATTATTTTACCAAACTCCCATTTGAATATCAGTAATTTAAAGATTATGGCTGAAGAAAGTCAGATATTCTTATTAAGTAAACCTAATTAATTCAATTTGAAATTATCTTTTTAGGCATATGGAATGTCAGCCTTACCAATGAGTCTGATAAAAGGACAGAGCAATGCTAAATCAGAATTAGAGAAAGTTAAACAGAAACAAAAGGATAATAAAGCTCACATTCAGTCAGTCAGAGAGAAGGTGAGGTTTAAATTATTTTAATGTTTAAAATGGCTTTAACCCTTTCACCAATAGCCGCCGTGACAGAAGCTACTCTGAGACGATGGCTTCCCTGGCTTTTATGACACAAGTGGGAGATCTTCATATTAAATATCAATAAAAACTTGTCTGTAGTTATTTATGTCTTTATATTATTCACTTACACCGTGGACACAGTTTTGTTAATGTTTTGATCATTTTTTCTTCATAAAAAATCAAAATTTGCAAATTTTCGGCATTAGATAGATGAAATTCTCGAAATTCAACTTTTTGACCCAAAATCGTATTTTTTTAACCCAAAACGGCAAAAGTTTGAAAATTTAACAAGGTTGTACAAATTTCTTACACTGAACGATGTTCATTCCAAGTGTTTTTGTACGTAAAACGGCATTTTATGTCAAAAGAGTATACTGGTCTGGCTTCAATTCTTCCATATTCTTTCAAAAAAAATGTTCCCTTATTTCAAATTCTAGTAAAATCCGTAAATTTCATCTGAGTTTGACACGGTTTTCAACAAACAATGAAACGGAAGCGCCATGTTTACACTTTCATCCAGGTATTCAACAAAGAAAGATAACTTGTGTTTGCAATGTTTTTAGCGGGAAATGTCAGCTGTCTGAATCGTGAATCTTGGTAAACCTGGATTCATCGGCGAAAGGGTTAAGATAGAAATCAGATCTAATTTTGACTGATGCCCTGGAATCATTGTGAGACTCTTATATTGGACTGAAGGCTTCAGCCAAAGGTTGGGATATGGGGAGATGGATGATGCCAGGGCCAATATGGAAAATCCCATGTAAAGATCTTTTTATTATTTGTTTATACTGTTCATGCAGTTTTATAACAGATCAATTCAGTCCACTGGTCTGATGACTGCTCTACCATTTATTCCAAAACTGCAATACAAAAACAGGATACACAATAAAAAGATGTAATAAAAAGGGAAATAATCAACTTGATCATCGTTCCCTTCGCCTATATCACCCTGCTCACTCTCTCCATAATTTTTATATCACAGCTTATCATCAATGTCATAGTGTCTCAGGAGAAGTTATCAGTGATGTCACAATGTGTGTGGAGACATTATCAAACTTACTTTTTTTGTTGTAAAACTGTCTAAGGGTGGATCAAAGACCAGATAAAGCATGATAAACAGATTATCCAGTTTTCTGTTTACAGTAAAATATCAGCTGCTGTACACAATGTGAACTTTTAATCGTTCCTTGCACTCACTCACCAAAAAGGTTCACATTGAGGCTCGCTGCTGATATTTTCTTATATCAATGTGCAGAAAACAAGATAATCTATACATCTTTAATAAACTTTCTTGATAATACTTCATATACAGTCATGCTTGGCCAAATGGTACACTATAACATAAGGTAAAAATTATATTTATGTTATTGTAAACTTTGATGGGATTATTTCTGTTTTTGATTCAAAATAGCTAGGAAGCGCACTATATAATACAATGTATAAATATGATTATTATATTTACAGTATGGTAGTAGAGGAAACAGAAACAGACAAACTGTATCCAAGTTGGAGGAGGATGAAAGGTTACTGGAGAGACAGGAAGCTCATCTGGAAGAGAAAACAAACTGTTTCCACAGATGTTTGGTTATATTCAGACCTTTTGAAGTGGTTATAGGAGTAGCTTTTCAACTTCTGACATTACTTATATTTCTGTCTTTACTACTTACAAAGTAAGATGTTATGAGATAGGTGTGGTAGTATTCAAGTTTGAATATGCATACAAGTTAAAAGAAGAAGTCTTTGCTTTTATGCCAGATACTGCTTTTGATTGCCACACAGTAGTTATAGTAAAAGCAGGTAGATTCAACAACCATCAAAAACTATATCAAAACAATATGTACATAAAGGTATATGATGTAATTGTCAGTAAGGTAGCAAGCTTGATTGATTGATTGTTAGCTTAACATCCCATCAGCGAGGTAGAAAAGACAGCACGGTATCTTATTGAAATTTACCAAACATATTTTCTTAGTTATATGATCTACCTTTGATATCTGCTGCTCATTGACAACCTAGAGTATAACTGGCAATCAATTACTTACAATACTCTGATCTTATAGTCACTGATGAAACTGCTGTACAACAATTTTATATATTTATATCTTTTATTTACATTTGTATTCCTTACTGTTTGGGTTTATATAAATGTATTTGGAACTGTAACTGTTGTTTGCCCCCTGTGACACTTTGACTGGACAGTAAAATACATTACACTATATTTTTTATACTTAATTAAAAAAAAACTGTTTGTTCTTTATTCAGATTTGAAAAAAATATGAATATGACAGGTATTAAAAGTTAAAGGGGAAGGAAAGCTAAAGTTGAACATACAAGGATTGTAAAATGGCATAGTTGAAAAATTACTCACCTCAAATTTATGTTTCAATTTCATTATTGTCTTGTGGAGGGATATGGAAATGCTGTGTAGGCTAATTGTATAAAAATTAATATTTCTGAAGGTAGAAGAACTTTATAATCCCTATTGAGTCTATTGATGGCTGATAAAGTGTGTGTGAAAACTTTTTCTGTCGGTTGAGTTTTGACCAAAAACAACTGTTTCACATAAAATTTTGATAGAACTTGATGAGTGCAACATACATCACATAATAAATTTTGTATAAGACATTGTATGGCAAAGATTCTTTTTTGAAGTAATGTGATTGCTCATATCTAAATACTATTGGGAAGATGTCAACATTAGGTAATTAATTACTGTTAAACTTATGCCTAATGAACATGAGTGATATTATTTCATATTTTTTTTATAATTCTGTGTGATTTTCCAATTCCAAGAGACCAGACATGTATTTAAAATTGCCTTATTATACCTTCTCCTTTGTCCACAAAATATCTGTCAGGTAGGGTTCACCTGTCCTCGACCTTATTCCATAAATCAGTGATCAAGGTTAAAGTTATGTGGTCAAGTTTGTATCTCAGATACTATAAGCAATAGGTCAATTCCAGTCAACTATATTTGGTGTATGGAATGATTTTAAGGTGTACATGTTTGGCTGACAGGTTTATCTAACCTTGACCTCAATTTCGTTGTTCATTGGACAATATATAGTTTTTTGTGCTTGGTCTATTTCTCAGATATTATAAGCAATAGGACCACTATATTTGGTTCTTGGATTGATTATTTGATGTACCGGTACATGTGCGTCTGGCAGGTTTCATCTGACCTTGACCTCATTTTCATTGTTCATAGGTCAATGATAATGTTTTCCTTATTTTTTGTCAGTTTATCAGATACTGTAAGCAATAGGTCAACTTTATTTGGTATATTGAATGATTGTAAGGTGTACATGTCAGTCTGGCAGGGCTCTTAAGACCTTGGTCAATGTTAAGTTTTTGTGATAATTGTTGGAACATCTTCATATTACAGACTATCAGCATGAATTCTATGATAAGTAAAACAGGCGAGACATTTCAGGGTGTGCACTCTTTTGAAAAAAAATATTTGTTTATGTATTTCAGCATTGATAAGGCTCTTCATGGAAAAGGATACAAACTTGGATATGCTCTACCAAAGAGAACATTACCTAACCCTATAGATATTGTACTAGTGTTCTGCCAAAAGGTATGATAATATTGTAATCTAATCAATCAATCCAAGTTATAACATATCTGAGAGGAAATATTTTGTCATTTATTTACTCTTCCACTATATTACATTTCGTTTACAGTGTTTTGAGGTGTCCTATTTTTATACGCCCGTCAAATTTTTGACGGGACGTATTATGGTATACAAATGTCCGGCGTCCGTCCGTCTGTCTGTCCGGCGTAAACATGTCGCACCGTAACTTGAGAATGACTTATCCAAATTTCATGAAACTTAATATAGTTGTTTCTTATGATGGTCAAACGATCTGTATACTTTTTGGTGAAAATAAGATTAAAACTTTTGGAGTTACGGGACTTAGTAACTAAAACAGATATGTGTTTTTTTTCACATGTCACGCCGTATCTCAAAAACAATTTAAGATTATTGCTTAAAACTTTACACACTTCTTAGTTATATTAACCTTAAGATCTGTATACTTTTTGGTGATGATTCAAAATTTTATTTTTGAGTTATTGAGTATTTTGTAAAAAAAGGGGGAGGGGTTTTCACATGTCGCGCCGTATCTCAAAAACGATTTATGATTATTGCTTAAAATTTTACACACTTCTTAGTTATATTAATCTAAAGATCTGTATACTTTTTGGTTTTGATTCAAAATTTTATTTTTGAGATATTGATTTTTTTTGTTTTTAAAGGGGGGTTTTCACATGTCGCGCCGTATCTCAAAACGATTTATGATTATTGCTTAAAATTTTACACACTTCTTACTTATATTAATCTAAAGATCTGCATACTTTTTGGTTTTGATTCAAAATTTTATTTTAGAGTTATTGAGTTTTTTGTAAAAAAAAAAGGGGGTTTTCGCATGTCACGCGGTATGTCAGAAACTATTTATGCTTATTGCATAAAAATTCACACACAAGACGACGAGCGTATCATGCACTCATGGCGCAGCTGTTTATTGTTGAGCCTGCATCTTTTGTTGCATAAGTGAGACATAGCAATCTTACATTCCGTCGGCGACAGCATTCGCAAATATTCACTCTGTGGTAAAAGTTTTTGAAATTTTAATAACTTTCTTAAACTATCCTGGATTTCTACCATACTTGGACAGAAGCTTATTTATGATCATAAGATAGTATCCAGAAGTAAATTTTGTAAAAAAAAAAAAAAAACGTTTATCTGTATTTTACTTATAAATGGACTTAGTTTTTCTGCCAGTTAACATTACATTCACTCTGTGGTTAAAGTTTTTAAAATTTTAATAACTTTCTTAAACTATCCTGGATTTTTAACAAACTTGGACAGAAGCTTGTTTATGATCATAAGATAGTATCCAGAAGAAGATTTTGTAAAAAAACATCCAGTTCATTATTTTTATAATTTTATAATTGCATCTTCTATTTACATGCATTTAATTGATGAATTAAGGGATAAATCATCAAGCAATCAATGTAAAAATATCTTCTTTATCATTTGTTCATTCAATAAATTTATGTTTCAACTCTTTTATAAATCTATAGATTTGATTGCGTACTATATTCATTTTTTACAAGCATAACTTTTTTCATACATTTCAAACGTTTTATTGCATTAACTGTAAATCTATTATGTGCATTCCCCTATCACACTGAAAACATAGACAACAGCAAAAGTAGGCGAGACACTGGGTTCCGCGGAACCCTTACGAATTTTTATACGACTGCAAAAAAATTTTGCAGTCGTATAATGGTATGATGTTGGCGTCGTCGTCGTCGTCCAGAGACACATTGATTTTCGCACAATAACTTAAGTTAAAGTGAATGGATCTCTATGAAATTTTACCATAAGGTTCAATACCACAAAAGGAAGGTTGGGATTGATTTTGGAGGTTATGGTACCAACAGTTAAGGAATAAGGGGGCCAAAAATAAGCATTTTTCTAGTTTCCAGACAATAACTTGTGGAACAGTGTATGGATCTCTGAATTTATACCACAAGTTTCCATACCACAAAGGGATGGCTAGGATTTGCTTTGGGGGGTTATGGCTCAAACCGTTTAGGAATTAGGGGCAAAAAAGGGGGAAAAACAAGGGTGTCAAGGACAAATACTTTAGTACAAAACATAATTTAAATCAGTGTAAGGGAGGTAATTCAAATACATCATTTGAATTACCTTCCTTACACTGCTTTTAAATTATGTATAAAGTAAAGGTTAATGAACAATTAAGACAATTTAAAAGCAGTGTAAGGGAGATAATCCAAATACAACGTTTTGATTACCTCCCTTACACTGCTTTTAAATTATGTTTAAAGAAATGCATATTTATAAAGGTAGATCAGTAAAAATATCTGCAAATGTTGCATCTTTTTTTTTCTACAAAAAAATCCATATGAAAGATGTAACACCATATTTTAAATTCTATTATAAAATAGATTAAGTTAGCACTATGGTAAATTTAAATGGGTAATTATGGTTGCAAACTCCATCGGAAATTTGAATTGAGATAATGACCATATATTAAGGGAAAGAATTTTTTTTTTTGGGGGGGGGTAAAAAGGAATTGTGGGGGGTCAATTTTTTCTCATTTTAGATTTCAGAAATTAAAAAGAAAAATTCTTCAAATATTTTTTTTTTTGCCAAAAAAAAAAGTGTGGGGGGGGTGGATGGGAGGGTTAATATGCAACAGCATAGTGTATTGCACAAAAGCAAAAAAAAAGGGGGGGGGGAATTTCTTTTCTTTTTTTTGGGGGGGAGGGGGGGTCAATTCGCAACAGCAAAGTGTATTGCACAAAAGCAAAAAATTGAATATAAATTCAAATCATATAACCAATTCTTAGTTCTTTGACTACAGTTATTCTGTGTCAGAAACCTTTTATGTGTCAAATATTTAATTACAATCCAAATTCAGACCTGTATCAAGCGCGAATATTGCGTCCATTTTTGCCCCAATTGTTCAGGGTTGGACCTCTGCGGTCGTATCCAGCTGCGCTCGGCAAAGCAATTTATTATATTTTATAGGTATTTCCTCTGAAATATTTTTTTACAATAAATTTAGTTTTTTAATTTGTCCATACATCAGTTATCTTGGTTCCTGTATGATAAATCAATTGTTTTATAACAGAGTGAAACCTTACTTCAAAATAAAAGTTTGCGACCATTTCCAAAAATGTATTTATTTGTTTTTGTGTCACATACAAAAATGTGCAAACAAGGCCCTTGCTGACATGTCAGTTTATCAGTTTTTTATTATTCCACAGGTATTTTCTTTGAACTACCATTCTGTTTACAGTAGCTGAATGATTTATTATTTATAATCCAGTGGTTTTCCCTCTGGACTACATTCTGTTTACAGTAGCTGAATGATTTATTATTTTATAATCCAGTGGTTTTCCCTCTGGACTACATTCTGTTTACAGAAGTTTGGATGTCCATGATTTTTTGATTGACAGGTATTCCCTCTGAACTACATTCTTTTTACAGGAGTTTTGATGTCCATTATACAGGTATTTCCTCTGTTGTTCTACATTTTCACATCAATTGTGATTGATTGTAAATGATTTCCTATTGCACAGCTGTTCTGTCTGAATGGGCTGCATTCTATTTACAGGAGTTTTGATGCCCATTATTTTCTATTCCAAAGATATTTTTATCGAACCACATTCTGTTACAGCAGTTCAGATTTATTACCACTGGACTTCATATTGTTTACAGCAGTTGTGATGTAATTATAGATGATATTTAAGGCAGTGTGTATAAAGACAACTGTTCAGCTATAACATATAATATACAACTAATGTATTTCCGCCCGCGGCAACGTCACTGACAGTATGACGTCAACAATAGACAAGTACAATAGTACAGACATTATATTCCCATGACATTCTCAACAGTAATGTCAATTATTTTCTTTTCCACAGGTATTTCCGCTGGACTATATATTATTTCAGCAGTTGTGATGTCTATTATTTTATTTTCCATAGGTATTTCCGTTGGACTATATATTGTTTACAGCCTTTCTGATGTCTATTATTTTATTTTCCATAGGTATTTCCACTGGACTACATATTGTTTACAGCAGTTGTGATGTACCTGATATTCTGCTCTATGTCAGGAGTCAGAAATATTGGAATATGGTTTTTCTGGCTAAAGGTTAGTTTATTTGTTACAATTTATGTTGAAATTTTCTCATAAAGATTTAGGAATGATCTAATACATATGTATCTCACCCCAATATTACTCTGAGTAAATTTTTATGCTTCTAATGAGACTATTCTTTAAGTGGTTTTACATATTGAAACACAACACATTTTGCAATAGACAAAAAGGTGACATGAATGCTATAATGAAACAGTCCTAAGTGTGAAACTGTTCAAAATCATGATTAGCTGTAAGGTTTTTAATCCCCAACACTAAATGTTAATGGAATATTGTTTTATCAGTTTTATCAGTATTTGTAAGATATATAACTATCGTCCCGACTCTATTTAGCTCCTGAAGGTATTGACCAGTATTTGGTGTGCAGTTGCTTAGTGATGAGTTACAGATCAATTTTTTATTTCTTTTCACTAGATTAACTTCTCACTGACTGACTGACTGACTATGGGCCATTGGTAATTTTCTTAGATCTCAGAATTTCTTCTTAAAGCAATATTTATAGTATTGACAATGTTAAGAAAAAAAATTAAAATGTATTTGAATATTTTCATTTTTGATTATAGATGTATAAGATAAGACCTCGTCGGACAAGGCCACAAGGAATACTTATGTTATGTATGATACTCATGTTCATAATATTGGCCATCAATATAATTGTATACCAACTGACACCACAATATTCTATGTATGGCAGTCAGATGTACAAGGTATGTAGTGTCACACTCAGAGGTTATAATTCTGTTCTACATAGCATATCATGTTTGATGACCCCTAGTGCTGTTTAATTGATATGTTCTCCATGACTATAACCAGACCTGCCAACTATCCCAATTTATAGGGGATATCCCCCATGAGAGGTGTTGACCTGAATTTTGAAATTCTGCTTTATATGAACTGAACACCTCAAAACAGTCATTTAAACGAGATAAAAGGGTATTCAAGCACATATATACTCATTCAATCAATATTGTAGTAGATTAAAAACACTTATGGCAATATAAGAGGAGTATTATGTCCTCTTGCGCTTAGAATCCCCCATGGAGATTTTGAAAAGTTGGCAGGTATGTATAACTTGAAATTGTCATTAACATAACATTAATTAAATATGTATGAAAATTTTAGAAAGAATAATAAGTTTGGCCTGATTGACCTAGATTTGGCAGAAAACAAAGGATATTACAAGAATTTATTTTCAAATCAATCCGATAATCAGCGAGGCTTCCAAGATATCACCTTTGCTCTTTTTATTGTTATTGGATTGAGTATTTCATGTACTACTGGAAACATGCATATTTAAGATTAAGATTTCAATAATGACAAAAATCATGTATTTTTCATTTCACCTCTTTTTGAGGTTCATTTTAATGATTATCTACTGGAATGTTAGCTAACAAGTAGGCTTTTTTTCAGTCCAGTGAATGATCTATTATTATGTAATTCAAATATTCAAATTTTTAGGTAAGGGAAATAATATATGTATTAATTTCTTTTTATTTTGTAGCAAAAAAAATGATGAATATTAGTAATAAAGCCAACAGTTCAATCAATCATTTGAATAATTGTAATCTTTAAAAATATAACCATGATTATTATTTCTAGGCAGCTCATAATACTACAGTAATGAAAAAGACAACAATTTCATATAAGCTAGAACATTGTTCTCTGGACACATCTAGAGGTAATGTAATTGTAATGATTAAATATAGCTAGAGAAATGTCTGTAATTACTAAAAAGTCACTTCAAAATGAATAACCACATTGTAATACATGTATTTTTTCTTTTGATGTCACATGACACAAAGATATTGTTCTTTGTACATTTTTAGCTCTCATGGCCAAGTGGGCTTTTTTCATCACTTGGCGTCTGTCATCATCGTCCATTAACTTTTACAAAAATCTTCATGTCTGAAACTACTGGGTCAAGTTTAACCATACTTGGCTACTATAGGGTTATTTAGTTTAAAAAATGAGTCGAATGACCCTGCCTGCCAACCAATATGGCTAGTTGAAAATGCAGGTTTGTCTATTATCTTGAAAGCCACTATAAATAAAGAAAATCTTACAGGGCAGGAATATTCAGAATATTCAGATCTATTATAGAAGTTATTGTGCTTAAATTAAGAAATTTTACTATTTTTGTGTCGCCTGCGAGACATAGGTATTACTATCCAGTGGCGGCAGTGGAGGCTGCGTCAAATTTTTGTATAAAGCTTTATATTTGAGTAGGTAGTTGACCTGGATGCTTCATATCTTGTATACAGATACCTTACGACGTTTTGTCTGTTATATGTCCAATGTTCTTGACCTCATTTTCATGGTTCAACGACTGCTTGAAAAAAAATTTCAGTTTTTTTGTCATATGAATTTCTTGCTTATTATGAGTAATAGGATAACCATATTTGTTATATGGGTTCCTTGGAACGTCTTCATGTCCGTCAGACAGGGTTCATCTGACCTCGACCTCATTTTCATAGATCAGTGATCAAGGTTAAAGTTACGTGATTAGGTCCGTTTCTCAAATACTATAAGCAGCAGGTCAACTATATGTGGTGTATGGAATTACTGTAATGAGTACATGTCAGTCTAGTAGGTTTCATCTGACCTTGACCTCATTTTCATTAGTCAATGTTGAGTTTTTGTGTTTTGGTCTGTTTTTCAAGTCCTATAGGCAACAGGTCAACTATATTTGGTGTATGGAATTATTGTAAGGTGTACATGTCTGTCTGGTAGGTTTCATCTGACCTTGACCTCATTTTCATGGTTCATTGGTCAATGTTGAGTTTTTGTCTCGCCTGTGACTTTCATCGCAGTATGCGAGACATAGGTATTACTATCCATTAGCGGTGGCAGCGGCGTAAAATATTTGTATAAAGCTTTATATTTCAGAAGGTAGAAGACCTGGATGCTTCATACCTTGTATGCAGATACCTTAGGTTATGAAGTTTCCGTCTTTGCATATGCCCATTGTCCTTGACCTCATTTTCATGGTTCAGTGACTGCTTGAAAAAAAATTAGTTTTTTTGTCATTTGAATTTCTCACTTATTATGAGTAATAGGATAACTGTATTTGGTGTATGGGTTCCTTGCAACGTCTACATGCCCGTCACACAGGGTTAACCTAACCTCGACCTCAATTCAAGGATCAGTGATCAAGGTTAAAGTTACGTGATTAGGTCCGTTTCTCAGATACTACAAGCAGCAGGTCAACTATATGTGATGTATGGAATGATTGTAAGGAGTACATGTCAGACTGCCAGGTTTCATCGGACCTTGACCTCATTTTCATGGTTCATTGGTCAATGTTTAGTTTTATACGGCCACAAAAAATTTGTGTTCGTATAATGCTATCATGTTGTTGTCGTCGTCGTCAGCGTCGGAAGACATTTGGTTTCCGGACAATAACTTTAGTTTAAGTGAATGGATCTCTATGAAATTTAATCAAAAGGTTCAATACCACAAAAGGAAGGTTGGGATTGTTTTTGGGGGTGATGGTCTCAACCGTTTAGGAATTAAGGGCTAAAAAGGGACCCAAAACAAGCATTTTTCTAGTTTCAGGACAATAACTTGTGTATAAGTATTTTGATTGCTCTGAAATTGTACCACAAGGTTCAATACCACAAGTAGAAGGTTGGGATTCATTTTGGGGGTAATTGCCCAAACCGTTCAGGAATTAGTGACCAAAAAAGGGCCAAAACAAGCATTTTTCTAGTTTTCAGACAATAACTTGTGTTTAAGTGTATGGATAACTCTTAAATTTTACATGTACCACATTTCACAAAAAGAAAATTTCTTCAAATAATTTTTTTTTTGGAAAAGGGGGGGGGGGGGGGGTGGGGTCAATTTTTTTTTTCTCAAGATTTAAGTAATTATCAATTTTCCCCAAAAAAAATTTGGGGTCACATTTTATTTTGCTAATTCTTTGTATATAGTCTGAAAACAGACTTACTAAGTATTGCGCAACAGCACAGTATATTGCACAACAGCAAGAAGTCTTCAATTGAATATAAATTCAAATCATATAACCAATTTCAAGTTCTTTGACTACATTTATTCTGTGTCAGAAACCTATAATGTGTCAAATATTTAATTACAATCCAAATTCAGACCTGTATCAAGCTTGAATATTGTGTCCATTTTTGCCCCAACTATTCAGGGTTGGACCTCTGTGGTCGTATCCAGCTGTGCTCGGCGAAGCAGTTTATTTTATTGTATTTTGGTCTGTTTTTCAAATACTAATAGCAATAGGTCAACTGTAATTGGTGTATGGAATTATTGTAAGGCGTACATGTCTGTATAGCCAGTATCATCTGACCTTTACCTCATTTCCATGGTTCATTGGTTAACATTAAGTTTTTGTGTTTTGTTCTGTTTTTCAATGACCATAAGCAATGGGTCAGCTATATTTGGTGTATGGAATAATTGTAAGGTGTACATGTCTGTGTGACAGTTTTTATCTGACCTTGACCTCATTGTCATGGATCTTTAAAAATGTTAAGTTTATGTGATACTTGTAGTAAAACCTTTTTTGTTAAGACTTTCAACATAAAATCAATAATCAATAAACAGGGAGACATTTCAGCGTGTGCACTCTTGTTGTATTTTGGTCTGTTTTTCAAGTACTATAAGCAATAGGTCAACCATATTTGGTGTATGGAATGACTGTAATGGGTACATGTCAGTCAGGCAGGTTTCATCTGACCTTGACCTCATTTTCATGGTTCATTGGTCAATGTTAAGTTTTTGTCGAGCCTGCGACTTTTGTCGCAGAAAGCTCGACATAGGGATAGTGATCCGGCGGCCAAATCTCAGATAGTATAAGCAATAGGTCTAGTATATTCGGTGTATGGAAGGACTGTAAGGTGTACATGTCCAACTGGCAGGTGTCATCTGACCTTGACCTCATTTTCATGGTTCAGTGGTCAAAGTTAAGTTTTTGAGTTTTTTCTAAAACTATTTGCAATAGGTCAACTATATTTGGTATATGGAAATATTTTATGATCTATATGTCGGTCGCACAGGTTTTATTTGACCTTGACCTCATTTTCACGGTTCATTGCTCAGTGTTAAGTTTTTGTGTTATGGTCTGTTTTTCTTAAACTATAAGCAATAGGTCAACTATATTTGTTGTATGGAAGAATTGTTAGCTGTACATGTCTGCCTGGCATGGTTCATCTGACCTTGACCTCATTTTCATGGTTCATTGGTCAATGTTTAGTTTTTATACGCCCGTCAAATTTTTGACGGGACGTATAATGTTATACAAATGTCCGGCGTCCGTCCATCTGTCTGTCCGTCTGTCCGTCTGTCTGTCCGGCGTAAATATGTCGCACCGTAACTTGAGAATGACTTATCCAAATTTCATGAAACTTAACATAGTTGTTTCTTATGATGGTCAAACGATCTGTATACTTTTTGGTGAAAATAAGATTAAAACTTTTTGAGTTACGGGACTTAGTAACTAAAACAGGTGTGTGTTTTTTTTTCACATGTCGCGCCGTATCTCAAAAACAATTTATGATTATTGCTTAAAACTTTACACACTTCTTAGTTATATTAATCTTAAGATCTGTATACTTTTTGGTGATGATTCAAAATTTTATTTTTGAGTTATTGAGTATTTTGTTAAAAAGGGGGAGGGGTTTTTCACATGTCGCGCCGTATCTCAAAAACAGTTTATGATTATTGCTTAAAACTTTACACACTTCTTAGTTATATTAACCTTAAGATCTGTATACTTTTTGGTGATGATTCAAAATTTTATTTTTGAGTTATTGAGTATTTTGTAAAAAACGGGGGAGGGTTTTTCACATGTCGCGCCATATCTCAAAAATGATTTATGATTATTGCTTAAAATTTTACACACTTCTTAGTTATATTAATCTAAAGATCTGTATACTTTTTGGTTTTGATTCAAAATTTTATTTTTGAGATATTGATTTTTTTTTTAAAAAGGGGTGTTTTCACATGTCTCGCCGTATCTCAAAAACGATTTATGATTATTGCTTAAAATTTTACACACTTCTTAGTTATATTAATCTTAAGATCTGTATACTTTTTGGTTTTGATTCAAAATTTTATTTTATAGATATTGAGTTTTTTGTAAAAAAAAAAAGGGGGTTTTCGCATGTCACGCCGTATGTCAGAAACTATTTATGCTTATTGCATAAAAATTCACACACAAGACGACGGGCGTATCATGCGCTCATGGCGCAGCTGTTTATTTGGTTAATGTTAAGTTTATGTGACAGTTGTAATAAAGCTTTATATTTAGGACTATCGACATAATATCAATGATTAATAAAGAAGGCGAAACATTTCAGCGTGTGCACTCTTGTTGTGTTTTGGTCTGTTTTCCAAATACTAATAGCAATAGGTCAGCTATAATTGGTGTATGGAATGATTGTAAGGTGTACATGTCTGTCTAGCCAGTATCATCTGAACTTGACCTCATTTCCATGGTTCATTGGTTAACATTAAGTTTATGTGTTTTGGTCTGTTTGTCAATTTACATTAGCAATGGGTCAACTATATTTGGTGTATGAAATAATTGTAAGGTGTACATGTCTGTGTAACAGTTTTTATCTGACCTTGATCTCATTGTCATGGATCTTTAAAAATGTTAAGTTTATGTGATACTTGTAGTAAAACCTTTATCTTTAAGACTTTCAACATAAAATCAATGGTCAGTAAATCTCGCGAGACATTTCAGCATGTGCACTCTTGTTGTGTTTTGGTCTGTTTTTCAAGTACTATAAGCAACAGGTCAACCATATTTGGTGTATGGAATGACTGTAATGGGTACATGTCAGTCTGGCATGTTTCATCTGAACTTGACCTCATTTTCATGGTTCTTTGGTCAATGTTAAGTTTTTGTGGTTGGGTCTGTTTTTCAAGTACTATAAGCAAAAGCTCAACTATATTTGGTGTATGGAAGGATTGTAAGGTGTACATGTCTTTCTGACAGGTATCATCTGACCTTGACCTCATTTTCATGGTTCATAGGTCAATGTTACATTTTTGTGTTTTGGTCTGTTTTTCAAGTACTGTAATCAATAGGTCAACTATATTTTGTGTATAAAAAAATTGTAAGGTGTATATGTCTGTCTGATAGCATTTATCTGACCGGAGAGTCTGTGATGCTTTAGTTAAACCTTTATCTTTAAGACTTTCAACATAAAATCAATGGTCAGTAAATTAGGCGAGACATTTCAGCGTGTGCACTCTTGTTTTACATTATTGCCTATTATCTTTAAACTATAACAGATAGAGAGAAACTTTTGCTATCAAAAATGATCAGCATGACAAGATCTGCAAATAAGTCAACTTCATCAAAATTGTCAGACAACTCCTTATTGGAGTTATTGCCCTTTAGTTACGTTTTTTTCCCAATTTTTTGAGTTTTTGCTTTACATCTTTAAAGCAATAATAGATAGATAAAGTTTTTATGACCACTTTCATCTCCATTATTCACATAGACTGTTCAATAACAAATTTTCATTGATGTATGAATTGCAGATAATAATAAATATGACATTACAAATAATGTAAATAGGTATTGAATTTTGTGATTGCAGATGATTGTGTAATCACAAGAATGGCCTTGTTATTGAACAGATTTTTCTATAAAATGTGGTTCTTTGGAGCAGCTTATTACTGGGCAACCTGGATCTTTCTAGGGGTAAGTAAAATAGTGAATTTATTGATCTTAGATACTCAAAGAAAAAAGTTTATTATCATATCTTTTAACAGATTACACTGTGTTAAAGCATCTGACCTGTTTAAAACATTTGTAGTAAAATCTGATGTTAAAACTACCAAGGCAAAGTCTTCAATTTTCTACAGATGTCTAATGATTTATACAATACATTTTAAAGAATACTGTCCAGGAATGATACATTTAGTGATATTGTAAAACATTGTGTACAATAGTGTATATAATTGTATACAATAGGGTATAACATTGTGTACAATAGTGTATATAATTGTATACAATAGGGTATAACATTGTGTACAATAGTGTATAACATTGACAATAGTGTAAGACATTGAGTTCAATAGTGTAAAACATTTTATTCCACTGCATGTAAATATTTATAACAAAATCAACATTTGATTGGTTGAGAGTAGAGATTATCCCAATTGACATTGAACAAATCATCATACTCCCCTCTGAACATCGGGACTACCTTGTGCGACAATACGTGCGGTTAATGTACATAACGCTTTGAACGTTTTTATTTTTAAAGATAGCCATAGTATAGTCATTATTGTTTTCAAAATTATTTCTGATTTAAAATCAAAATAGATAAAAAACTTTTGATTCTTATTGTTTATAAATGTTTATTACGTTTTAACTTATAAAAGCAAGCGGATATAAAACATTGTATGAAAATTAATGTTTTATGTTCAGGAGGTAAAACAAGTATAGACAGTGGAATAAAACATTCATTTCCCTTGACTTAGGGAGATATGAAGATTTGTTCACCCTCGAAAAGTTATATTTCACTTGGGTGATATATGGAAATATGATTTTCTTGGGTGAACAAATCTTCATATCTCCCTCAGGCACAGGAAATAAATGTATAGTGTATATAATTGTGTACAATAGTGTATAACATTGTTTGTTTTTTTCTACAGTTTATGGTGTTAGGATTTTTGGTGGCTGTCATCAAGAAGAGGAAGTCATCCATTGATGGAGAAGTTGATGAAGATGACTTTGATGAAAGTGATGAAGAAATGATACATGCATAATTTACTTTGAGGAGAAAACATTATGAAAATAAGTCACTAAATTCTGAGATGAAGAAACTATTTATACATAATTTACTTTGAGGAGAGTAATAAGAAAAGTAAATCACTTATTTCAGAAAGATAGAGAAATGATTTATGCCTGCTTGAATGAATATGGAGTGGTAAAGGAATGTTTCATATCTGAATTTGAGTGGTTGAAAAATGTTTTGTACTTGAATGACTGTGATCAGAATGATAGAGAATGAGGAGTGCTGTATGTCTGAATGATTAGATGAATTTTTGAATTAATTTAATATTGCTTTCAGTGTCATGGATGAAAGTTTGCAGAATCTGGATTATCAATTTTGCGTATGTATGATTTTAACCCTAACTCCTACTCCATCCCTTATCTAACATGAGGGTACCCAAATTGCACCTATTTTGACAGTTTTTTCACCTACGTTCTTTTATGATCTAGATAAAAGTTTCCATTCTGTGTTTATTTTGTAGATGTATCCTTATTTACTATATAGTTACACCAATTCAATTTTGAATCCATAGTGAATCATTGTTGAGGGGGGAAGGGGGGGGGAAATGGGATGAATATTTGTTAAAGCTACTTTAAGTGTTTCTATTGGGTTTGGTTCCAGGTGAAAGCGTGTATGATTTGCATGTAAGTATATGACCTGTAAATGTTGGTTTAATTTATTTAAATGCTATTTTTATATATTGTAAAGTTTATTTATAATGCTTATTTGTTTATTACAACAGTGCATATGTTACTTAGAGATTTATGTGCTTGTTAATGTTCTTTCATATAAAGATAATTATTAAATAATGATATGACCTTTAATAAGCCATTCCTATGAGTATGTAATATATAAGTCATAAATAGACTGATTCAATATAATGGGCTTGGACATTATACAAGTGTTTCAGGATGGGGATTTGACATGTATCCATGTGCCAGTTTGTGCTTTTATTAACAAATGACATTTGAGGTTATGTTTTAAATTTATTTTTTTATTCCCTTGCTCAATTTTTTATGTTTCATTTTTTCCCATTATCAAAAGTGCAAACTTGAGAACAAGTAAAAAATGAAGTTAAAAATCTATTTGTATTTATCTTAAGTTATTAATACATTTAATTCAGCTGTCAATATTTTCTCAGTGTAGTGTCCCTGAACCAGATAATTTGTTTGATATAACATAATAATAACAGTTATGTTTCATACAAAATGAGCTTTGATAAATTTACCATATATATATAATAACAAAGCACAATCAGGATATAAGGATATAACAATTAATGGCTTTTGAAAGATAAGCATAACTATTTAAGAAACTTTGATGTTGCTTAATGTATATGATTTATAAACAAATATGAAATTATTTTTAACTAGGGTTTCCAAACATCTATTCAGTTTCTGTTTATATCTGAACAGCATTTATTAATTGCTTATAAAGACAGATTGGAAGAGAATAAACTTAATATTATCCTATGATAACCAAGTATATTATATCTGCTATACAGTGCTGGCTTAATGTAAACTGCTGTCATATCTATGACTTATACTTCTATATTTGACATATTTATTTTGTAATAAAATGAATTTGAAATAATTTCTAGGGTCATGTTTTCAACAGTTTTGAATAATACATAAAAAGGGACAACAGTAATCTTATACTGTTCTTGCCTTAGGTTGGTGATTATCCCTGGGGGCTCTGTTGCTTCATCCACCAATAAAAACTTGATACCATGATATAGCCAAGTGTGCTGAAACTGGCATTCAACACTTACAATCAATCAATCAATCAATCAAAAATACTCTACATTACAGCAGACCACATAATGCATCAACACTTGACTTAAAAAAAACAACAAAAAAAGACAAACACTAACATTTTTGATTGATTGATTGATTGATTGATTGTTAGTGTCAAATGTGCAGGTATTTATTTTGTGGACCAAAAGAGACTTGAAAAGGAATAGCCAAATTCATCCATGGTCAACTGTGCCTGTTTTCTTTATCATGTCCCATTCAGATGAAGTTTAAAGCATTTTATTTTTATTCCATACTTTAACTGATCCTTTTGTATGTCAACTTGAATTGTTCACTTGTAAGGAGCAATATGATAACTACATTTGTAATTTGGTATCCTTGCAAAGTCTAAACGTCTGTCAGATGGGTTCACCTTGACATCATTTCATGGATTAGTGAACAAGATTTTGTAAGCAATGTTTCAACTATAAGTTAGAGGGTATAAATGATTGTAAGATGTAAATAGATATAAGAAGATGTGGTATGAGTGCCAATGAGACAACTTTCCATCCAAGTCAAAATTTATAAAAGTAAACCATTATAGGTCAAAGTACGGTCTTCAACACGGAGCCTTAGCTCACACAGAACAGCAAGCTATAAAGGGCCCCAAAAATAACAAGTGTAAAACCATTCAAACGGGAAAACCAACGGTCTAATCTATATAAAAAACGAGAAACGAGAAACACTTATGAACCACATCAACAAATGACAACTACTGAACATCAGATTCACTGGCAGTGTTCATCTGACATTGACCTAATTTCATTGTCCATTGGTTAATGTTGAGTTTTCGTGGTTTTTGTCTCGCCTGCGCTGAAAGTCGCAGTATGCGAGACATAGGTATTACTATCCAGCAGTGGCAGCAGCAGCGGCGCCCGGCATAAATTATTTGTATAAAGCTTTATATTTCAGAAGGTAGAAGACCTGGATACTTCATACCTTGTATGCAAATACCTCATGTTACGAAGTTTCCGTCTGTCATATGCCCATTGTCCTTGACCTCAATTTCATGGTTCAGTGACTGCTTGAAAAAAAATTACAGTTTTTTTGTCATGTAAATTTCTCACTTATTATGAGTAAAAGGATAACTATATTTGGTATATGGGTTCCTTGCAACGTCTACGTGTCAGTCAGACAGGGTTCACCTGACCTCGACTCATGGATCAGTGATCAAGGTTAAAGTTACGTGATTAGGTCCGTTTATCAGATACTACAAGCAGCAGGTCAACATTTGTGGTGTATGGAATGATTGTAAGGGGTACATGTCAGACTGGCAGGTTTCATCTGACCTTGTCCTCATTTTCATGGTTCATTGGTCATTGTTATTTTTTTGTGTTTTGGTCTGTTTTTCAAGTACTGTAAGCAATAGGTCAACCATATTTGGTGTATGGAATGATTGTAAGGTGTTCATGTCTGTCTAGTCAGTATCATCTAATCATTTCCATGGTTAACATTAAGTTTTTGTGTTTTGGTCTGTTTTTCAAGTACCATAAGCAATGGGTCAACTATATTTGGTGTATGGTATAATTGTAAGGTGTACATGTCTGTGTGACAGTTTTTATCTGACCTTGACCTCATTGTCATGGATCTTTAAAAATGTTAAGTTTATGTGATACTAGTAGTAAAACCTTTATCTTTAAGGCTTTCAACATAAAATCAATGGTCAGTAAAACAGGCGAGACATTTCAGCGTGTGCACTCTTGTGTTAATTCTCAGATATTATAAGAAAGGGTCAACTATATTTGGTGAAGGGGATGAGATGTACAGGTCCATTTGACATGGTTAGATGATTAATGTTAAGTTTTTGTGGTTAAGTCCGTTTTTCGGACAATATACGCAACACGTCAACTGTACGTGTTATTAAGGTACATGTCAGCCTGGCCGGGTATTTCTGACCTTGAACTCGCTGTCATGGTTTGTTGGTCAATGTTAAGTTTTATGGAATGATTGCTATTTGTACATGTCAGCCTGGCAGTGTTTGAGACCAGCTGAAGCCCGCCTCCGTTTGTGGGATTTTCTCGCTGCGTTGAAGACCCATTGGTGGCCTTGGGCTGTTTTTCTGCTCTTTTGTCGGGTTGTTGTCTCGGACACATTCTCCGTTTCCATTCTCAATTCTATTCATATGACCTTGACCTCATTTTAATGGTTCATTGGTCAACGTTAAGTTTTCATAGTTATATTCGGTGTATGGAATGAATATAAAGTGTACGTGTCCGTCTCTCAGGATTCATCTTACCTTGACCTTATTTACATCAATCATTGATAATGTTGTGGTATACGTGTATCCAGGAACATATATATGTTAGATATACTGTTCCCAGGTGTATCAAACCTTTATCTTAAATAATTTCAACATACATTCAATCATAATTTGTAAAACAGGCGAAATATTTCAGTGTGCACTATTTTTTCATATGTACATGAAAATTTGGTAAACGGACAGAAAGTCACAGGACAAAAAGTCACAGGACATAAAGTCACAAATTGGATAGGACAAAAAGTCACAAATAATTTGTTGACAATTGTTTGAATATATAAGAGAAAGATCTTCAAATAATTTCTTTTTTTACATTTATTCATTTTTAAGTATAGGAAATTGTTCATAAGCCTTGATAAATGAAAAAATATTAAATTTTAATCATGCAAATGATATATTTCGTGGCACCATGAAGCCATTTAAGTGCCAAACCACTTTGACATTTTGTTATCATAACAATTATTTGATCATCATTGATATTTATTGAAAAAATTTTAATAACAAAGTTGCTTCATATATTATAGTTCAAGAAAAAATCAAAAATTTACTTTTAAAATTAGTGTTTTCTTGTTCAGAGAAAAATAATCTCAAAACTGAATTGTGACTTTTTGTCCTGTGACTTTTCGTCCGTGACTTTTTGTCCTGTGACTTTCTGTCCTACAATCGAAAATTTGTACATTGTTAGATCTTGATATGCAGATAGATAAATTGGAAAGATATTCCTATACCCATACAGTTTTTCTGACTGGCTGGTTAGTCTGTTTCTTAATCCTTTGTCTTCCAACTTATATTTGGTCTATGTGGTTCGTCAAGCTTTCATATCATCAAAGTACTAGTATTATATGTCTTTGTACTTTATAAATGTATTATGAACCACAAATATAATCGTCTAATATCAATATCTTTTAACATTTTAAATTTCCCACTAAAGATATGAAATGAGTCCCTAGAGCAGCTTTATTCTCAATTTTCGAGGGATACAAAACTATATTTTAGTTGAGATTTTAAGTAAATATAGGTCTTTCTTTTACAATATGTATAAGAAAGACAAACTTGTTTGGATATTTGAGGTATGAATTTGACACCGAAAAATGTTTGTCTACTTTAAGGGACTTATTGGTGATTTCAGGTATATAATTTATTTTTTAGTACACCCACCTAAAACGTAGCTATCTATTCATTCGACTTTTCCCTGTTGTCAAATAGTATTTCGGTGCATATTCCATCAAATCATCGCACAAGGCGAAAGATTTACAAGATATCAACGAAAAAAATATTTTGATTTCTAATAAATGAAATAAGATGTGAAAAAAGCGATATTACAGAGACAAGAAAGTGTATATTATTGTAATATTTAGGTTTTGTTCTTGAAATTGGCCCTGATTGGCAACTTAACACCAAGTTTCAATAAATGGCTGTTCCTCTTACAATGAACAATAGTAGCATGCATTATAAATTTATGTCCAAATTTATCTTAATCCCCACAAAATTTATGATTGATTTTAAATATTCTTCTAGATTAGCTGAAAAGAAAAGCTATCATAAAACTTAAATCTTTCTTGGTGTTTTCATATAAAATCATTATGAAGCAGATGCGAAATGCATACTCGCCTTCTAGCAAAACAAATATGGAGTTGAATACCGTTTGTTTTTGCTGTACTGCACTAGACTATATGAAAAATCCATAAATAAATATGGGTCATCAAGATCCCTAAATAATTGGGACTACTTTTGTTTATAACTTACGATCAATTTTAAGTATAAATGTTTTTGTGAAACTGACGCCTTAATTCTATGAGAACATTGAATGACTTTTTTGATACATACAACCAGAAAAAGGATCATTGTAAATTACAGTATCTAAATTTTCATATAAAGACTATATATATATATATACAAGTCTAAATTGAAAACAACGTTCAAACCTATGATTGCGTTGGATACTGCAATTTTTATACGTGTGCATGCAAAACAAATTTCTTGGTAGAGGGGTCTAAATACAGCACAAACAACATTTTCCAAAAGACCAAAACAGTGAAAAAGCATATTTTAACAAAACGCTATATATATATACGCATACTCCTAGATAGAGATTGTACTTGACAATTCAGATAGCAACTAGGAAAAAAGCCTCTGAACGAATGTTATGTATAGTCATTGTGATTCCTTTTAGATTGTATATATATAACTACAGTACAGTCCACAAGCCAAAGATAACAGCAAATGGGATTGCAGATGCCATCTGACCTTTGTTTCATTTTTATTGCATGCATGTTTGCCATTTTTGAAATTTTTTTCACTGTTCATTCAAGTTTGAATTATTGATAAAAGAAGCTGCTCGGCGTTTCACTAAAACAATACGACTAAAATTATTATCATAAGTCAAGAACAACTCAGGCAGTATATCTACGATCAACTTTAGTCGTAATAGTTTTAGTGAAACGCAGGCCTGTGTCAATGAGACAGTCGCCCGAGTCCATCCTAGTTTGATGGAATAAAACAATGAATACCAAAGATATACAATAATTGCATAAATGTCTATATGGACAGGACTAAAAACCTACACCCACTAATGTTTGTTTTCGTGGAGTAAGGCACTTTAACCTGCATGTAAGCATATTAGACAGTTTAAAATGTAGGCAGTATATTCATTTCAATTTTTTTTAAAATAATCATTAAAATGCTCTAAAGCGAATTTGTAGAAAACTTGGACTAATGCATTATTCCAGAAGAAACAAGACTAGGTATTGTGATGAATATCTTGATGTCAATTTTTGACTTCCGTTTTGTACTTAAAATCCTTATTCTCAGAGGTAATCAATTGATACAGTATGTTTTTTAGTTTACTAAAGTTTATACTAAAAGAGATACTAGCCCGTAAAAAGTATCATCAAGAAAACCCTAACATTTATCTAGGAACTTATAAGCGATATTGAAATTTCATCTAAGGGTTTCAAAGCATATAGATATACATGTATATATATAAAACAAATCTTTGTTTGCTTTAATTGTATTTTGTAACTTATTTGTTGTTCTGTTCTTGTAATTATATATTCATCAAAATGTAAATCTTCTGTATAATGGAGGAAATGAAGAGAATCAATCAATTAATCAACCAATATTTTATATCAAGTGCATAATATTATGACCAGGTAATGTGGTATGATTTCAAATGAGACTTCTGCCGACCAAAGACCAAAATGACAAGGATGTGAACAACTACAGGTCAAAGTTCGTACTTCAACAATGAGCAAAACACATATCGTATAGTAACTATAATCTAAAAGAGGCCCCGAGATAACAAAGTGAGAACAAAGAGATATACAATGGTCTGATTTATACTAAAACAATCAACGAAAAACAACTTTGACAGACAGTAATACATGAAAGATTCCTTGCTTGGGACAGGCACATCAAGAATATCTTTTTTTCTGGTTCAAAATGTATGTTCATTGTTTGCTAGGGAATGACGTAGAGATGATAGTATAAATGATTATTAATATATATGGTGACAAAATGTGTCGCCATTTCACAAAATATAGACAATACAAATTAGCATCAGTATTAAAAATAACCAATACTACAGTTAATTACCCAGCTCACAGATTGATGGTCCGAAATACTTTATGTAAGTTAAACATTAACTGGCTAATTTTGACTAATTCAAATATGTGGTGCGATGTACGACAGGTTTTTAGTAACCATAGATTTTTTAAACAAAACAAACGGACAGTATTTATATGAGGAGCTAGAAAATTTAACTTCATGTGAACCAGTCTGATTTGAAAGTGAGACAAACAGGAGAATAAACATGATGTTGTCTGTATTCTTTGTTTTTACTTTACTAGCAGGTAAGATTTGAATACAAAATATGTCTTTTCAATTACAACTACTAAATTTGGGTTTTATGTTTTAAAAATGTGTCTGTATGTGTTTTATTGTTTATTTTCAATTCATTCATATAATATAGCTTTTAATTCATCAATTCGCAAATGTCTTATTGATAATGTTTCAAATATGAGCAGTGAAGATCTCTTTTAATTTATGTGTACTTATAATCCTTACATTTTGGGTTGAAGGATCAGATTGACAAACTAAATTATTTTTCAGAGACTAGTATTATCTAAGTTTTTATTCGTCAGAAAATACGAATTTCAATGAATTTCTTTTTTAAACAGCTTGTCATGCAGCAACATGGCAGATCTCTCCATTCAATACCTCCGCTGTCACGGGAGAAAATGCGACTTTGGCCTGCATAGCCATTACAGCTAACGGAGAAAATATACAATGGAAAAAGGTAAGATAACTTTATGTGTTTCTATTTCATAAGATTTAAGGCCAATACCGCATTATGTGTGATAATGTTTGCACATACTGATTAATTTTAGATATTTATGTAATACAAAGTGTATGCAAAATTTTGGTCTTTTATGTGATTCATGTCCCTTTTTAAAGTATTTTTATGCATTCCATGCCAAGCATAATCCTTTTAGGCAGAAAATTGATACACAAAATCTTTCTCATTAACTGCTTTAATCAAGAAATTGTTCTTTTTTAACTTCCTTAAATATTTAGTTAAAACTGAGTTTACTATATGATTGAAGAACATGACATGATAATCGAAGCCAGAAGGTTTTATGTATGGTTTTAAAAAAATGTTATGTGAAAACTTGAATTAAAAGAAACTCATTTTGAGTGTTTAAATCGATCCGACTCTCGACATTTTTGTATCTTTGTAGGTGGTAGGCAGTTCAGTTACAGCTTTAACTCTAGATACTACCATTCTAGCGAGTGACAAGAGCAAGTATGCTGTGACTGGAACGTATAACTTAACGGTAGTTAATGTACAGACTTCAGATGAAGGACTCTATCAGTGTGTTATCGGAGCTACTACTAAAGAGGCATCACTACAAACCGTCGGTAAGGTCTAATATAATGCTGGTTCTGTCGTCGGTAAACTATACCGAGTTTTTGATTTTCAACTTGGTATTTTTGTCGTTTATTTGTTAACTTATTTTTTTGTGTGTTTACTCATTTGCTGGTTGATCTTGATATATTAGAGAGCCGTTATTTGGTTGGTGTGGTTTTGGATCATTAGTTGCTTCAATCATTCATTTAATATTCCATTATTTTATGTTTTTCTTTTGTCGTTGTCATTTTGGTTTGTACCAGTCTTTATATTTTCCTAAGCTGTGAGACAGGAGACGAATTTTGTTGTTTTGCTAAATGTGTATCCATTTAAATGTTTTCACCACTTAGATAAACTGAAAATGTAGGCATCGTGAGTCAAATTTAATTGATATATTTCTTTCAGTTTTGCCAACCAATGTATCTACCTACTGGGAGACATCACCAACCATTGGGAACATTGTCAACATCACTTGCCGGGCAACGTATGGCAAACCTCCTCCCTATCTGAGGATTTACAAAGATAACATTGACATAACACATCTAGCGTATTATTACACAGAAAACACCAGATCTAGTGGTAAGTATTTTGGGTAGTGATATTTCAGTTGTGCAGAATTAATACGCATATTTAGCCATTGTTTTAAATTTATGAAACGTTTGAAAACTTTTAGTAATAATGTTATGTAGTATAAAGATATAAATCTTAGAGGTGCCTTTATTTTTTTCAAATATATCAAACATCTTTAAGCAGGTTTAATTTAATATGTTTTTTAAATTTTTTTCCAGGTTATGGAGACGCTGTTGCTAGTGCTGCTTTGACCTTGACATCACTTGATGTTAACAAAGACATTCGATGCGAAGTTGAATATGACGGTCTTTACAATGCCATGAACTACACTATGAACACAAATTTGAGTAAGATTTATTTATTCATAGCAACTGTTTATGTTATAGCTGACATTGTACTACAAGAAAAGAAGTTGAAAGTAAAACTGCATTTAGATTAGCTATTACTAATGTTTCTGGCCATTTTGGAGATGTTACAATGTATAATATTATCCACGATTTATATATAAACATAAAAATGAATCAGATATCCAATCCAAATTAAGATATAATAACATAGTAGTATGTCGTTTGGAATTATACCGCTGTTTGTTATAATAACATAGTAGTATGTCGTTTTGAATTATACCGCTGTTTGTTATAATAACATAGTAGTATGTCGTTTTGAATTATACCGCTGTTTGTTATAATAACATAGTAGTATGTCGTTTTGAATTAATTTATACCGCTGTTTGTTATAATAACATAGTAGTTTGTCGTTTTGAATTATACCGCTGTTTGTTAAATAATAGATTCTAACATTAGATTTTAATGCAATTTGACAGTTCTAAGGAAAGAAAAAAATTAAATATATTAGAATGAAGAGTAAAAATTCAATTAGGTTTAAGTATACCTGTAAAGATTTGGCAAACATGATGAAAAAGATTGATTTGTATAATAATAACGCTTTTTATTTTCAGATGGCGGTGCATCAATCAAGTTACATGGTCTTGCTGCTGCCCTGATGTTCATTATGGTTGCGGTTACTCAGAGTTTATAAAGACTTGTATTTAATTGTGGCTTCATCTATGAGATTTCCCAATGCACTTTGTCACGAATGCTGTATTAGAAACAATGAAATAGCTCTTGATATACTGGTTACTCTGTTGTTGAGCATGGATGAGATAAATCTAGTCAGTTGTAAAAATATACTTTATTTAGTTTATTTATTATATTTATTGTATTTATTACTTTTCGTAGTGCTTTTTGTGGACAGTGCAATCGAATTCACAAAAAGAAAATCGAATACTTGTTTTATTGATTTGCACGTTCCACAAATTGCTTGCATGTGACTCTATAGTCAGAGATTATTGCTTGAGTTGATGTTTTAAGCTGATGATAATCATGTTTTTTTAGTGTAATTAAAACTTCTTTGTTTGACATTTCTATGTGTAAAATACAAAACGTACAGCACCCTTATGACTACAACTTTCGTTTAAATCCTTCCAGTAAATTTCTCTTATCTGTAAACATTTTACCAGTTGATGAGATATATTTGCTAGAAGAACTGTAGGAATTGGGGAGGAATGTAGTGACCTTTCGGTATTGGGAAGCAATGACTAGATGTTGTTGTATACTGTGATATTATTGATCTGTAAAACTTGTGTGAATTTATTTTTGTGAAAGTATATATTTATAGAAAATAAAGATAACAAAATGTTTCCTTGTTTTATCAGTTTTATTGGAGATTAATTTAAGAAAATCAAAATTGGCATTTGTACTAAACAATATAACGATATAGGTGTTTATTCACTTAAAAGTTCAAAATAAAGATATGATTGAAAGCTATTGGAACTTGAAAATACAAGTGTCTAAATAATACCCTCCAGACTTGTTCAAGAATTTACTAATTGATTGATTGATTGATTGATTGATTGGTAATTGCTTTACGCCTCATCAGCACAAAAAGGCAAATTTACTAATGAACGACTAGCTAATAAGTCAGACCTGAACCAACGACAAGTATTACATAACAGGTTCCTGGCTTGGGACAGTCACATAACGAATGTTGCGGGGTTTAATATGTGTGTAAGTGCCCAACCTAACATGGGACAGCTGTGTAAAAACACAACAGAAGAATAAAGTCTAAAATCAGTTTGAAAAGGCTTGACTCATCATGTCAGTACTTTGCATAAACAGAACCGATCTTATTGTACTCGCAGTTACTGAAAGCTAGTTTACAGCACAGTTTCAACTACTAGTAATAGATAAACATTGTTCTCCTCGACAAAATGTCGATCAGTAAACTTCCGACGAATTTAGTATACAAACGTCAAAAGCAGTCTGAGAAAAACATGACCGTGTGCTATGCCAACATGTATGGAGGACCACAAATGATGTAAATACCTGAATTATAATACATATAAAAAATAAGGTGTGGCATTATTGCCAAGGAGACAAATTTCCATTAGAGATCAAATGATGTAGAAGTTGTGTACCGCTTTCAACACTGAGCAAAACCCATACCGCTAAGCAAACTATAAAGACCGTCTGACATGACAAATGTAAACCAATCCTAACGAGAAAACGAACGGCCCGATTTATGTACAAAACAATAAACGAAAAACTAATGTGATATGCAGCAAAAAACGACAACATGTTCCTGACATGGTACAGACACATACATAATGTGACTGGGTTAAACATGTTTGAGGGCGCCCGTCGACCATCCCCCGACCCCAACCTGTGACAGTTGCGAAACAGCACAACATAAGAACAAACTTTAAAAATCAATGGAATAATTCTTAACTCATAACTTATAAGCAATGGGCTAAAATATTTTACCGGTTGATCAGTTTAAAGAGATGAATTACTAGTAAAACAGCAATTGAGTGAAACATTTTAGCAAATTGGTAGTGTGAAAGGACAAAATCTGTCTAATATGGACATTAAAAGTGAAATCGATGTTTAGTACCAAATAAGACAATAAACAATACCAATTTTATGAGTTTTATGTTGCAAACTAAAATAATGGTGCAAATGCTCATTAAAAACTGGTCCCACTACATAGAATATTTGCCAGATTTATTATCTATTTTTTAAATTTAGTTAATGTGAGCTACATGTAAAACATACAGTAGCAGCAGTACTTCATTGTTAAAAATAAGGAGATGTGGTATAATTACCAATGAGACAACTGTCCAACATTGTCTAAATAACGTGGATTTTTAAAAGCAATTACATGTATAGGTCACGGTACGGTCTTCAACAATGAGCAAACCGTATAGTCAGCTTTAAAAGGCCCGATAAGACAAAAAGTGAAACAATTCAGAGGAGAAAAAAAAACAGTGGCCTGAGTTATAACAAAACATTACATGGTAAAAAGAAAAATATCATACAACAACAAACAACAACCACTGAATCACATTATATTAACATTACCTATAGATATGAATGCATACTCATGGTAAGATTGATTGTGGGGAGGTTTAACAAAATTTAAAGATCATTTTTCAAATATCAGAAAACAGATTATTTGGGGAAATAGATACATTAAACTTTGCAACAAAAGTTTGATCTTTCAAAACTGGGTAGCAAGTGGATTGATATATATTAACGACATACTAGATCGTGAGGGAAAGTTATCAGAGGTTTTTATTTTAGAAAAATTAAGCAATAAGTCAATTTGGATTGCAGAGTTTAAGATATTAAAATCCTCCATGCCGAAGGAAGGGCAGCAAGTTCTGATTAAAAAAAACTCTATAAAGAGTAAAATCAGTATTAGTAAGGATAAATTGAGATGGGGAAATAAACAAATAGAAACAAAAGATATCTATAATAAAATGTTATATATAGTTTAGTAGATCAAAAATATACACAGCCAATTGTTATCAATATCTGGACAAGATATTTAAAGTTAGATTACAAGCCACATATGTCATTCGTAAACAATTTTATATTTAAATTATTAAGAGAGAACAAGATGAAAATGTTTAGATGGAAACTGCTAAATTATATTATTCCCACAAAGCAGTTGCTATTCAAATGGAAAATTGCTAATAATAGTAAATGTATTTTTTGTAAAACAGAATGAGAGGAAGATTACTTTCATTTCTTTATTACATGTTCTTTTTTAAAAGACTTCTGGGATAAAGTGTAACATCTTCTTACACAACTCAATTTTGAAAATAAGATATCAGTTTAACATATAGTATTTGGATACAAAATATCAGATCAGGGTTATTATGGTTTTAACAATATTTTGACAGTTTTAGGTTTTTGCATTTTCAAGTCATACTATGTTTCAGAGCAATAATTGAAATGCTTAGATGTGTATGAATTGTTTATAAAAAAAATAAAGAAGGGTTATAAATGAAAGCAAAATGATTTCTCAAAATGTATTTTTCATAAATTTGAAAAAATTGATTTAATAGAAAAATTTATATATCTTGTCATAGTTCATGTAATGTTGTTTATTATATTCTGAGTATGTTCCTGGCAACTCAGAAGTATTTCACAGGAATACTCCACTGGCGCTTGGACAGTGAAGTATTATTGTAACAGGCAATCTAAAGAATAAAGAATATATTTGTTGTTAAAAAAAAACAACTTTTCATCCAAAGACTATGAAAAAAAAGGTTGCAGTGTGTTGGTACTGAAGAAATTGATTGATTGATTGTTGGTTGGTTAACGTCCAGTGGCAAATATTTCATGCATTTTCAGGACGATTGAATGAAATTGTGAGAAACTTGCAATATACTCTTCTTGATCAATTCTTATGAATACAAAAAACGAAGGCTGCGTAAGAAGCACTTATCATGCGCACTGAAATCTGTTTCTCATAATTTCGCTAGGATTGGTATATAAATATACCAGCGGCGTATTCAAACCCCTCTCGATCGTAGATCAGACAGAAATATAAATTCATGAAATTTTATAGATACCGAAGAAGACATAACCATATCTGCATAAAATATATTACACACCAACATTTTATATTCTATCCTATTGGTAAAGACGGTATTATGGAAAAGCTGAATTTAGCTGCATGAAACAATAATATCTAAAAAGGAAAAACTTCCAATGGAGCAACATCGGCGGTGAGACTGACGTGTAAACAGTCATTGCTAGGAAAGAACGCTTTTGTGGCAACGACAAATGAAAACATCTCTACGGCCACCAGTGACACAGATATTCCGTCACGGCCATCTTAGTCATGATTGTATCCGTTAAACAGTCGAGTGATGCCATTAATTATTTAGAACCATTGGTTCAATAGCTTCCTTGTAAGCCTCCCTCTCTATAAAGGAAATCCTGATAGGAAACTGGTAACTCGGGAGATTTAGAACTTCTCAAAAGGTAAAGACACCTGACCTTTTTTGAAGATTGTATGCAAAATTGTTGACCTCTACTGATATATCTTTCGTTTATTGTCGTTATCGGTTTGCTTTCTCATTGACAGAACTTCAAAGGAGTATACCCAAAATCCCCTTTTATCCATAGTTGTCTATAGAAAAACATGTCCAATAAACGTGACAAATATGATGTCAATAAAACATTAAAAATTAGACATATAGTTGATGGTAGTTAAAGTGAACTTATTTTCAAACCAAAGTGTTTTTAACAAAGAATAATTTAGCCCTTTAGCCATCTATACCGTTCACTCTTTTTAATTGTTAAACAAAGTTGGTCTAATTCTGTCAGTCTGTTTTCAAATTGGGAATTTCAAGAATTGAGATCTCAAGATCAAATGTTTTTTTTATTACCGTTAAACGACGATGGGATTTTGACTGTGTGTACTCCAACATGTCTGTATTTTTTTTTATTCAAAATCTATCAACATCCAATTACGGCAGCACTAGAGTAGGCAGTTACAAAGTAGAAATTCGTTTATATACTTTAGGACATAAAATCTTTCCTTATGGGAACATTACTTCATATCGAAATAGAACGAGACTTATTAAAATTATTTAAAACTGAAGGTTAAAGATATAGAAAATATGATTTAAAAATATCACATTTAAAAGCGGTCTTCTTTATTAACTAGATTATACATCAAACAAATGGACTAATACTATTAAATGTAAAATGAACTGGCTAATTTCGTGGAACTATAGAGAACAACCTCAGACCATTGTCTAACAGTGACCAAGGTTTCCAAATAACAACAAAAAGTAAGTATTTATATAGAAAAGTTGGAGATGTCTGTCTCAGATAATGTGAGCAACGATTATTAATGATGTGGACTGTTTTAAGTTTGTTGTCTTTCTTTACGGGTAAGAGTTCAATTTAGTTCTAGGAGATATAGTAACATTAATCTGAAAAAAGATTCTAGGGTAAATTATCATTGTATTGTAATTATTTTGATGCTACTTGCTACTTCAAATTTATTTTCAACAATTAACCAGATAAGGAAAAATACAGGTTCCGATAAATGGCTCATATACACTGACATCAATTTCTACATAGACTAAGAATATTGTTTTGTCTTAACAGCTTGCCATGCAGCTTCATGGCAAATAACGCCATTTAACACATCGGCTGTCCTAGGAGAAAATGGTACATTGGCATGCATAGTGACTGTAGCTAACGGAGAAAATGTACAGTGGAAGAAAGTAAGGTGTACTAGTTTGCCAAAAAAATGATAACAATATTTTTCCTTATTTCTTTTCGAGTCTGTGAACACTGCAATATCTAAGTTGATATAATTACTTTGAAATTTAGTACAAAATTGTTTTAACTTCGAAATTAAGAAAAAAACATATATAATAGATTAAGAACACTGTTATAACACTCATAACCAATGTTTATATGGCTTTTTGATAAAGACTGTTAGGATGTAAGTTTTCTTTTAGGAATGCCCTTTCTTTTATTTATCACGAACCTTTACAGATTTATACTGTAATGTGTGTTTTTTTTTTTATTTAGGTGGTAGGCAGTTCAGTTACAGCTTTAACTCTAGATACTACCATTCTAGCGAGTGACAAGAGCAAGTATGCTGTGACTGGAACGTATAACTTAACGGTAGTTAATGTACAGACTTCAGACGAAGGACTCTATCAGTGTGTTATCGGAGCTACTACAAATCAAGCTTCCTTACAAGCCGTGGGTAAATATATTGCGGTTGTCGGTATTTACACCTTCTGAATAAACTCTCCCGAATATTCGGTGACGACTTTGTTTTGTCTAAGATTTGACCTGGCGATAACTTCGTCCTAAAGATGCAAAGACGAGCGTTCCAAATTAGAAGTACAAACTGCTAGGATCATGAAAGGCATTCAAAACAATACGATACACAAATAGTTAAGCTCGCACAAATATTGCGAAATATATCAACAATAAGACACAATAAAACAAAACAAACACTGCCATTTCAACGAGGATAGATACTGAAAATCTGATTGAATACACGAATAATGCTGATAATTGCTATAGCTAGTTCAAATATTTTGATGTACGCGTTGCTTAAAGTCAGTTCAGCATTTGTTTATTCACATTCAGTTAAAATTACAAAAAGCAGTGTCTACTGAGTTTTAAGCAAATATAATGAATCAATTATCTGCTATAACGCACCTAAGATGTTATTATTTTTTTAGTTTTGCCAACTAACGTGTCCACCTACTGGGAGACATCCCCATCCATTGGGAACATCGTCAACATCACTTGCCGGGCAACATATGGCAAACCTCCTCCATATCTGAGGATTTACAAAGATAACATTGACATAACACATCTAGCATATTATTACACAGAAAACACCAGATCTAGTGGTAAGTATTATTATCGTCATTCTTTTTGTTGGTTGATATCATATACTGTTGTTTATTGAAAAAGGCTAAATATGAAAAGAGTTCTAACGGATCTTTCATGTAAGAAGTTATGACCATTTGTTTTATTTGTCTTTGTTTTTACCATAAGAAATGTTTGGTCATTCATATTTCTAATGAATACTGTGTTTTTGCCTTCCATCATCAATAATAATATATAAAGGTTAACTACTTATTGCTCACAACAACAAAAGTTTGCCTATGTCTGTACTACACTATCAGATCTTTATACAAGATTGTCGAAGTTTTCTCCGCAACTCTGCAAGTAAACAGAACTAATATATAATATACACACAACATATATTTGAATGATAATAAGATATCTTTGTAGTTTATTCTTTATCAGATAGCAAATTTCATGGAGTACTTTTTTTTGCGTTAACCAAAAAATATATTCATGCACCAGACCAATTCAATGACGCAAATATACAATTTACGTGTGATAGAGGTTATGAGTGGGGAAATTAAATTCCTCATCTCAAATTTATAAGAATTATAAGGATTAAACGCCTTTTAAAAGGAATTTATTGGTGTATAAACTGGACCAAGTCACTACTGTTGCCTTTATTTACCGGAGACGCTTAAATTTTTCTTTAAAAGCAAATTGTGGGGTCTTTTTTAACCACAAAAAAAAGATACACTTCTATGTTTTTTGTTTGTTTTTGTTTTATCTTAGGATACGGAGATGCTGTCGCCAGTGCCGCTTTGACATTGACCTCACTTGATGTCAACAAAGACATACGTTGTGAAGTAGAATATGACGGTCTTTATAATGTCATGAACTACACTATGAACACAAATCTCAGTAAGTATAATAAGGAGATGTGGTGTGATTGTCAATGAATTTCAATGAGACAACTATCCAACAGATACCAAATGACGTGGATTTAATGTGTTTTTGTTTATATACATACTTCCAATGTGTAATATTGGTATAATTTAAATACCAAAAAAATGCTTACACCTATACAGACACAGTGGCGGATTTACCAGGGGGCACAGGGGGCACGTGCCCTGCCCCCCCCCCCCCCCAGTCGGGGTCACCAAAAAATGTTCTAACATAGTTTTATTGCTACTGTATCTGCTTATCTAGATCTGTACTTAGTTTGTACTAAACTAGTATATATGAATAATAGTATAAAATAGTGCGATGCAATTACACAGAACGAAAGCGATAACTTAATGAATATTTATTGTCAAGTTAAACCGGGCATAAATACGTTTACACTAAGCAATTACAAAACAATTGTTGCATCATCAAGTAAAGTGCCATAAATATGCATTGGATTAAAGCAATAGAAGTGCACATGTAAAATAAGTTTTAAAGACGTAAATGCATAATCTGTTGTTATTTCATCAATGTAAAAATGTTACATCATGATGATGTATGTTACATATATTTTCCTTTTAACGAACTCGATTTGATATCTACTGTCTTTTGTTCGTTGAAATGGTTTGTGGTTCTCTTCGGGGACTCCGGCTTCCTCCACCAATAAAAACTGACCGCCACGAAATAGCACAGTAGTGTTGAACGTGGCGTTAAACACCAATCAATTAATCAATCAAAATGGCCTGATATTATATTTTTCCTTATGAAGCTAACATTTTTTTATATATATTTTTAGATGGTGGATCATCCATAAAAGTACATGGTCTGGCCTCTGTGATAATGTTTATGATGGTGGCAATTATTCAGGCTATGTAAACTCAAAACATTGATGTGACATCTGCGATGGTTCCACGTACAATTGAACACTATCTGCGTGACGTTGATTATCACTGAACTTTGTGTGTGTATAATATTACTAAGAAATAGAAATTTGTGAAATTGAATTATTCAGTTACTCTCTGATTCAAATAACGAAGCTATTGTATTTGATTCCACAACTCGAAGTCCTCTGATACTACATTTCAATTGTCTTCCACACAGAATTTTGATACTTAATATGGTTGGTAAAGGATGGATTCTGTGCAAGGACATGGGGATATTACTTCTACAGACATCACATAATGCGTTCGCTGATAATCAATAAGGAATAATACCCTCTCTTACTACGTTTCGTTGTCGCCCTTCCATAGAATGAGATATGTTTGAATACTATCTGAACTCAAAGGAAGGATTGTAGAAAGTTGGGTTTGTGATAAAACTTTCGGTACTTGGAATTAATGACTTGTTGTCGCGTTTATATATAATACAATTGTATATTCCAAATAAAGATAACAAAACTGTTTCTTTTTCATTTCTCCTTAACACAAGTTTTACAAAATCGTTATAATATAATTCTACATTTACTGATACATTAGAAGGATAATAGGAATCAGCTATAGTATTGGGTGGCACAACTGACCACATCAACCAGCAAAAGTATTGGGTGGCACAACCGACCACATCAACCAGCAAAAGTATTGGGTGGCACAACTGACCACATCAACCAGCAAAAGTATTGGGTGGCACAACTGACCACATCAACCAGCAAAAGTATTGGGTAGTACAACTGACCACATCAACCACAAACATCTATTTATTCCGAGAAAAACCTGCACACACAAAGACGAACAACATAGAACAACAAAAACTCAGAATAGTTAGGACAAAATACAACAATTGTAACTAAATTAGTTAGTATACCACGCCTGTAGCTATTGCTCTTGACAGATTTTAGAAATTTTCCGAGCTTAGATATATAATTTTTATAATGTTTTAGTCCCATTTACAACATAACAATGGAAAGAATGGTGAGGCATTTCTTGTTAATGATTGTTGAAAACTTGCTTTAAAAACTATATAACCGAGTTGAAAGAAAGAGTTTTAGAAAAATCACAAAAACTATATTTTTTCATTAAAAAAAAGTAGAGTATTTAAACTTGTCTACAAATCCGTACAATTAATTATATGCCCACCCCAACGTGTATAACCGCCTCCGTCTGTGGCGTGAGAAGTCAAGGGTTAGGCTTACGTCATGAAGAAATTAAAGGCTTTAAGTTTAGTATTTGTAGCTTTGAAGCATTTAGAAGGATAAACAATGGTCGATTCAGAGTCATTATACCAATACGTGCATGTAGAAAACAATTTGAAAGAAACGCCACAACTGTCAAAAACGCATCTGATTAACATTTTCTGTGAAGTACTTTCATTTCTTTATTCTGTATTTAAGTATCCTGATCTTCTTGGTAGTGTATAGTTACTGTCACAGACACTGCCGAGTCAAAGCTGACTGTGTACAGTTACTGTCATAGATACTGCCGAGTCAAAACTGACAGTGTATAGTTAATGTAATAGATATTACCGAGCCAAAGCTGACAGTGACACAGTTATTGTCATAGACACATCCGAGTCAATGTTGCATAGAAGGCTAATATTATTGTTACTGAAACATTAAAAATGCGTGCCTTTGCAGTGAATGAAATAACGTCTCAGATTCCATTAAACATTAAGTGTAGGATGGTATGCTATATTAAGGTTAATTGCTTTGAGCTTGCTTTCAGTGACTGTGAGCATTCTTTCAGGCGGTATAATTTGTTATTTATTTTTTGTGTTTTTTGTTATCTATAGTATTATTCCCTTACGGCTTATATTAGAGTTAAATTTGTTTTCCCGTATCGTTTTCACATCGTATGTTATCCTTTATGTACAGTTTGTTAATCTAGTAATCGACAGTAAAAACAGGGGGTTGAAATTAAAAAAAAACAACATGTTTAACCCCGCCTTATTTTTATGTGGCTGTTATAGGTCAGGACCCTCATCATTAGTTGTCGTGTGTCATATCTTTGATGTTTTTCTTTTAGAACTTACCATGTGGTATATACACCGGTCTATTTTTGAAGATTATATGTTGCACTTCACTGAGATGTCTTTTGGTCAATTTTTATAAGTATAATGATTTATAGTGATTTATTGTGGAATTATGCTACGACCTGCAGAAATTTGATTAAAAGTGTAAAGTCATTGGCAGTTTTAGTGGTAATCATATCTTTTAGTGTAGCAAATTCCTTCAAATATTTCCGTTTGGTTAATATATGAATTGATGAAGGATGTAGTTATACTGTTATATTGCAGAAACATCGCGTCTGGTTTTCTTTTCTTTGTTTTTAGGGGGCGTTGGGGGCTTTTATTGATTCCTTATATTTTTTTGTGTTTGAAACGAGACATAAATGTTCCTTTTTTCTTCCTGCAAGGATTTGTATAGTAAGATATACTTACTATACAAATCTTTGCTTCCTGTAAGAAATTTATTAACATTTACATTGGTTGTTTAAACAAGGGATCTTTTCACCCTGTTCTTATGACTTTACGGCTTGAAACTTGAAATAATGCATGCCGTCCTACAATAAACATGTGTCATTTTCAACCTGCTCGACTTATATATTATTTACCATTTTTGCAGAGAAAAAAAGATACCAGACAAGAACACTTCGTCAATGTAATGGAAAGGTATTGTGAAGCCCTTCATGGGGGGATCCCAGTAATCACATAATCACAATTTTTTTTGGCCAATATAATCACATAATCATTAAATATTTGCTTAAACTCGGTAATCAAATAATCAAAAATACATTCCAAGATGATCAAATAATCAAGTAATCATGAAATATTTGGTCTAGTAATCAAATAATCACTAAAAAAACGGCGATTAGATCACATAATCAAAAACCCCATGAGGAGGCTCTATATTGTGTTCTTCAACAACTGCAGCATATTCAGCGTTTCAAAGAGTCGTTTCTAACTGCGTTGTCATGCATGTTGAAAATTATTTGAACTTCTATCAATAAATGTTTTGAACTCAGAAAATTATCAATATAGTACAGATATGTTTACATATGTAACCCATTAAGAACATTAATTTTGTCTGTGAACATTCTATATAATCTATTTTATTACTGCTTTGCGTTTGCTTATTGCTCTGGTCTTGGTGTGGCTTAACATCTTAAAATTAAGTTGATTATATTTAAGAGATAACTGTATTGTATTTGAAGCTTTGCGGACGTCCATCTGTAGTTTTACTGTCGAAATTTGAGTTTACCTGGTGATTCGGAACTTACGGAAATAATTAACACTCAACTTACGATTAGTACCATTTCAAAATCTAATATTAGGAGGATGTAGTTGAGACAACAGTTATATAATTGAATATCAAAGAACGAATAGCCTTTAGCTGGTATTGCTGTTCATAATCTTGTCGTATACTTTTACCCAATTAATTTGTTTTGCCTGACTTTATATAAGTAACCTTGTAACATGTGGTTTTGGTGTGACAAATACAAAATAAAGTTCACACAACATACGCGATAGTATGGAAAGAAGATTTTTTTTTATTTATTAAGAAGCACCCATAGTATTCGTGGCACGTAACAAATTATTCAAAATTTTCCCGATTTACATTATGTGTTGTTTTACTATTGAAAAAAGTTTTTGATGACATTGTTGTGCAAAGTAGCGACACTAATGTTGTTCGAACTGATTTATTTTTTGTAGTGGTAGGTTACCATTGAATGTTCTGTTAGCTAGGGTAATTGTATCGTTTGCAGTTTATGTATAATTCTTTGATCATATAGGGTTAATGAAAATAAAGTAAATAGATAAATGCCAAATTGACCAAATATTTTGAAACTATATATGCGGATACGTCTAATAATGAAACATTCAAACATATTATAAAAATCAAAATGATTAGAAAGCTAATTATTGGAATAGAAATTATTATTGTTTAGCATATGAAGTACGACGACCATCAAATGTTTGCACTTTTAAATCCGACAAACAAACAAACTTAAATCATTTGAAATATTTGAACAACGTATATGACTACATGACTACTAAAAATATTTGAAATATGGGAATTTTGGTCTGCGTTTTTGTTTGATGTTTCTCTGCTTTGTATCGATCTGATGAGTTAAAAGCCTTTTCAACTGATTTTTATAGTTTGTCCTTCTGTCGTTGGTTCATGTCTGTCATATTTGTTTTTCGTAAATTGTTTTTTTTATAAATTAGGCCCTTAGTTTTCTCAATATTTCTCAATTTATAGCTGACTATGCAGTATATGGTTTTCTCATTGTTGAAGGTCGTATGGTTACCTATAATTGCTTACATCCACTTTATTTGAACTTTGGTAGATAGTGGTCTCATTGGTAATCATACCTCATCTCTTATTTTTATAATAAAAAAATCATGTATCTAAGACTAAAATATCAATCAGTACACATCCAACATCCACTGGATTTAGTGTAAAGACCTCATTAACAGTCAGAGAAAAAAACACGACCTTGTGCAATGCCAAAATAAAGGTATCAACAGTCTGCCTCATATCGTGACCTACATCTAAATATTGACAATGAGGTTCAATTGAAAACAAAACTTTACAACATAAATGATGATTTCAGCTTCCAAATTTGAACTTTCCATTTCATACATCAACATTCCAGCAGCGCCTACATATGTAATATATATATTTATTATATACTTAGTAGTAAATACAGATAAATTGTATGTGTAATATAATCATTGGTAATAGTGCTGTATCAGCCACCTGTGATGATATCGATATCAGCACAGTTGCAAAGGCTTTATCACGCCTTTAATCTGTATGACGTCACGTCATCGATTGCAGTGCAAAGGCTTTATCAAACCCCTAATCTGCATGACGTCATGTCAAACCTATAATCTGTATGACGTCATTTCAAACCTCCTTATCTGTATGACATCATGTCACATAAATAGAGAATATCATATGCCTTTTTCAATATCACATCTGTATCAACCTGAGACGCCAATATAATCCCAAGAGCTCTGCTCGAGGGATTATATTGGTTGAGGGTTGATACGGTGTGTGATATTGAAAAAGCCATATCATATACACTTTATTATATACATATACCTCACGTAGATGATTTTTTATGTGACATGACGTCATACTGATAAGGAGGTTTGAAATGACGTCATACAGATTATAAGTTTGACATGACGTCATACAGATTAGGGGTTTAATAAAGCCTTTGCAACAGTAACTGCAATCGATGACGTGACGTCATACAGATTAAAGGTGTGATAAAGCCTTTGCAACCGTGCTGATATCGATATCATCACGGGTGGCTGATACAGCACGCTTGCCAATGATTGTATTACACATACAATTTATCTGTATTTACTACTAAGTATATAATAAAAAACATCTACGTGAGGTATATGTATATAATAAAGTGTATATGATATGGCTTTTCCAATATCACACACTGTATCAACCCTCAACCAATATAATCCCTCGACCAGAGATCTTGGGATTATATTGGTGTCTTGGGTTGATACGGATGTGATATTGAAAAAGCCATATGATATTCTCTATATATCTCCCAGATGAATCAATATTCAATAGCTTAATTGCATTTCCTTGATAGAGGGTTGCTGCTTACAAGATAGCTATTAACCTAAGAGTTCCAAGTTGAAATCATCCCTTTGAAAATTTTACGGACGCCATCGCGAGTTGGTTGATCGTTTTGGAAGATCTGTTTCAAAGATGACGACGGATATGTTACAATTGTCATAACCACGTGTGATCTACAAATTAAGAATTATCACCGGGTTTTTACTTACATGAGCTGCACGACGGGTGCCACAGGAGGAGCAGGATCTACTTACCCTTCTGGAGCAGCTGAAATCCCCCGTGTTTGGTGAGGTTCGTGTTGCTCAGTCTTTAGTTTTTTAATGTCAGCCAGATTTCAGCCAAATTAAGGACCAGGAAACATAGAGCAAATGGCGTTGACAAACTAAACAATTTGTAAGGGTTCCGTGGAACCCAGTGTCTCGCCTACTTTTGCTGTTAATCGCAGGCTCAACAAAAATGAGGAAAAAAATTTAATAAAAATATTCCTCTCTATACTATCTTTTGATTGTAAGTAGCTTCTGTCCAAGTTTGGTAAAAATCCAGGATAGTTTATGAATCTAATAAATGTTTTAAAAACTTAAAACTGCAGACTGTATGTAATGTTAACTGGAAGAAAAACTAAGTCCATGTATAAGTAAAATATGGAAAAAATGGAATAAAATTTTAACAAAATTTCTTTCTAGATACTAGCTTTTGATCATAAACAAGCTTCTGTCCTAGTTTGGTAGAAATCCAGGATATTTTAAGAAAGTTGTTAAAATTTTAAAAACTTTAACACAGAGTGAATGTAATGTTAACTGTCAGAAAAACTAAGTCCATTTATAAGTAAAATACGGAAAAATGGATTTTTTTTTTACAAAATTTACTTCTGGATACTATCTTATGATCATAAACAAGCTTCTTTTCAAGTTTGGTAGAAATCCAGGATAGTTCAAGAAAGTTATTTAAATTTCAAAAACTTTAACCACAGAGTGAATGTAATGTTTCCTGGCAGAAAAACTAAGTCCATTTATAAGTAAAATACGGAAAAAATGGATTTTTTTTTTACAAAATTTACTTCTGGATACTATCTTATGATCATAAACAAGCTTCTTTTAAAGTTTGGTAGAAATCCAGGATAGTTTAAGAAAGTTATTAAAATTTCAAAAACTTTAACCACAGAGTGAATGTAATGTTTCCTGGCAGAAAAACTAAGTCCATTTATAAGTAAAATACGAAAAAAATGGATTTTTTTTTTACAAAATTTACTTGTGGATACTATCTTATGATCATAAACAAGCTTCTGTCCAAGTTTGGTAGAAATCCAGGATAGTTCAAGAAAGTTATTAAAATTTCAAAAACTTTAACCACAGAGTGAATATTTGTGGACGTTGCCGCCGCCGACGGAATGTAGGATCGCTATGTCTCGCTTTTTCGACAAAAGTCGAAGGCTCAACAATATTCAAGTTAGACATGTAAAATGTCATTACAAACATTGTTTTCAAAGATCTTTTTTGTCGACGTAAGTGCTCGATGTTTCCTGTCCAATACTAAATGGAAATTTAGCCATTTTCATTGATTTTTCGTGGAAAATCAAAACGAGTACTATTTGTGACGCCATGAATAAAACGCAGGAACGTAAATTGTCAAAAAATAGTCTTATTTCCTGTCAAGTCACTGTATTAGCTATGATTCATTGTAGTATTGGTCAATAAATCCTAATTTTAAATTTAAGCTAAATAAGGGGGCAATTTTAGGGCCTCATCGAACCTTCACCTTTAACTTCAACAACTAATCTTCCTATGATTATCAAGGATTTATGTATGGAAAAGGCAAAGTGAAAACAGTCTAAATCATCAAGTTGGTTAATCTTTTAATTTCATCAAGTGACACTTGTAATACTATTTAGAAAAATAAATAAAAATGCAACAGTCTCAAGTACCCTTATCACGACCAAAAGAATTATAATGGTAAAAATTATATCCATAACTTCGTCTATATAGACTTCCAAATTCTTGAGGCATCTTAGTGGTAAATTCCCCATTTGGGCGAACTAGTAAGGTCCTGGTAAAGATTCCCAATGTTGTAAATCCTAGCGCATAACCTAGACCAGCCCATACATTTCCATCTACAAAATAAAATGAGTCATTATACTGTTTGTTTCTTTGATTAAACTGATACTGTGGATTTATTACTATTTGTGGAGAACTATATTTGTACCTTTATTGCATTTTTGGGTACAGTTGCAACACATAACATGTTGAAGAAATTGAACTTCTTAAGTAGAATACAAATTTTCAATAGGCTTTTGATAGAAAATCAAAGGATATGGGGTATCCATTCATGACACATCAGTATATGCACAGCAAAGTATACACAAAAAGCAAAGGAACAGCGCTTTTATTGCTGTTCATCATCTTAGTCACAGTGAGGCCTTCAATAAAAACTCTCACCACACTGCAAGTTTAAGATGGTCCTAGCACCAGCTTGAGCGGAATTCTTTGCAAAAATAATTTGGATAGACTTTTTTGTAAGATGTAACACCACCAAATTGGGCCCGGTAAAAAAAAAAAAAAAAACGGAAAGTAGTACATATTTAAAACAAAATAGTTCCTACGCATATCTGTAAATATGAAACTATGTAGAATATATTTTAGTAATTAAGGTATCAGATGAAAGGTGAAGGACTGGTGGTCCTTTTAGAACACATTTAGACAAGAATTTGTCAAAACAATGAAATCGAGTATTTATGAAAATAAACTATTCTTTAAAAATCCACAAAAAAATGGAATCCCTGAATCTGCATTATATATTTGTGCGACTCTGTCATGTCTTTTATTTATATAGCATTAATAAAAAAATTGCTATGTTTTTTTCTTGTTAATTCATAATGATTGTAACAGTCATATACATGTACATATATGACAAAATTATACTGCGTGCTATGCTTGGGGTAAAAAGTACCACTGAACAGAAAAAATGTCAACAGTTTGAAAATGACTTTATCAGTTTAATTACTTTACCGACACAAACTTACATCTTTTTGCCATTGGTATTCCTGCTAAAGCTCCACCAACTGCATAATTAAATAAATCATCCTTTCCCCTTAATACTGCAGTTCCTTGTGTTCCAACACTATACATAAATCCTGAGGCCCCTACAAATGAATAACAAGAATTATCTCCCCTATTCCCTTAATACTGCAGTTCCTTGTGTTCCAACTCCATACAAAAATCCTGAGGCCCCTACAAATGAATAACAAGAATGATCTCCCCAATTCCCTTAATACTGCAGTTCCTTGTGTTCCAACTCCATACAGAAATCCTGAGGCCCCTACAAATGAATAACAAGAATGATCTCCCCAATTCCCTTAATACTGCAGTTCCTTGTGTTCCAACTCCATACAGAAATCCTGAGGCCCCTACAAATGAATAACAAGAATGATCTCCCCAATTCCCTTAATACTGCAGTTCCTTGTGTTCCAACTCCATACAGAAATCCTGAGGCCCCTACAAATGAATAACAAGAATTATCTCTCCTATTCCCTTAATACTGCAGTTACTTGTGTTCCAACTCCCAACAGAAATCTGCAGGCCAATACAAATGAATACTTTGAAAGTACTTTTATTTCTGGGTATCAATTTTCATGGTTTGAGCATTGCAAAATAATGTGTTTATTTTCACTTACTTGTTCGTCTTTCATTACTGACAACATTCATCAAATTTTTAATGAAATAATTGCTTTAGGAAATAAGCTGATTCATCTATGTTTACAAATTGAATTGCAAAGTAAACATTTTAATTGTTGCACACGGGTTATAGAAGTGTGACACCAATTAACCGGAGATCGAATGATTAACAGATTAACGATCATCACAGGTGTTGATTGGACAATAAACATGTCACTTAAAGTTACATATAACCAAAGCTACACATTTACTTGAATTGTAGAATTAATTCTTATGAAATAAAAAGAGCAAGCCCAAGGTGAAAGTTTTGTTTATTTTTTTTTCGTATGAGAATTATGAGGAGACAAAATGAACACTTCATCATCACATTTCATTACCGGTATTCTGGCTTTCATTGATCAAAAATAATTTTTCATGAGAATTAAAAAGTTAAAAGTCGTACAGTTTAGTTTTTTTTTTTTAAAGATTAAATGGGCAAAATCCTGTTAGAAGTTGTATATATAGATCATAGTACATTTGCTGATATTCAATGTATTCTTGAAAGATCCCCCTGTAGGTTTGACTGCATGGATAGGGGAATATATTCTCCATGTCTTGATTTTGACAACAGTAGTTACATAATTTGTTGGATACTTAAATTTGTGGATAAAGCCATCCATGAAAACCAAGTAAATTGGTAGCCCATGAATAAAAGTACTATCACAGTAACAAAAATTACCTTCTCTTTCTTATTACACTACACATCATATACATGTATTACACTATATACCTGTACTAAGATGGTGTTAAAATAATTATCAAGTTGAGCTCAGGCAAACATTGTGGGGCAAATTATAGTAGTATCTTTTATATTTCTTTGCATAAATAAATTTGAATAATCTCTGTTGTTTCTTAACGTAAAGCACAAAATGTTTCCCTTGAGTCTTGGCAGGATGAAAAGTCTGGCTGTCGGTTTAGTTCATAAGATGGCTAGTAGTCATCTATTCCAAAAGCCTGCACAAAAATTTAAATAATGCAGTACATAAATAAAGAACCTTAGTGAGCGCGCTCACATACCCCACGTCCCCACATTGTCACTGGAGAAATAAAATAACTGTAAGAAAAAAAAATTGTATAAGAAATCATAATTTCCTGTCGATATGCACATCTACATAGTATGTCCTTATTATCTACAAAGTTTCATGAAATTCTGTTGTGTGGGTTCAGAGGAGTTGCGATGACAAACTGTTGCAGAGGTATATTGAAGCAAATAAGTTCAAAGGGGCGTAACTCCTAGAAAAAAAATTGAATCATAATTTCCTGTCGATATGCACATCTACCTAGTATGTCCTTATTATCTACAAAGTTTCATGAAATTCTGTTGTGTGGTTTCAGAGGAGTTGCGATGACAAACTGTTGCAGAGGTATATTGAAGCAAATAAGTTCAAAGGGGCGTAACTCCTAGAAAAAAAATTGAATCGTAATTTTCTGTCGATATGCACATCTACATAGTATGTCCTTATTATCTGAAAAGGTTTCATGAAATTCTATTGTGTGGTTTGAGAGGAGTTGCGATGACAAAAGGTTGCAGTAGTATATTGGGCAAATAAGTTCAAAGGGGCGTAACTCCTGAAAAAATAATTGAATCGTAATTTCCTGTCGATATGCACATCTACATAGTATGTCCTTATTATCTACAAAGTTTTATGAAATTTTGTTGTGTGGTTTCAGAGGAGTTGAGATGACAAACTGTTGCAGTAGTACATTAAAGTAAATAAGTTCAAAGGGGCGTAACTCCTAGAAAAAAAATTGAATCGTAATTTCCTGTCGATATGCACATCTACATAGTATGTCCTTATTATCTACAAAGTTTCATGAAATTCTGTTGTGTGGTTTCAGAGGAGTTGCGATGACAAACTGTTGCAGAGGTATATTGAAGCAAATAAGTTCAAAGGGGCGTAACTCCTAGAAAAAAAATTGAATCGTAATTTCCTGTCGATATGCACATCTACGTAGTATGTCCTTATTATCTGAAAAGGTTTCATGAAATTCTATTGTGTGGTTTGAGAGGAGTTGCGATGACAAAAGGTTGCAGTAGTATATTGGGCAAACAAGTTCAAAGGGGCGTAACTCCTGGAAAAAAAATTGAATCGTAATTTCCTGTCGATATGCACATCTACATAGTATTTCCTTATTATCTACAAAGTTTTATGAAATTTTGTTGTGTGGTTTCAGAGGAGTTGAGATGACAAACTGTTGCAGTAGTACATTAAAGTAAATAAGTTCAAAGGGGCGCAACTCCTAGAAAAAAAATTGAATCGTAATTTCCTGTCGATATGCACATCTACATAGTATGTCCTTATTATCTACAAAGTTTCATGAAATTATGTTGTGTGGTTTCAGAGGAGTTGCGATGAAAAACTGTTGCAGAAGACATTGAAGTAAATAAGTTCAAAGGGGCGTAACTCCTGGGAAAAAAATTGAATCGTAATTTCCTGTCGATATGCACATCTACATAGTATGACCTTATTATCTACAAAGTTTCATGAAATTCTGTTGTGTGGTTTCAGAGGAGTTGTGATGACAAACTGTTGCAGTAGTACATTGAAGCAAATAAGTTCAAAGGGGTGTAACTCCTAGAAAAAAAATTGAACCGTAATTTTATGTCGATATGCACATCTACATAGTATGTCCTTATTATCTAAAAAGGTTTCATGAAATTCTGTTGTGTGGTATCAGAAGAGTTGCGATGACAAACTGTTGCAGTAGTACATTAAAGTAAATAAGTTCAAAGGGGCGTAACTCCTAGAAAAAAAATTGAACCGTAATTTCCTGTTGATATGCACATCTACATAGTATGTCCTTATTATCTAAAAAGGTTTCATGAAATTCTGTTGTGTGGTTTCAGAGGAGTTGTGATGACAAACTGTTGCAGTAGTACATTGAAGCAAATAAGTTCAAAGGGGTGTAACTCCTAGAAAAAAAAATTGAACCGTAATTTCCTGTCGATATGCACATCTACATAGTATGTCCTTATTATCTAAAAAGGTTTCATGAAATTCTGTTGTGTGGTATCAGAGGAGTTGCGATGACAAACTGTTGCAGTAGTACATTAAAGTAAATAAGTTCAAAGGGGTTTAACTCCTAGAAAAAGAATTGAACTGTAATTTCCTGTCCATATGCACATCTACATAGTATGTCCTTATTATCTAAAAAGGTTTCATGAAATTCTGTTATGTGGTATCAGAGGAGTTGTGATGACAAACTGTTGCATAGTACATTGAAGCAAATAAGTTCAAAGGGGCGTAACTCCTAGAAACAAAATTGAACCCTAATTTCCTGTTGATTTGCACATCTACATAGTATGTCCTTATTATCTACAAAGGTTTCATGAAATTCTGTTGTGGTATATCAGAGGAGTTGCGATGACAAACTGTTGCAGTAGTATATTAAAGTAAATAAGTTCAAAGGGGCGTAACTCCTAGAAAAAAAATTGAATTGCAATTTCCTGTCGATATGCACAACTACATAGTATGTCCTTATTATCTAATAAAATGCTCCGCAGGGCGCAGCTTGATACGACCGCAGAGGTCGAACCCTGAACAGTTGGGGCAAGTATGGACACAGCATTCAAGCTTGATACAGCTTTGCATTTGGATTGTGATTAAATATTTGACACAGCATAGGTTTCTGACACAGAATGAATGTGGTCTAAGAACTTAAAAAATTTAAATTGGACATTCACCTATTATGGTCTAATATCCAAAATCTAAATACATGGTTAGATTCAGCATATCAAAGAACCCCAAGAATTCAATTTTTGATGAAATCAAACAAAGTTTAATTTTGGACCCTTTTGACCTCAATGTGGACAAAGTTGATAACGGGGCCCAAAAATAAAAAATCTAAATACATGGTTAGATTCAGCATATCAAAGAACCCCATATATTCAATTTTTGTTGAAATCAAACAAAGTTTAATTTTGGACCTCGATTTGGACCAACTTGAAAACTGGGCCCATAATCAAAAATCTAAATACATGTTTAGATTTAGCATATCAAAGAACCCTAAGAATTCAATTTTTGTTAAAATCAAACTAAGTTTAATTTTGGACCCTAATGTAGACCAATTTGAAAACTTTACCAAAAATTAAGAATCTAAATACACGGTTAGATTCGGCATATCAAAGAACCCCAATAATTCAATTTTTGATGAATCAAACAAAGTTTAATTTTGGACCCTTTGGACCTCAATGTGGACCAATTTAAAAATGGGGCCCAAAATCAAAAAACTAAATACATGGTTAGATTCAGCATATTAAAGAACCCCAAGAATTCAAGAATAAAACCCCATTGAAATTGGTCAAGAAATAAGCAATTTATAGGAAGTATCTTCTTTTGCACAACACTGTGCAATTAAATATTTCTTGCTATTGCGCAATACTGTACAATTGACAATTTCTTGCTATTGCACAATATTGTGCTATTGGATATTTCTTGCTATTGGGCAATACTGTGCAATTGAAGATTTCTTGCTATTGCGCAATACTGTGCAATTGAAGATTTCTTGCTATTGTGCAATACTGTGTAATTGAAAATTTCTTGCTATTGCACAATACTTATTATATAATAATTTACACATCCTGTTTGGTGTGTATCTCCTACCATACCATTATTATTTGCTTTTAAATATAAATCAGAAATAACCAACTTAAAATGGAAAATTTTAAAAGAAAAAAAAAAAGGAAAAAAAGAAAAAAATAGGAAAAATAAAAAAATCCCCCCCCCCAAATTTTTTGAACCCCCTTATGATTCATCACCCCCAAACTCAATCCCAGCCTTCCCTTTGTGGTATGGTACCTTGCAGTACAATTTCAGAGAGATCCATACACTTGAACACAAGTTATTGTCTGGAAACTAGAAAAATGTGTTTTTTGACCCCTTTTTGGCCCCAAATTCCTAAATGTTTTGGGCAATTACCCCCAAACTCAAACCCAGCTTTCCCTTTGTGATATGGAACCTTGTAGTACAATTTCAGAAAGATCCATACACCTACACACAAGTTATTGTCCTGGATCTAGAAAAATGCTTGTTTTTTGCCCCTTTTTGGCCCCTAATTCCTAAAATATTGAGGCAATTACCCCCATCATCAATCCCAGCCTTCCCTTTGTGGTATGGTACCTTGCAGTACAATTTCAGAGAGATCCATACACTTGAACATTAGTTATTGTCTGGAAACTAGAAAAATGCTTATTTTTGGCCCCTTTTTGGCCCCCAATTCCTAAACGTTTCGGCAATTACCCCCAAACTCAATTCCAGCTTTCCCTTTGCGATATGGAACCTTGTAGTACAATTTCAGAAAGATCCATATACTTACACACAAGTTATTGTCATGAAACTAGAAAAATGCTTATTTTTTGCCCCTTTTTTGGCCCCTAATTCCTAAAATTTTGAGGCAATTACCCCCAAAATCAATCCCAGCATTCCTTTTGTGATATGGAACCTTGTGGTACAATGTCAGAGAAATCCATACACTAACACACAAGTTATGTCTGGAAGTTACAAAAATGCTTATTTTTGGCCCCTTTTTGGCCCCTAATTCCTTTACTGTTGGTACCATGACCCCCAAAATCAATCCCAACCTTCCTTTTGTGGTATTGAACCTTGTGGTAAAATTTCATATAGATCCATTAACTTAAACTAAAGTTAGAGTGCGAAAACCAATGTGTCTTCGGACGGCGCCGGACGACGCCAACGTCATACCAATATACGACCACAAAAATTTTTTTGCGGTCGTATAAAAAGGTTTAGTGAAATTCTGTTGTGTGGTTTGAGAGGAGTTGCGATGACAAGAAACAGGACTGACGGACGGGTCAAAAACATTATACCCTCCGCAACTCGTTGCGTGGGGTATAATAAAACACTACCTGATAAAATATCAGTCTTGCCATTTACATATTTGATTAGAACTGAAAAATATTTTATGATAATAGTTATTTCAGGCATTAAAAAAACTTATACTTAATCAATGAACCACTAATATGAGGTCAAAGTCAGTGAACCTCTATTTTTCAGATGTTTTTGTGTAAAAGATTCAGGTCGATTGGTCATACCTGGATTTGCCAGGTAACCAAGCTTTTGATATTGAAGCCGAAATATCCTTAGCAATGAACCATGTTAACAGTACCTAAAGTAACTACTGTCCTGCGGAAATATTCCTCATAGTGAACAATTTAAACAGTACCTCAAATAACTTCTGCTCTGATGAAATATCTCAAACAATGAACCACCTAACAATAAACAATGTTAACAGTACCTAAAGTAACTACTGCTCTGCTGAAATATCCTTAACAATAAACAATGTTAACAGTACCTAAAGTAACTACTGCTCTGCTGGAATATCCTTAACAATAAACAATGTTAACAGTACCTAAAGTAACTACTGCTCTGCTGAAATATCCTTAACAATAAACAATGTTAACAGTACCTAAAGTAACTACTGCTCTGCTGAAATATCCCTAACAGTGAACAATGTTAACAGTACCTAAAGTAACTACTGCTCTGCTGAAATATCCTCCAACAGCGAATATACTTGGTGCAACTTTAACAAAAGCTTCAAACACTCCAACAAATCCTCCTGAAAAAAAAAAAAGGTTTCAAACATGGAATTATTTAATTCAAACATTGAAATTTTTTCCCTTGATCAGAGTTTTGTGGTAATAGCATTGTGTGTAAGTCTCATAACATTTGGTTGAGGCAAACTTAAGTAAGAGAACGGAAACTAAAAATTTTGCAATTTTTCCATTTATAAAGGGGCATAACTCTAGAACGGTTAAAGTGACGCCACCAAAATTCAAACGATCTGTGTTTTGTGGTAATAAGCATTGTGTATAAGTTTCATAACATTTGGTTGGGGTAAACTCAAGTTAGAGAACGGAAACCAATTTTGGAACGTACTATGTACGTACAGACGGACAAGGGTAAAACTTAATGCTCCTACCGCTACAGCATAATTAAACACAAGTGAAACAACGCCTGGTAAATCTTCTGTCAGTAGATTCCATAAAGTGGATACCTCGGGTATGCAGGGTTGTTAAGATAAAAACATAAAATGTAGAAGGTCCTATAACAACGACACTTTAAGGAATGCTCCACTAATTTATTGAGATCGACATGTTTCAGTGCCTAATGACGGTGCCCTAGACACCGAAACATGTCGATCTCAATAAATTACTGGAGCATTCCTTAAAGTGTTGTTGTTATAGGACCTTCTACAAGATATATTAAAGTTACATGCATTTTGTTTTTGTAGAAATATCAAATCTTTTTTTCAATTTTAAAGATGTACACATAGCCATTTCAGTTATGGTCAGATCACATGTTTTCGTACACCATATGAATACCTACTATGCTTGCTTTTTCAATGGAAATTGTGAATTCACAATGCGTTCTTAATAGCACGTAAAGGAAAACTGATAATACGAGGATACTGCTTCATATAATTGCATATGAAATGTTTATGATAATATGCCAAAGCAGAAAATGGTAGTAAATACGTCTTTTAATAGATGCTGGCGCCAAAGTCTTTCCAACCAGACATATTTTTATGTCTCTAATTCAACTAACCACCCATGGCTGCTACAATCGTCAATCCCTTTATTTTTTTCTCAGCATTATTTCCAGATGGCTCATTAAAGTTGGATTTCGCATCTTTAAGCAGCAGACGCAGTGGAGTATCATAATTTAAAGGGCCTAAAACCTTGTCGGGCCATTTGGTATAGTCAGGGGTAAACGACGTATAGTGCTTCTTGTCCTCTGGAGTGAGACCTCCTGGAGTAGAGGACATTTTCGTCCTTAGTCTGCAACTGGTTCCGAAAAACAGTAAACCAGTAAGAGATTGAGGTGAATAAAAGAAGGATTTCTCCTCTGCAGGTACCTGTTTGCTGAATCCGGGTCCGTTCGCGCCCATTCACGTTCGCACCCCGGGTCCGTTCGCACCCTTTTTATTGATTTTGTCTTAATTAATTTTTCAATCGTATTTTGGTTAGTGTATTGCTATAAATATTTTTTTTGTTCATTGTTTTAAAATGAAGTGACTTTCTAAAAACGATTTTTGTGTTGAATATTTTTTAAATCGTGTTTTGGTTATTGTATTGCTATAAATAAGTTTTTTTTTCATTGTTTCAAAACATGCAAAATAAAGTGACGTTTTTTTGTGTTGAATATCTTTTTAATCGTGTTTTGGTTAGTGTATTGCTATATTTATTTTTGTTTCATTGTTTCAAAATAAAGTGACTTTCTAAAAAAGTTTTTTGTGTTGAATATTATTTAAATGTTAAGATACCAAACCGCTTTAAACTCAACAACAATAACATTTTGAATCTTAATTGTTTTAACTCATACCAAGTTAAATACATGCTAATATAACTACATGCAGAATTTACATCAAGTTTAGCTGTGTAAACACCATATATAATTAACAGTAATCATACATAATTAGCATATAATAATTAATCATCAAATCAATTTAAAACAATATTTCATTTAAAAAATTCAAAAAATTGCCGAATTTTTCTTTATTTTGAGATAAACATCTTAAAAAACATCTTATAATTCATCGGGTTTTTGAATAAAAAAAAAGGGCGCGAACGGACCCAGGGGGCGAACGTGTGGGGTGCGAACGTGTATTGGGCGCGAACGGACCCGATACCCTGTTGACTCACTGGAGGAGAGGTCCTCAACATGTAAATTTGGGTACAGACGTCCGGTTAAACAGAAGGCAGTGGATATTTTGCCGGCACCGGAAAAATAGAAAATATGCTATTTTGCCGGCTCTGATTAGTGTATCAGTGAATTTATACTGATTCAAATATGTTATGGGACCGGATCAACTTGGGGCCGGATCGGCGTGGGACGGATCAACTTGACTTTGGGCCGGATCGACTTGGGGCCGGATCGGTTTGGGGACGGAACGACCTGATACCGATTAAATACGGCAAAATAGCATATTCTATAATAGCATAGGCTACTTCGCCGGCTCTAGGTAAGCGGAAGCCAATTTGGCCAGTAAAAAAGATTGTGTTTACAGAAATGCAATTCAAAGAACTGACTATTATTTCAAAAGCAAATGTAATTCAACATTTTTGGTTTTGAAGCTATGTGAATGATTTTGTTAGATTGTGTACGTAATGTTTTATCAAATTTATATGCAATTTTTACATCGGATGACCGTGAAGGCATTCCGGTGTATTGCTGTCGCCTAGATTTCCATTACGTAACTTTCGTGTTGGGATTCACGGTAACCGATCTATAAACATGATAAATACGCGGACATTATCGAGTGCAAAAATAACATTCCTTATCGCTTGTAATAAATTAATTTTTTCAATGGATACTCCTAAAAATATTTTTTTTAGAACATAAGTTAATAATATGAAAATGTTTTGTCGTTAGAAATATATATATAAGTAAAAAATCTTTAATATCTATGCACACGTACAGAAAAAGTGTGTTAACGCAGGAACATATATATTGACATATATACTGTTCCCAGGTTAACGCATGCGGAAGAATATCTCAAGAACGTTTGCAATCTCCCATACAGAGTTATCGGTCTTTGCTCTCTCTCAAGGACCGATAACTCGGCATGGGAGATTGAACGTTTGGCGGGAAAATATGAATGCCTACTCAAATCCAATCTATTAGAAAAATCGAATTATTACAGAAGAGTCAGTGTCCACCCTGCACTTGCACTGCACTATTATTAATATAGTAAATTAGAATGATATACAAATGGATGAAAATTATATATATATGTAACTGTAATATACAAATATTAATATAATATATAACAACAATCCAGATTATACTGATTTGTATCACTACAATATAATAGTTATTACGATGAGGTTGAATTCCCTGTCATTTATTTATCATCCACGCACGAACTTGTGTCAGAAAAAAAAAATATCTGTACATTAACCTCACTTTCAGGTATAGAGATGTGATTTTTTTTCCGAGACAAGTGCTTGTGACCATCCACAAGAACTTGCAGTCATCCGATGTTCAGTACTTCAACTAAATGTTTTGGTATGATTTCATTGCTGAAAATGGATGCTCAATATTTTTATTTTTATGTCTTATCAAATTTCTATTTTCACTTGGACCCATAAATGTTTATAAACGATTATTCGTATCTCAAATATTGTTTCTGGTATCTTACTTTACTATATGAGTAATAATTTGATTCTTTGAAGTTGGCAATGCACATTTTCGTAGTACTTTTTAAAGGAAAATATCAAAATTAACTTTTACACAGAACCGGCAAAATAACAAATTCACTATATTGCCGGCGCAGGCAAAATAGCCATTGCTATACAAACATGGTATTCTTGCCGGCTAAAATTAAGATACTTTAATCAGAGCCGGCAAAATAGCATATTTTCTATTTTGCCGGCTCCGGCAAAATAGCCACTGCCTGAACAAAAACACGCCCCATTCATACATTGATTTTTGCACTGATGAAAAATCACCACCCATTCATATATTTCATTGCAAAATCACTGGCAACCCATTTATATATAGTTCCCAGCTATAATGATATCTTATTTAGCTTATTTAACCGCATGAGATCATTCACATTATTAGATTTACAGACATTTTAACAGGAGATGAACACTTATGACCCTTTGACATATACGTTTCTACCCATTGAAATATTAAGCCTCCGTGAAATTGCACCCCATTGACATTACCAGCGGCACGTCTGTGTATACCGTTATATAGAAAGATATCCGCCGTGTGTTAGCCCGGGGTTTGTTTCAAATAAGGATTTGCATATAGTACTATATAAACCCTTGTTCCAATTTTACCACTATAGTCTACTGTACAATTTTCATAATTTTAAAACCACCAATTTTATACTCGCTCATATTGTACAAATTTTTTTAGTAACTCTGAAAAAAGAAGATAATTTTAAAGTTATCAATTAGGGTGAACGGGCTCGATCTGCAGTGTCCAGTCTTTCAAATGAAGCAACAAAAAGATATTTTACCTTAAAGTGGTGTTGGAGTATAAACGAAAAATGGTAGAATTTGTTCGTACTTTGCCAAAATATAGTATATATTGTCACTTTGTGGTATGTTAAAAAATATGATAAAAATCAAAGGTCGTCGGGCTTGTATTCAAGCTACAGGTCGTGAAAAAATGACTTATTTTGTATGGATTATACAGAGAAAATTATCATTAAATGAATAATAGATAGAATTTTAAAATGATATATAAATAAAATTAAAATAGCTCTCATAAAGTGCTATCATAATATAAAAAGAAAAACTGGTTCACCGTACGTTTTCTCCTGCATGGTTATAACATAAAATAGAAATTCCTTGTAGATTCATTTGTAAACTTGCACAATTTCTGAGTTACCTCCCCTTAATACGATATGTTCAAAAATTTGGAATCGAGCAAAAATATTGTACCTTTTTTATTTAAATGAAAGTTTTTTTTTAGGAAATTGCATTCTTGCATCGAAATTTGCTGTCTTTAAAATCTAGACCTATAGTGTCCTGCCATTTTACAATTCAAGATGGCGGAAGACACCAATACTTAAAATCTTAACTTCCATAGAATAGAAATAAAAAAAGTTTACATGAACATTACAATGAAAAGCTGGATATCTGACTTGAAGCCAAATGATGAAGCCCCAAATCAGAGCAAATTAGAAGAAACAAAATCAATTTTAAATAACAAACTTGGGAAAACATGGATGATTTATTCATTAGTTGTTTTTGGCTTCGTAGCTACATTCTTTGTACTCTTAGATCGACACTTTGTGTATTTTGACTTTATGTTAGTTTTTTTGTGTGCTTCGTGCCGACAATTTTCAACTGATTTTACAGTGAGTTCTTATTTTGTTGTTTGATAAGGGACTTTCCATTTTGAATTTTCCTTGTAGTTCGTTGTTTTTGTTATTTTACTTTTTACATCACTGTCACGGCCCATAATAGGGGAGGTTTGAGCGCTCACACACATTTTTAACCCCGCCAATTCCATATGTGCCTGTCCGCGGCCAAAGTCAGGAGGCTGTAATTCAGTGCATGGTTGTCGTTTGTTGCTGTCTGTCATAATTGTTTTTGTTTATTGTTTTTTCATAATTCAGGCCGTAGGTTTTTTCGTTTGAATATTGTGAAGTCGGGACATAAAGCTGACTGTAAGGTATGGGTTTTGCTCATTGTTGAAGGGCGTACGATGACCTATAGTTGCTTAAATCCTCTTTATTCTGGACTCTTTTGGATAGTTATCTCTTTGGCAATCATACCACATATTCTTATTCTTATATCTACGGTAAACACTTTTATGGGGTCATGAATTTTAAAAAATAAAGTAGTGATTTGGTCCAGTTGAAGAGGGTAAAAATGAGAACGTCTGAAGTTGTGATATTGATTTGTTTTATAATTTGCATTTATTGTTCTCATGTCTACTCAGTACGCGTCAATGTGTAATTTTGATATCCCACTGTTTAATAGTTCTAAGTTATTTGAAATAATAACTATGTTGGTAAAGATGGAGCTGAAATCCACCGGGATTATGAACTTATCGACTAAAATTGAGATTCTGCACAAATATGAAAAAAATTAATTGATTAGTTATTATTGTTTAACGCCACTTTCAGCACTCTTGGCTATATTGTTGGTTATTATTAGTGAAAGATATGACAACGCTCCGATCTGCTTTCTGTTTTAAAGACTCGGATCCTTTGAATTTGACAGAATGATACACATCTTAGACATTTGTACATATAGGTTGGGGTTTAATTGGCCGATGTAAAAATAACCATAACAGAAATTAAACAAAAGAGAGTGTTGCCAGATCAGCAAAGGGTGAAAATAGGACCTGCATTTTAATCA